TTAAAAATAATGTGGTATATCCTTTGTAAACTTTACTGAACTTTTAAGTTTTAATAGTCGCACTAGGCTGACTTTGAACTTACCGCCCTGTTGAGGGAGTCAATGCAATGGAGAAACTAATGTATTTATTAACCGGATAAAACTTACGCACGAGCTGGGAAGATGAGAAGCGTGGCGGGCTTCCAAGAGAGAAAGATTTGCTTTCTCGTCTCCTTTTACATACCACCTGTCCCATGCCCTTGTCCACACCCTTGGGGCGTGCACAGTATTGTGGGCCCACCCCTACTCCATCCCCTTCTCAGCCTTCCACTTGCTGACATTACAGGGGTATGCTACCACACCCAATAGAAGTTTCAAGTTCTTATATTAGGTTTGTCTTTCTTTTCAGGGTAATCACAAAATATTTGGACACATTACTTACCTAGTGTTGTATTGACGCTCTCTTGGCATAGTAATTATTTTTACATTTGAATTTGCCCACAGACCAACACGTCAGCATGATCAGTGTTTTGCTTTTTATCCTACTTTTTAAAATGTGTATGTGTGAGTGCATGTGTCTGTGTGTAGGAACACATGTATATGTGTGAGTGCATGTGGCTGTGTGTAGGTACACATGTGTATGTGTGAGTGCATGTGTATGTGTGTAGGGACACATGTGTACACATGCACAAAGGCCGAAAGGGCATCTCCTCAGGCACCGTCCACTTTTTTTTTTAATACAGGGTCTCTCCCTGGTACTAAGTAGGCTAGGCTAGCTGGCCCACAAGCCTGCCTTTACCTCAGTAGCCCTGAGTTTACAAGCATGTGACACACTGTCTCTTTAAATGTGGGTCCTGGGGTCAAACTTCAGTCTTTGCAAGGCTGCATTATCTCCCTGACCCGAAGTTCTGCTTTTTAAATAGCTTAAACACGAACCCTTGGATTTGCTTATCACCAGCCAGGTTGTGATAGGATAGGTTCTCCTTCCAGTTGTGCAAGCCCTAGTAGGAGCCTGTGCTTCCCGGCTTGGGTTCCATCCTGCTGGTCTTGTGTACTTCCCTTACCCACAATGCACTCTGGACCCCTCCCACCCTGGGTTACACATGGACAGACCTCCACAATTCCAAATTCTCCAGCTGAGCCCACTCCTGGTCAAATAAACTCTAGCCAAGGGGAGGAGTGTTGTCTTAGAGTGTAAGCTTGGATGAGCGTGTATCATTACTGGAGCCCCCCCCCCCAAAACTATGAAGGTTAAGAACACTCCAGAGATGGGGTGGGCATCAGAAGTTCCTGCCCAATCCTGGAATCCTGGCGGTCTTTGCTCCTCTTCTCCCTAACAGTTGTGTTCCCTTGGTGGACTTCTATACCATGGTGTAATCCTGTTTGCCTGCATGTGACTCTCACTTGCAGCTCTTCTCTGGAACCGCAAGAGGGCGCCAAAGACACATCCCACTACAGGTTTACCTAGGACCAAGGAAGTCTTCACACTGGCTCAAGTTGAGCTGATAAATTATGTCCCGAGTTGTCTCTGTCAGATCAAATACACAGAATCACCAGAGGAAGTAAAACATAGGAAGTTTCTAAATGATGCAAAAACCAAACACACATACTAAACTGATTATGCTAACGTAGGCTGGGAAAAGAATTCCACCCACCTAGCCTTAGGTGGTTTTAGAAAAATCTCAGCAGGAGAGACACTTGAGAAAGTTCTCAACATCACTAGCCATTAGGGAAATGCAAATCAAAATAACTCTGAGATATCATCTTACTCCTGTCAGAATGGACAAAATCAAAAACACCAATGAGTTTGTGTTGGAGAGGATGTGGAGAAAGGGGAACACTCCTCCATTGCTGGTGGGAGTGCCAACTTGTTCAGCCACTATGGAAATCAGTATGGAGATTCCTCAGGAAGATGGGTCTGAGTCTACCACAAGCCCCAGCAATTCCACTCTTAGTTATATATCCAAAAGATGCTCATTCACACAACAAGGAAATCTGTTCCACTATGTTCATAGCAGCATTATTTGTAATAGCCAGAACCTGAAAGCAACCTAGATGCCCCTCAACTGAAGAGTGGATAGAGAAAATGTGGTACATTTACACAATGGAGTACTACTCAGCGGAGAAAAACAATGGAATCTTGAAATTTGCAGGCAAATGGATGGCACTAGAGGAAACCATCCTGAGTGAGGTAACCCATACACAAAAAGACAAACGTGGTATGTACTCTCTCATATATGGATTTTAGACATGAATCAGGGGAGTGTCAGCCTACAATCCCAGTGCCAGTGAGTCTGGGAAACAAGGAGGTTCCCAAGAGAGATGCCTGATACCCCAGAGAAGTGGAATGAGGCAAGATCTCCTGAGCAGATTGGGAACATCGGGGGAGGGGAGAGAGAACCAAGAAACAGAGAGGGGGATAAGAGGAGGGGAGAAGAAGGCATGGGGGAGCAGGAAGGTTGAGTTGAGGTAAGAATAGAGGAGAGCAGGATGAGAGATACCAAAATAGATGGAGTCATTATAGGTTTGAGGGGAGAGCTGACACTAGTGAGATCTCCAGAGGATAACACCAACTGGCAAACTAAGCAATAGTGGAGAGACTACATTAATAGCCCCTCCTTGATGATGGGGTTGATGACTATTCTATATGCCATCCTAGAACCTTCATCCAGTGGCTGATGGAAGCAGAGACAGATATCCACAGCTAAACACTGAACTGAACTCATGGAACCTAGTGACAGAGATGGAGGAGTGATGAGCAAAGGGGTCAAGACCATGATGGTGAAACCCACAAAGACAGCTGACCGGACAAGGGGGAGCTCTTGAATCCCAGACTGATGGCTGAGAGGCCAACAGGGGATTGATCCAGACTCCATGCATGTAGTGCCAGGGAGGAGGCCACAGAAATCACTGGGGCCTTGGGTAGTAGATCAGTGTTTACTATGGTTTATGAATGAGCTTTGGGAGCCCATTCCAAATAGAGAGATGCTCTCTCTCAGCCTGGAGACATGGGGAAGAGCCTAGGTCCTGCCCTGGATGAAATGACAGACTTTAGATATCCCCCCCAAGAAGGGCCTCACCCTCCCTGGGGAATGATGTGAGGATTGGGTGAGGGGCTGGTGGAGGGACAAGGGAGGAAGGGAGGGAGAGGGAGCTGGGACTGACATGTGAAACATTCAGTTTCTAATTTAAATAAAAGCATAAAAAAGGAAAAATAAGATTAAATAAAATTTTGTTCTTGTTCCCCCCCCCCAAAAAGAAAAGTCTCAGCAGAAACAGTAGAGTAGTCATCCTCCTGGCTGGAGAGTATGAGGAGAAAGAATGGCAAATTGGCTATGTGACATCTGGGGCCTGTGTTTAGAGCCCTCACATGGTTGAGAGGGACAGGTTGCCAGAAACGGGATCATCTTGGGATTACTCAGAATCTGGGCCGACCTGGGGTGTCAACAAGAGCACCAGTAGTTTGGGCGACCTTTCAACCTGAGGGGTAGCTGGGCATCTCGCTCTCTATGAGTCTGCGCATCTCCAGACACCGGGCCCATGAGCACGCCTGAGTGTGAACGGACCTCATTTCGTCTGCAGGACCTGGCACAGCGCCTGACACCTACCGGGTGTTCAGAAGGGACTTGGTGAATGAATGAGTGAATGAATGAATGAGGGCAGAATGGAGGTGGTTCACAGTTTTCCCAGAAATGTAAAAAGGTGAGACATCTGTCTGGGAATTAGATGCAAGTTGAGGAGAAAGGAAGATGTGGGGCGTTCCCCTGCAGGAGCATGAGTCAAAGGGTGGGGGCCATTCATTGTCCACATGACCACAGGACTTGTTGCAACAGTCTGCTGGGGTAAGCAGGTGGCAGTCCAGCATAGGGACTTGGGGCATGGGTTTCACCCCAAATATAGGTGTAGATTCAGGCTTACCAAGGACCTTGAAGTTACTAAGCATGACCACAAGAACGACTAGGGTAACTTTGTAAGTAGTATGATTCAAGAGAAGAAAGGGTTAACTTAAAGTTGGGGTTCATGGGCAGAGATGAATTCATTAAGGCCGTGTCCTGAAGGTGGGATACTGGAACTTAAGATAGCAATAACATCTCTATCAAACTATGATGTTGCCATTTGCGGGGCAAAGTCGGGGTGTGGCTGTATGATGAACACGCTTCCATTAGACTCATGGTGAGACACTGGATTCGGATGTGGGCGTTGGCAGAAGCAACTGTATCTCTGTTCTAAAGTAGAAACAGGCCAGGACTTCTGTTGGAATGATCGGATTTCTCTGAACTGACATACTGCTAAAGTGCACACAAATCTGTATCTCTTTTCACTCCGTCAGGGTCCCTTCCTTAACACTGGTGGGAAAGAGTTAGGTAGGGACAGGGGGTGGCAGATATTTGCAGTGAAGAGGGTTAGTTAAATTGGGGATATCTGGGTGTCAGGATGAGGAATATTCACAAAAGAACATCTTGTGGATGTTAACGCCCATGTCCCCTCGAAAGTAACCCCAAACACTTCGGTGGCAATCCCATCCAGCAGGCGCTGATCCTAGGGTTGACACACACGATTTAACTTTGTCTTTCCAGCCCATTGGGATAGGTAGCATTATCTTAATTTTATAGGTGATAAAGCTGAAGCCCAGAGAAGTCAAATAGATCACAGAGCCAGGATTTATTCCCGATAAACACTGCAAAGCACAGCGATGAGCAGCTTGCCTTTGGATGAGGAAACACGCTGATAATTCGCTCACCCCCGGGGCAGTAAACCGCGCGTACATGTAGACACACCTGCAGTTTTGAAAATGGTCCCTGGCCTTCTCAGCCTTCTATTGTGGAGTGGCAGCTTCAGAAGTACAAATCAGTGTCCGGGGAGGCATTGCTCAACATGCTTTTGTGAGCTGTATAAATAAATGAATGAGGATTGCCACACTCTCGGGTGTCACAATTGACCGAGGGGATGCGTTTTACCAATTGAGTAATTCCCTGAAGAGGGGAACATGGTGTTTATGAGCAGCTCTCAAGGCAGAACTCAGAAAGGGGGAGAGAATTGGGGGCCCTAGTAAGGAGGGTTACAAGCAGGGCTCAGGCCTCCGAGGTAAGAGACCCCCTTCTTTCGGCCTGCAGGGCTGCACTGAAGGTGGGCTCTCCTACCCCTATCCCTCTCTCCAGCCCCTAGTTCAACTTCCAAAAAGGCCAAAGGAACACCAGAGACAGCAATAAATATTTGTTCAAAGTGTGAACGAGTAAAGGCGAGGGAAGGGGTGTGTTTTGAAAATCCATTCTCAGCCTCCCTGCCAACCACACCCCGGCAGGCACTGCCCTCCCAGATAAAGGATAAAGGCTCTCCAGTCTGGAACAGCAAGGAAGGACCCAGCACTTGGTTGCAGGGGCCCTTTGCTCAGAGGGGCTGTTAGAGTAGCCGAGCCATGCCTAGGTACACGGTGCACGTGCGTGGGGAATGGCTGGCGGTGCCCTGCCGGGATGGGAAGCTCACTGTAGGCTGGCTGGGCCGCGAGGCTGTGCGCCGCTACATGAAGAACAAACCTGACAACGGTGGCTTTGCCTCGGTGGACGAAGTGCGCTTCCTCGTGCGACGGTGCAAGGGCCTGGGCCTGTTGGACAATGAGGACCTGCTGGAGGTGGCCTTGGAGGACAATGAGTTCATAGAAGTGGGTGAGTGACCCGCGGGGGGGTGAACGGGATGAACTACCGCGGCATGGCCTGGAGGAAGTCACCCTCGTGTCAGGGAAGATGGTGAGAGAAATAGGCTTGAGTCTCAACCTGGGGAACCTCAAGCTAAGCTTCTCATCTGCCTTGTCCTCAGCCGGCAGTAGCTGTAGGGAGAGGGGCAAGTCCTAAGTGACAAGAGTCTGCCCTTGAACCCAAGGCTGCAGACTGAATCCCCTTGCAATTACAGAATCATTCTGCCATCAGGTTAACCTTATCAGACCGGTGCTGAGATTTCAGATTTAAAAGAAGTGACTTCCGGAGTGGAAGCAGGCTAAAACTCATCTTCCACCGATGTCCCTCACCTGCCTGTCTGCTGCTTGCTTTCCTGTATAAAGACACCAAGGCCATGGGGGAAATGCAGGAAGTCGCGTGCCTGCAGCCACGGCTATGCAGTGCAAACTCAGAGTGTGGAGGGGCCAAGCATGGGTCGGGCAGCAGCCCAAATGTGGCCCCTCTGTCCCCTTCTTGTTTCAGTCATCGAAGGCGATATAATGTCTCCGGACTTCATTCCTTCACAGCCAGAAGGAGTTTTCCTGTATCCTTTCTGATTCCGTTTTGGTCAGCAGTGGGGGCTGGGCCTGCACCATGGTGGGACGGGCTTTTCCACACGGCCAGGATGCTCCTTTACCTGGCTTCAGATACAGCAAATACCGGGAGCCGGAAAGGGTAAGCTGCCAGCTACTTTTCTTTTTGTGCGGAAAATGAAGTCCGGTGCCACGATGCCCCTCCCCCTTAAAGAAGAGGGGGTGCATGCCTGAGTGACTACCACAAGTAAGGCCAGAGTGGTACGTCTGGGAACCTGGCCTTGCTTTCCTGACTTCTCTTGCCCAGTTTCCTTGTAAGCCAGGCATGTGCTTAGTTAGCACAACAATAATAAAGTATTTTCGTCGTCAGACCGTGTCCAGGGCCACCCCATAGCACCCTACCCCCACCCCGGACTCACAGTGATTCACTCCTTTTGTCCAGTACATTGCCTTAGATGGGGACAGTCTGAGCACAGAGGATCTGGTCAACTTGGGAAAGGGACATTACAAGATAAAGGTATGCGGGGAAGGGAAAGGAGGGCAATCCCCTTCCGTTTCCAACGGCCGTGGGAGCCTTTCACATGCTCGCTCTGGCCAACCTTTCCTAGCTCACCTCAGTTGCTGAGAAGAAAGTGCAACAGTCTAGGGAAGTCATCGACAGCATCATAAAAGAAAAAACAGGTATCTTTTCCTCGGGATGCCCTAACGTTATCTTTACCCACCAGCCTACCAATGGAACACCTCAGTTAAATTGAATCACGAGGGTGTCTGCTCATTTTTTATTCCAGTTGTCTACGGCATCACCACGGGGTTTGGGAAATTTGCCAGAACTGTAATCCCTGTCCACAAGCTACAGTAAGTCTCAGGTGCATGCATTCACCACCCATCTGCCCCAACTTGGAGACTTCTCTTCCACGGAGATCTCTTCGCTGAACGCTTGCTTTAGACCAGTGGTTCTCACCTTCCTAAAGCTGCGGCTCTTTTAACAGTTGTTCATGCTGTGGTGACCCCCAACCATAACATTATTTCATTGCCACTTCATGGCTATAATTTTCTACCCTTGTAAATCATAATGTAAACAGCTGACTGCAGGATAGTTGATATGCAACCCCCACAAAGAAGCCGCAACCTATACATTGAGAACCGCTGCTTTAGACCAAGCACTGGGTAACAAATTCTCACTCAACCCTGGCAGACAGCCAAGCCCCTCATGTATCTTGGTGAACAGCGTACCCAGCTCATCCTGACAGAACCAGATCAACTGTTTCCTTCACTGCAGGCGGCTGCCCATCTAAAGTCTTAACTGTTGTTCCCTTTATAATCCCAGCTGAGGGAGCGTGTTCACCCAAGGTGTCTGACTAAGATGGGTCTCATCTTTCTCTTCCAGGGAGCTTCAGGTCAACTTAGTTCGTTCACATTCTGCAGGTAAATTGTTTCTGGTAATGCCAATACCAGATCACATGCTTGACTAGCTCCCAGACACATCAGCTGGTGTGTTCCAAATGTACTCCAAGGGCTGGGCGCTGGGACGCAGGAGTGTAAGCAGATAGCATCAGCCTAGACCAACATCGCACTAGAGCTCAGAAAGCAGAATGGGCCTGGTGGAGGGATGGGCTTGAGATAGGAGCATGTATCCAATCCTACAAAGAGAGTGTGCATCCAGGGGAGAGAACAAAGACTAGCATTTGGGACGTGAACCAGTTAGGATGAGCCCTGGGCCCATCACACGGAAGGAGCCTTCGCCAAGGCCTCTCTGCGGTATTCTGAAGGCATTTGGGCAGGTAAGATTCAATGAAGGACTCTAAGGAAGGAATTGAGAAGGAGAACCTGGACCTCTATCTTGGTCTGGACATGGCTTTGAGGAGCCAGACAGGCAACAGGGAGCACCATCCATCCAGCTTCAGAAAGCCAAGAGAAGACTGGTAAAAGTGGGGAGATCCCCAAGAGGTGCGGGCTGGCAGGGGGGGAGGGCTTTGTTATTGCTTTCTTTTTCCTTGAAGAAAATGATAATTCTGCTTTGTAGGCGTTGGGAAGCCACTCAGTCCTGAAAGGTGTCGGATGCTCTTGGCTTTGAGGATCAATGTTTTAGCCAAAGGATACAGCGGGATTTCCTTGGAGACCCTGAAACAAGTTATTGAAGCATTTAATGGTGAGGCAATGAATCCCTAGTTTGGCCTTTTGGGGAAGTTGGCCACACCCCAAAAGTAGATTGGGATGACTAGATGCCAACACTAAAAAGAAAACAATCAAGATGAGTGTAAAACGGGTTTGGCCAGAAGGAAAACCGGCTTTCAGGTAGCAAGAATGGTAGCTGTAGTTATCCCCATAAGCGTCCACCCACCTTGTGGTAGCTTTTAACATAAGCATGAGACCCACCAGGCATGCCAGGACGTTCAGGCCTTTACAGAGTTGTCTACTCAATGGTGCCCATATATGAAAGGAGAAATTGCACCAAATCATCCATGAACATAATTCCTGGATTATGTCCACCCCAAAGACAGTGGTTCCAGTTGGTAACCGGGAAACCGAACTCTTAATGTTCCCCCTAGATGATGGACAAGTTGTAAAAAGGTAGGTCAACATGTGAAGAGGTTAATAATTGACTTAGCCATGAAGCCGTTGTGGGATAGGATGTGATGCAACGCAACCCAGTCCTAAAAGGGGAGACCAGATTTGCAAGGCTCAGGAAGCTGTCCCTTCACACAGCAAAGGGTAAAACACGAGGTCAATGGGAATCCTAGGGATCCTTGTGGGAAAGTGATGGGAAAAGAAATAAGGTCTCAGCTGGGCGGTGGTGGCTCACGCCTTTAATCCCAGCACTCAGGAGGCAGAGGCAGGTCTGTGAGTTCGAGACCAGCCTGGTCTACAGGACGAGTTCCAGGGCAGCCTTCACAGCCACAGAGAAAGCCTGTCTCAAAAACCAAAAACAAACAAGAGATAAGCTCTCATGTCATGCAGAGAAGACCAGATGCTTGGGTTCTTATGCACATGGCACAGGAGTGAAGGTCACAGTCTACAGGTCATAGGGCTGGTGATCACAGCACTCACCTACAAGCTCTGCTGCACCCCAAGCCTCAAACCCAAGATGGTTGAACTCCAACCTTGAACACACCCGTGCTATGATGGATGCGTTTAAGGCATTTCTGGATCCCTGCTACTCCGGAAATTGCCCAAGTCGGCTATAGTCTGGAATCTGGCCCAGGCTGGCACTGATGTGTCTAACTGACATCATTTAGCAACAGCTGTGGAAACAATCACCATCAGGACTTCATTTTAGGAAACAGAAGCCTCCTTTTGGGGGGTAACTTTTGGGGAAATTTCTAAAAAATAGTACATGTGTATGCATAAGTGATCAGTGTATGGGGTGGTAATTGGACAGAGAAAGAGAGAAATTCTGTGAATTTCTTGTTAAAGAAATTTGTTAATAGTACTTCAGTGTGCCACGTCCTTCTAGAACCATCCATGACTTTTAAAGTAAACACAGTTTTTAAGCATTCTCCAACAGCCTTTAATGATTACATATAATCACATAAATGTCCCTTAATTCTGTATTTTGATTATTTCTAAATTTTTGCTCTTATAAACCAGAATGTGATGATCAACAGCTAACTTATGGTTGTGTTTCTGAGATACCGGTAGAATCCTAGGAGTGGGGTCGTGACAGCATGAGCACCAGGTGCTTCCGACTGGATGCCTGTCCCCATTTTTCTCTCCTTCCTTCCTCTCTTCCTCTCCCTCCTTTCCTTCCTTCTTCTTCTTTCTTCTTTTCTCCTTCTTTCCACACTCCCCTCTTTCATCACAACTCAGCTGCTTCTCTCTTTCTATCTCTCTGTTATTCAAGACAAGGTTTCTCTATGTAGCCCTAGCTGTTCTGGAACTCTCTCTGAGACCAGGCTGGCTTTGAACTCAGAGATCCACTGGCCTCTGCCTCCTGACTGCTGGGATTAAAGGTATGAGCCACCACCGCCTGGCTCAGCTGCTTCTCTTAAGCATTAGTTGTGCCTGAGGAACGGTCATTCTTGGATATGTATGCTACAAAGTGACTCTAGACCCTGTCGGCAGTGAGGGCTGTCTTCACTGGCAAGGCAAACCGCAATGGCTTAAGCACTCTAGAGGTCACTGATGCCTGCTTCTCTCGCAGCCTCCTGCCTGTCCTACGTCCCCGAGAAAGGAACTGTGGGCGCCAGTGGGGACCTTGCGCCTCTCTCTCATCTAGCCCTGGGACTCATTGGAGAAGGAAAGATGTGGTCCCCGAAGAGTGGCTGGGCTGACGCTAAATATGTAAGCCTCACATAACGGCTTCATGCGTAGGTATTCTCAGCCGGAGCCAGGAGACGCTAGTGTGTGATTCGTCACTTAGTCTTCATGGCTGTCCAGGTACAGACGAGTCAACTCAAGCCTTGGAGTCAAACTAGGAAGGATATTGGCTTCCACATTCCCCTGCCAGCATTCAAGATCTGTGGATCTAGATGGGAACGTACAGTCACTCGTTTTAATTTCAGGAATTTATTCTGCACTCAGAAGGCTGCTGGCGCCCACTGTGGAGGTTGAACTAGGTCACAATTGTACTGGGGAGCTTGCATCTTACAGGTGGGAGTTGTGAAAGACAGAGGTGTGGTCTCTAGAATGAGCTCGTCAGAAAGGCATGTTTTACACAAAGCTTTAACGTTTCCTTCATGAGCGAAGCTCAGCTGAGCAGCCTACCACATCATTTAGTGTCCTTTATGAGCACGAGTGAGAGGTACCCAAACAGCAAGTGAAAGAGACAGAGGACCAGGGCTGGAGAGATGGCTCAGTGGTTAAGAGCACCGACTGCTCTTCCAGAGGACCTGAGTTCAGTTCCCAGCACCCACGTGGCAGCTCACAGCTGTCTGTACCTCCAGTTCCAGGACGCCTGGCACCCTCACACAGACATGCAGGCAAACACCAGTGAACATAAACATTTTTTAAAGTTAACAAAAAAGGGCATAGGACCAAGGAGGAAGAAGAAACTAGACCGTCCTTTGTGGAATCCAGGTTCCAGGTCATCTGTCTCCTGTGCAGGCTAACTTTCTGTCTCTGTGGACAGTGTTTCCTTAGTCTTCCCATGGCAGCCGGCCTGACCTTAGTCAAAACCAATCCCAAACACATCCTAGTTAAACGTCTAGCATTTTGCTCCTCTCTATGATAAAATTCAGTCATAGTGCGGCTTCACCAGGGTTGTTTGCCGTGTGATCCCCACAGCACCCCCTTCCCAAGGCTCTCCACAGGGGAAACTAGAGTTAGCCGCAGCTGGAATGTGCTCTGAGCTTAGCAGCTGCCTCAACACCTTGTCTTCCATTTTTTTTTCTTCTGGAAAGTCCTCTAGGAATCTGCCCTCTCTGCTCCTCTGCTCTTTTCCAGGTCACCCAAAGAGGTGGTTATGTTTTATTTGTTTCCTCCATATGCCCTCGAGCTTTCAACCTATGAGTGGCCTAGTTTCCCTGAACTTGTCAGTCAGTCTGCTGCTCCCACCCCAGCCCAGCCCAACACCTTGCAGAGAGAAGTTCTCAGGCCCTGAGAGGCGGACGCAATGAAGTGACACTGGGTGACACTGGTCTGTCCTTCTCCTGCTTCAGCTCCCTCTTCCCTTCCCCCTCCAGGAGAACCTCAATGCAGCAGCACCCTTGTGTTACTCGAGAGAAAGCACGTGCTGTCCCCTTCCTCTCGGGAACCTGGCTCTACCTAGTTGAGGGGTTGCCATAATCTTCTCCTCCTTGGTGTGCATGCATTTGCTCCCAAGCCCTACTCTGAGGGTCTGTGGGAGACAGAGGATGCAGAAACAAGGGTAGAGGGTGATTTGGGGATCATGCTTTGGATGCAGAAGCATAAAGACAGGCATCCCGGAGCCCTGTCTTACCCAAGAGTGGGCATATGTAGGTGAGTCTCAAAGTTTGATGCTCAACACAGAGGAACTTGAAAGCAAAATGCATTCTATAGGCACCCGAGTCCTTGGTTCAAAAAATCCATAAGTTATCCAAATGTCAAGCCTACTTTCCGACTAAAGAGGCGTAGATGCTGGCCCCGAGAGCCTGGCCAGAACCACTTTATGTAGGCATAATCTTTTATGAGACAAACTTTGGAACTGAAAGTATTTCACTGGGCTCCAAATAAAACAACAACAAAAAAATAAGCTGGTATTTCAAGCAATAACCATGTTTATGCTTTCAATCATTCAACAGGTCCTAGAAGCCCATGGGTTGAAACCAGTTGTTCTGAAACCCAAAGAGGTTAGTCAGTCAAGAAAAACTTGTTTGCATCAACAAATCTTTACATATGCCCTGTCTTAATCCTTAATGCCAGCCTCATTGGTTCCTTAAAATAAATGCAGCTTATGTGTTGAATGACAGTTGCTCACCAAAGAAAGGGATTCTCCGTGAATGTTTAAGATTAGTCATGTCACAAGTCCCTGAGGTTTCTCGAAGAACATAAATTTCAAATATAATTTTCCAAGGAGCTTGATACTATCTGCTCAGTCAGCCCCTTAAGATGCTCTCAGTCACAACTTTGGACCAGGATAGTCTGAGGATGTCTTGTCTATGATGGTGAGAAGTTAATAAACACAGCACAGAGGCCTGAAGATGCTGCACGAATTCTGCACTGCATGGCCACATGGCTGTCTTGACAGGGGGACAGTCGTCAGGTACCCTTTGGCCTGATCTGTGCTGGTGATTCCAGATGTGATGCCACTCAAGATCACGAATGTGCACCACTGGTCCACACTTGCGAAAACTCACAGACCCACGGCTCAGCCGGCTGGCTCGGTTCTCTCCTACAAAAGCAGACTGTACCAGATCCGCTTGTCTGCGGGTTCATTACGATGAGCACAGTAAGAAACTTGTCTTCCTTTCCCCACAGGGCCTGGCGCTCATTAATGGCACGCAGATGATCACGTCCCTGGGCTGCGAAGCTGTGGAACGAGCCAGCGCCATCGCCCGGCAGGCTGACATTGTGGCTGCCTTGACCCTTGAGGTGTTGAAGGGCACCACCAAAGCCTTCGATACCGGTCAGCAGGTTCTGTGTGGCTACTCCTTCAACCAGGGCGACTTGCTTGATATTTGTAGGCACAGAGGTGGAGGGGGGTGGGTGGCAGGGAAGAGCGAGAAGACCCAGGTGCTCCTAGGATACCCAGGACTGCCACAGCTTCACTTGAGTTCTGCCGTATTCAGTCCTGTAACAATTACAGTCTGCAGACAGACACTGACCTGGAGAGCTAAGCGACCTGCTCCAGGTCACCCGGTGACCCAAGCATGCCAACTAGGCATTGTTTTAGGAGTCAGACTCTGGTTAAAAAAAAAAAAAGGGGAGGGGGTTGATGAGAGCTCTGTAGGTGAAGATCTTGTTTTGCAAGTGCAAAGACCTAAGTTCGATCCCCAGAACTGACTTTTTAAAAATTGGGCATGGTGGTGTGTGCTTGTAATCTCAGAGCTCAGGAGATGAAGACAAGCAGATTCCTGGGGCTTGCTGGCCAGCCTAGCTTACTTGATGAGTTTTGGGCCAGTGAGGAACGCTGTCTCAAAATGAAAACTAAGGGGAAGGAGAAGATGGGCAGCCCCTAAGGAATGGCACCCACGCTTGTTCCCTGGCTTCTATATGTATATTCATAGACACTTAGCATTTGTGTGCTCATGCATGTATAGACAGACAGAAACACACACACACACACACACACACACACACACAGCACGCACGCAGGTGCACACATACAGAAAGAGACAGTGGAAGAGAGATTATGATTGCCCTGATAAGAAAACCGGGAAAGCAAAGTGATATAAATGTCTGTATCTTATCTAGAAATTTATGAATGTCAAAGGCTCTGTGTTAATAAGTAGAGCAAAATATGTCCAAAAATGACTCGGTCAAATTAAGCCACTATACATGGTTTCTGTGGTCTTCAGTCTAGTTCCTTTAAGGGTGGGTCCAGGGTCTTGAGTTAAGTTTCTAGGTGTGTTCTGCAAACAGTTTGTACTCCTACATGTACAATAGAGACGATCAAGTAGATAAAGGAAAATTTAACCTCTGGGTTAAGTATTTAATCCTGCATGACAGGTGAGAACACCCAGGACTTTAGAGGGTTCTACCAGCACCGTGGGTGGTCCTGCACCCTCTGTGCAGGATTCATTCTAATACCAGAACTGCTCAGACTTTTTTGCCTCCTTCAATTGATTGCAGATATTCACGCTGTCCGCCCTCACCGAGGGCAAATTGAAGTTGCTTTTCGGTTCCGGTCACTCTTGGACTCAGATCACCACCCATCAGAAATCGCAGGTCTGAGCAAGTTTGTTTTGAGTGGGCTCACTGGTGCTATGTGCCCTGAGGAGACCAGTAATATGTTGCCTGTTTTTTTTCCCTCCTCTTACCCATCCTTGCACAGAAAGCCACAGGTTTTGTGATCGCGTCCAGGATGCATACACCTTACGCTGCTGTCCACAGGTAAAGTCAAGAGCCAAGAGACCAACAAAGGCTCTTTCCCCAAATTCAGAGGGAAAACAATAGAAAAAGGGTAAGGTTTTAGAAAACCATGCCATGGACAAATGTAATCCAAATCTCTCTGCTGCTACTGTTAAAAATGGTGTATTTTATACTTCTGTTTCTCCTGTCTTTATCAACTTCTTACTGGGTTGGCTAAACCTCCCATATCTTGACCTCCTATGTTGATGTACTACAATGTCTGAGTAGCATTGAAGAGTCCCACTGGCTCTTCCGTAGAGAAAAATTACAGTCAGTCAGTCAGGGATGTTCACAGTTCTGTCTTTCAGAATTCAAATACCTTATCATCATCTGATGATCAAATGTAAAACATTATAAATGAGTCTCTGACAAACTTTAAGTGAGAAATGGGTGCAACCTTTACATAATCTGACTGGTGAACAATTATAATCACCTCAAGAAATGATTTGTCACTCAAGTTCTAGTCAAGAGAATAAAAGGGTGTTTTCCCTAGAGTAAATTCCCCACTCCTATTTGACTAGTTTATTAAACAATAAGCTAATCAAAAACTTCTATGGGAAAGAATTACCAAATTTAACTGAACCGTAAGAATGAGTCCTGTTGTAAGAGCCCCTGCCACTAAGAGTGATGACTGGCTCCCAATGATGGGCTCCATTGTTGATGTCTTCCAGATACTAATCCAGTGGGTTCCCCAACTGTGAAATCGGTACTTTCTCCCATTTTGCAACCAGGACCTGATGAACAGGGCTCAGTACCTCCTTGTCCAAGATCATAGCACTAGATCCTTATCTCCTGGACTTCTGGGAGAAGCCAGGAAGTGTGCCATGGCTGTCCTGGGGAAAAGTGCAGGGTGGCTGCTTTCCTTGTGATCATCTTTAGTGTGAGCTTTATGTCTCATGACATCAGACCCTTGATGGCTATACCATCTGGGTGACCTCTGTGAGTCATGTCCAAGAAATGCTTAGAGTTTCTTATTTACTTCTTATGAACAGAAAGCTAGCTTCCGTTGTCTTCTTTCCAAATCTCTGTTTCAATCAGAAACATGACTTGCCTACATTCTAACACTGGCGCGGAAGTGCAATTCTTTGTGGCTAGGGCTGGCACTTTCTCCTATACCACGGTGTTTTATATATCAGTCTAATATACTTTCTGTATTTATTTTATGTATTATTTAAATGTATTTATTCTCATTTGCTTTACTGAGAACTTAGCAGTTGTCTTCATATCCTCAAGGAGCCAATTATACTTTTTGTGATCATAACTGCCAAAGCAGTTATAAGCAAGAGCCTGAAAATGGTATCTTACAAGAGTATTGGCATTCTTATTGGATATTACTAATATGCCTTACTTTTATTGTGCTTTAGATCCATGGCGTGGTGAATGATACCATAGCATTTGTGAAGGACATCATTACTACAGAACTGAACAGTGCTACAGACAACCCTGTATCTTTTGAATGTTCTACACATTTGAAATTTTCTCTAGCTGGCTGTGTTAGGATCTGTGCTGAATTATTCTATCTCGTAGGTAGATGAGTAAGTCCCTGAGGCTGAGCACTTGGTGGCTTCTTCTTGGTCAGAGTCAGTAAGCAGACACATGAGCCGATTCTTAGGTTTTGAGTTTAGCATGATACCCTTTTTAAATTGACCCACAAAAGATAAAGCAGCATTTGTGGATATGTTTCACCAAGACATTGACTGAAAACCCACTGGTGAGGTTGTTGAGGATGTGATTAGAGTATCCTAGACTAGCATTCCCTTCTGTGGGCTCCAGGCTGGCCTTCCTTTCTGCCAGCTCCAGGCTGGCCCTCCCTTCTGCATCCTGGTTCTAGTGATTCAGGATGCATTGAGCAGAAAATGACAGATTAACACATCAAAATATTTCCAGTGACATAAGGCTTCTGCATCCTCAGGTTTCTTTCTGGCACGGGTTTGACTCAGGCCACAACATGGGTCTCTGTACACACAATAAGAATGCTTTCGTTCCTTGTGGAGGGTTTTTTTTTTTCTACCATTAACAGGATCACTTTCCCCTAGACAGCGTGTTGTTGTCATTTTTCTCTTTGAAGCTGAGATATTTAGTCAGGGTACAGTCTTCACAGAGGCATCGCTGCCTTTGAAAACAGGTACCCTCTTAAGAACACTTCCTTCCCATTCCACAGGAGAAACTACTGAGGGACCAACATGAGAGTGGTTCTCAGCCCTGATTAAATAGATGGCGGGTTACCCAACAGCTTGGCAGGCTTCTCACCCCAGGTTTGAGTGTGCTTTTTTTTTTATAAGTCTCCTTTGGGATTTCGTTTTATGTTCTCTGAGATGGCTTCATGGTGAGTTCAAATGAGCAGTCAATAATCCTTGGGATTATGAATGTCACTCATACCAGAAGGAACAATGGTTTTTATGAGTGCTGTGTGGTCTATCTAACTCATGAGTTTGTTTTCATTGATACGGGGGCAATGCTATACTGGCTCAGTTAAAAGGGAAAGGAGTAACATGAATTTACTGGATATGGATGACAGTTTTGTATTTAATTTTCCCCCAGCCAGAGCTTTAGCCGAAAGTTCCCCACTTTCTTAATAAAGTATTCAGTGCAAAATGCTGGGTGTTAGGAAGTCGAGAGTTGCTGGAATTCTAATAACCAACAAAGTTGGAAAACAAGAGAATGATACAACATGCTTGGCTTCTAAATTAGAGCAGCAGTCAGTCGATGCAGGGAACAGAGGACAGAAAGAAGACTGTATATGTGAGGGGTTGGCTGTAGGACACTCTTCCCATTGCAAAATCTTTGCTTGCTCAAGTCCCTAATCTACTTGTGAATAGCCTTCTTCCTGTATGCTTTTAAATCCTCTCTGGATTACCTGTGACACCTAACAATGCAAACACTACATAAATAGGTGTTTTATTGTATTATTTAGGGAATAATGACAAGAAAAAGCTTGCTCACATTCAATATAGACACGATATTTCTTCTGAATATTGTTGGCCACAGATGCCAATCTTAGTAATGAATGTAAATAAATAGCTAAATATATTGTTCATAAAGCCCAGAGGGGAAACATAAGCTTGTGGAACCAGAATGGAGGGTCTTTTACTATCTTTGCCCTTGTGCCTCCTAGCTTAAGCAAAGTGCGTGATAGACTGGAACTATCAGTGGGGATGATCACACTCCATGAGTTCAAAGTTCCCTCCTGCTGAAGTAAGTGGGTCTGCAGGACATGTTGGCTATTGAACACTCTTGTAGGATCTCAGAGGACAGCGGGAAAACAGTGCCAGCACTGATTATTCCAGACGTTTTGGTGAGTGCGCTATGAGCCAAATCTATTCAGCAGCTTCTTCTACAGAGCATGGGTCCACAGCTCCACAGAGGAAACAGAATACGATTTCAAACCAGTGGCTCATGTTCATAGTTTTAGCTCCTGACGATAAATGTTAAATTGGCAGATTAGAAAAATTATGGGAGTTGACATATCTGATCTCAAGAGAAATTACTTGTACACAATTTACCTTCAGAGGGTGTGTGTGGTGTGTGTGTGGTGTGTGTGTGTGTGTGATGTGGTATCTGTGTATGTCTGTGTGCGGTGTATGTGTGTGTGTGTGTGTGTGTGTGTGTGTGTGTGTTCCTGTCAACAACTGCTTATGGGAAGACTTGTCATTTCCTTATATCTGTACGATGACTGCCACTTCAATACTAAAAATAAGCAGATGGGGGTAGGAGTTACCTTTGAAGTGACCAACAATGTTATGTTCAAGCCTTAACCTTTTTTGAAAGATGGTCTTTGCCAGTCGAGGAGAGACAATTTCAGGAGGAAACTTCCATGGTGAATATCCAGCCAAAGTAAGCTTTCTCTGAGTGTGCTCCTAACCCTGGAAGTACATTCAATGCTTCTGAGTGTGCTCCTGACCCTGGAAGTGCATTTCAATGCAGGCCAGCTAAACTGAGCTGTCCTTTCAGGCCCTGGACTATTTGGCCATTGGCGTCCATGAACTTGCAGCAATCAGTGAGAGAAGAATCGAAAGGCTGTGTAACCCCTCCCTCAGCGAGCTGCCTGCCTTCCTGGTGGCTGAAGGAGGGCTGAACTCTGGATTCATGATAGCCCATTGCACTGCAGCAGCCCTGGGTAAGGACAGGAGCCTCAGAATGCAAGCCTGCCCACCACAGGCTTTCCCGGTTCCCCTGAAAGCCTGAACCTTTGCCCTGGAGTGACCACTGATGTTGCTCCTTTCATGCACATCCTAGCAGGTTGAATCTTGCCATTTTCTTAAGAAAATAGAACCTAAATAATGTAATGCTGGAAGATAGTAATGCAACGTGAGGCATAAATGGACAATCGCCCCAGGTGCATCTGAACGTCATCAATGTAGCTTTTTTTCCCAAAGACTGTCAGAGGAAAAGAAAGACAGAGATGATTATAGTTGATGGCAAAAAGTTGAGCCAAACCAAATTCCTTAAACTTTGAGAATCTATTAGAGCCACTATTCACTAAAAGATTAAGATGCTCTGAAAACAAAAACACCTCTAAGAGGCAACATGCCTTCTGGAAACTGAGCTGGTTTCTGATTTGAGATGGCAAGGTACAGGTAACTAATGCATCACAACAATGTCTGCCACAAAGTTAGTGCCAGTGGCCTTGCTTATTTCCCCTCAGTCACAACAATGCCAGGAGGGAGGGAAGGAGGCACTGTTATTGTCTCCACTGGCCAGGTGACTAATCGGAGACCCCAGAAGCTGACTTTCCCAATATTGCACAGTCGTTGGATGTAGAGCAGAATTCAAACACAGCCATATTGGTACCCAGCATTGTGCACTCCTAAGGACTCTTTTATCACCACCACCACCACCATCACCATCATTTATGAACTTTAGCAACAGGTGCTTTCAGTTTGCTGACTTAAATCAAGTCATCAGCTTGTTATAAATTAAAAATGAAGTTTTTAAAAATCTCAGCCATATACGAAACAACTTAAAAATCTTCAATGACATATGGAGAAAAACCAGACATTAGTAAATAAATAGACTAAGCAACAAAACCCTTATTTGTCATTGTCCAAAAGAGACATCTTTAGGTTAAAGTGTTTATCTAACCACATGCTTCACAGACAAGGCAGATAGTTCTATCTTATCTGGTTAAGTGACAAAAACCAAGTCCTTAATGTCTTCAGCTCCCATCTTATTATTTCCTGTTGCTGCAATGCCATGCCATGTTTTCCTTGTTGGATGACTAAACTGCTTGATGGAATGGTTGATAAGCTGCTGTTTATTCAGGCCTGCCCTACTCGGCATAACCAGATGAGTCCTCCATACTTGGATCGCCTGCTCGCATCTCTTTGCCTTCTTGTGGTTTAGGATTCTCTGGGTATTCGGGTTGTGATTGAAGTTACAACACTTGGAGGTGGCTACTGGCCTTGGGTCTCATCTCCTTGGTTCTCCTTACCCTCAGCATTGCTGTCCTCTCTAGGCTGTCTTCCGGGATGAGGGCCCCTATGGATTCATGACCCGTAACCCCAAACACAGCCTGTCTCACTGGTCTACCTTGCTGTCTTTCTCTGTGTCTGTCAGCACCCTCTATCTAGTCTTCCTGCATGACATGGTTGTATGGAATAGGGTGGTTCCAGCTTGTAGAAGGGGGGGGGGCAGGGGAGGGAGAGGGACTCTGTCTAGAACAGTATGGGCATTGTTGGGCCTGGCCTTCTGGCTCCTCATCTTTCCCTAACTCTCATTATTCTGGTAATCCTAATGGTAGCTGCATGGAGGACCTCTACCATATAAGAGGGTCTACCATGGTTTTAATAGACTACATAGCAACTGCCTGGAGCTTGAATTCTACCAGGGCCTGTAACCTTTCCTGCCTCTGCATTCTTCTCAATTAGATCATACCCATTTCTTACAATGAACTACTTTTCTGTTCTGAAAAACCTTCCTTCCCAGCCAGGTGTGAGTATGAGGCTGCTTGGGGTTCTGGCCTACATGCTGTTGGTTGCCGTGGTGGTGGCTTGGATGTACTGCTGCATCTATGGCTCCTTGGAGGGTGTGATGGTCACTGGGTCGCTAGGACAGTGGGGTTGCTCAGGGCTCTCAGGAGTCCACTCTCTCTTCCTATTGCTGGTTGATACCAAGAATCTTGTGTTCATCAGTACAAATCTAAAATAGAGTAGTCATATTTGGCAAACAAAAATGTAGGATGCCTAGCTCTATTTGAATTACTTGGGACCCACTTGTTTCAAAATTTAGCTGAGCATCCCGTATTTTCTTCAACAATCTTGCCTCAAAGGGCTAGATAACATGATGGCTAATTAAAAGCATCAGGTGGAATTTAAACCCCAGATCTGCCATCTGTAATAGTGTGGTGCCAGACCTCTTCATTGGTTGATACTGTTGACCTCAGCTCTCTGCTGCATAGAGCACACAATGATAACTGTATCTTAAATCTGGCTGCCTTAGGTTAAATGGACTAATTATATGTATAAAGTGTTGGATCTCTGCTTGGCCTCATGAGTGCTAAATAGTAATTTCTGCTTGATAACAGTCCCTTTTAGGGAGACAGTTCCTCCAGCTGGCTAGCCCTAGCTGAGAGGTAGGCCAGGCTGACCTGGAACTTAGATTCATCTATCTGCCTCTGACTTCCCAGTGCTGGACTTAAAGGCATGTGATACCATGTCCAACAATAATATACCCTGAAGCTCTTCTCAGCTAACTCTTCTCTCTAAAACTCAATACAACCAAGAGAGAACCACTAATACTCCTTCTTTGGCCCGGCATTATCCATTTGCTCACTCCACTTGTTTCCAAAGACACCTCTCGCTTTATGGAGGTCGTGGGGCAACAGTAACTGATTATGACCTTGGGGAAGACTGGCTTGAATGAGTTCAGCCTTGTAAGCTGCCACTGAAGATGGACGTTCTTCCTGAAAATGCTTCGTTTATTTATTTAGTCATCCTTTTACCTTTGTAAAACTTACTTGTAAGTTTGTGCTTTCTATAAAGGTTCCTGTCAGCACAACCCTCGTTTTATTTTACCAGGATACAATTTTTAGTGCCAGAACCTGAGATATCTTGTACAAGCCAGGACAAAACTGGTCCCCCAGTTTAAACCTAGATGCTGGAAGGGTAGGATCCCTTATGCCAATGGTTCTTAACCTTCCAAAAGCTGCAACCGTTTAATATAGTTCTTCATGTTGTGGTGACCCCCAACCCTAAAATTATTTTCATTGCTGCTTCGTAACTGTAATTTTGGTATTTTTATGATTCATAATGTAAATACCCATGTTTTCTGATGGTCTTAGCTGACCCCTGTGAAAGGATTGTTTGATCCCCAGGGGTCACGATCCACAGGTTGAGAACCAATGTCTCACATCATAGTAAAGAGCAGAAGCTATTTTCTAGGTCAGTAGAAGAGAGAAAAGACTTTGAGTTTGACCTTTCCTAACATCTAGAACTGGGAACTTGGTTGGTGACTTGGGTCTTTGTTCCTTAAGGTATAGTCTTCAGCGTGGCATGTGAAGGATGCCATATGGCATCACACGGGAGTTTATTAAAGCACTGGGAACTCAGAACCCATCCCAAACTCAGTATCTGCAGTGTAGCAAGATTATTGACTAATGTGGGAACTTGGGCTTGAGAGACCCCAGTATAGATGCCCCTCACTGTCTAGACATTGCTGCTTATCAATGAAGACCTCCTTCAAGCCCGAAACACCTACTTGCATGGTCTTGGAATCATCTCAGTTACTCAGTATTGCTCAAGATCTGCAGGCCCAGCATTGGTTCTCCATGCTGTCCCTAAATGCTAATGTGGCTCTTCTCCCGATGTGAGCAAATTGTTCTTGAGTAGCTGAACTCATCCATCACGCTTCCACCCCACCCCATCCCCACCCATCTCCTGGGCATGCCAAATGCTTCTAGTGTTCTTGGCATGGTTTGTAGTATGAGCATTCTCACATTCTCATTGCCACCTTATCTCAGAACTCACCGGGATCTTAGGACCCTCCCCACGTTGGGAGAACATTGACCCATGTGTTTTTCCACCGTGGCTCTGAACCACCCGGTGCTTGGGTCATGGTCAAGAGCCCCTGGAGTGGTCCTTCCATGCTGTGAAGACTTTGGGGGAGCCGTGTAATATTTTGGCAGCGTTTCTTTTTAGGGATGTTGCCTCACTTGCACTGATCTCTTGCAGTTTCTGAGAACAAAGCTCTGTGCCACCCTTCATCCGTGGACTCACTCTCCACCAGCGCCGCCACGGAGGACCACGTCTCCATGGGAGGATGGGCAGCCAGGAAGGCCCTCAGGGTCATCGAGCATGTAGAGCAAGGTAAAGCCTGCACTGGGAGGCAGACCTCACTGGTAAACTAGTTTTCTGGGTCATTCTCAGAATGGAATCACTGCCCACAAAAGCAGTCTTCTTCAGAAACTCATTTGAAACTTGGGTCCTCTGGCCGCTCCCAGAAACACTAGAGAGAAGAGGGGACTGTGATGAAAGAGCTTTCTAGGTGACTGTGTCCCTCACTGAAGATTAAGAACTAAGGAGCTATGCGGAGATAACCTGACTCTTTGTAGAGCTCCATTTTAATGAGGTGGGGGTTTGTTTGTCTGGTTTAGTATCTGAAAGTGCAGAGAAGAGAACCATGAACCCTAGCAAGCCACAACTGATTCAAAGGCCCAAACATTTGCCTCCTGGTTTTTGTTTTCCCAAATTATTTTCAAGCAAATCTCTCTGCTGTTCACATATAGTTTTTCTCTCTTCAATACAAATAGTTCCAGGCTGGAGAGATGGCTCAGTGATTAAGACCATTTAATACCCTTATAGAGAACTAAGTTTGGTTACCAGAATCTATGTCAGGTAGCTGCCTGTAACTCCAACTCTAGAGGCATCTGCCACCTCTGGCCTCCATCTACACACATGCACACACACACACACACACACACACCATTAAAAATAAGTATTTCCTTGAGATAATTACAGCATCTCTCCCTTCCTTTTCCTCCTCCAAACCCTCTTATATACCCTTCATTTCTCTCTTTTAAAGCCATGACCTCTTTTTTCATTGTTGTTACATGCATATATGTATACACATATATATTCCTAGGTATAGCCTGCCAGGTCTGTATAACGTTAATGTATGTATGTTTCCGGGGTGTTTGGTACGGGACATCCGGTTGGTGCGTTTCTCCTTGGGGAATATTTATTTCCTGCTGCCGCACTCCTTAGCTTCCTGCAGTTCTCTGTGTGGGGGTTTTCCCCGTGCACATGAACATGACTATGGTGTCGTCTTCACCTAACTCACGTTATCAGTGATTTCCCCTCAGCCACACTTGTTTCCTGTCTACCACAGTGTTTATCTAAATGTCCACACACCCGATGGCTCCCCACTTGACACGCAGCTCTGACCAAACGTCTGAAGAGTTGCCCTTATCTATCCCCACCTCTCCTATGTAACTAACCCTTCAGCACCAGCTTGCAGACACAGCAGATCAAGTCATCACCTCCTCCTCCTTCCTATCTTATGCAGCTGCCACACATTACAAAATAGGGCGAGCATCTATCTGCAAATGTAATTTAGCCCACACCATGCCCCAGCTGGAAACTTGCCGGTTACTTTCCAGCACTCAAAACCATATCCACCCCACTTCCTTAGGCCTAGAAGCCTGGCACGATCTGGCATCTGCCCCTCAATGCCCCTTCTCTCAGGCCCTCTCCTTCCCAGAACTGCAGTATCAGTGTCAGCCTGTGGTGCCAGCGAACACATTACCTGCAGCTCTAACTCTAGGGACTTCTGGTTCCTTCTCACTCCATCACACAGCTGCCCAAACGCCTCACATATCTTCCTTGGCTCAGCTAGAACAGCAGCCTGCATTTTTCCTTTGTTGTATTTTGTTCTGTTTCATTCTGATAGCACTCAGTGCCTCTGGTACAGTTAGGCTGGTTTGTCTTTCCACAACGCCAAGGATCTCCTCTGCCTTGGCCATACGGATAGAAGCACCTGGTTCAGATATATTGCTCAAATGTTCGCGTGGCGGTAAGTGGTTACCTAGTCCATCAGTGCTGTTCTCTCTTTTTATAACATGGAAGGGAAATCAGCAACAGGTAACTAAGAACCAGCTGTATTACAAACAGGCTCATTACTTAAGTTTGCTTTGATTACAAATGTCCAGCAAATACCTTCAAAGTCTGGAATCCAGCAGTGCTGGCTGTAAGTGTGAGAGGCTTATCGCATGCCCACTCACGTCCTTGAATCAGCAACCAGCATGCCAGTGTGGGCCGTGCAGAAAGGTGCCTGCCACTTGAGCGCAGCAGGTAACACAGTGGGCGAGGTGCACCCATCTCCTGCTACAGAAACCAACCTCTGTTCAGAGAAGCAAGCGCTTGCCAACCTGACTTCTTTCTGGTAATTAACAAAAGGCTGAAGGGCAGAGTTACAGGAGGAAAGTGTAGAATCTGATCAAGTCTGAGGGGACCAGAAATGGCATCTCCAAAGGAGAAACCATGATTAAGACCTGAATAGCATATGGCCGTGTGCGTGCGTGCATGCGTATGTGTGCGTGTGTGTGTGTGTGTGTGTGTGTGTGTGTGTGTGTGTGTGTGTGTGTGAATTACTGTTATGAAGGAGAGAGAAGGGGTACGCAAGAAGTAGGTTGTTTCAGGATGCGTTACAATGATGACACGGGACATCCAAGGACAGATGCCAGAGCTCGGGGAAGAGCTGCTGGATGACTGACAGTCAGTGCTCTGTGTAGAGGTAGCTGGAGTCTGAAGTGCAGGAGCCTGGCCTTGATGAAGCAGTTGCATGGGAATGGACGAGGACTTGAAGTACAATGGCGACTGGAAGAAGGAAGGAAACCCCCTCAAAGGGAACGCCTTCAAGAACACAGGGCAGCAGAGCTCCGAAGTGAGGGAGGGGTGAGAAGTTAAGACAATTCTAGAGACAAGGCATGCATTTAAATTAGCCCCTTGGTCAGGTCTAAAGCACTAGAGTGTTTCAATGTATCTAAGGAACACATACATTTGCAATATAGCTAAGGACTGCTGTCATTTATTTGCCCAGGGTAGTTTTATTCCTTTTTAACTCAAAGTAAATGTTTTTTCATATAGCATATTCTGATCACAGTTTCCCCTCCCTCATCTCCTCCCAGATCCTCTCCACCCATCCAACAACATGCCTTCTTTCTCTCTCCCTAGGAAACAGAAAGGTCAATAAAACAAATAATAAACCAGAGTAAAACAAAGCAAAGCAAACAGACAGAAGAAAAAGGCCTGAATACATACACACTCAGAGACACATATACACAGGCACAGAGATACACGTGCACACACAGAGATACACATGTACACACAGAGATACACATATACATGTAGAGACACACATACACAGGTGGAGACACACATACACACACAGATACATGTACACATGCAAAGACACACATACACACAGAGAGACACAGAGACACATACACAGAGACACACATATACATGCAGAGATACACATACAAAGGCAGAGACACACATACACACAGAGATACATACACACATACACAAAATCCATGGAAACACAAAAGCAGCTCCAACAATAACACTGAGTTCATCTGTGTTTGTTGTCTAGTGCTGAGCATGGGTCTTCCTTAAGTGTGGTTTGTATACACAGTGATGTTCCCTTGAAGAAAACTTTTTCCTTTGCAAGCAGTTGACAATTGGAGACAGCTTCTAGGTTAGGGATGGGGGCTTGTGTCTTCTGTCTCTGTCTCTGTCTCTGTCTGTCTCTCTGTCTCTCTGTCTCTGTCTCTCTCTGTCTCTGTCTCTCTGTCTCTCTCTGTCTCTCTGTCTCCCTCTCTGTCTCTGTCTCTCTCTGTCTCTCTGTCTCTGTCTCTGTCTCTGTCTGTCTCTCTCTCTCTTAGTTCTGGCTCGAACCTGTGCAGCCCTAAGCATACTGCCAGTTCTGTTGTTCTGTTGTATCTGGAAGGCACTGTTTCCTTGGTGTCTTCCATCCCCATTCTGCCTCCTCTTCTGTAAAACCCCCTAAGGCGCGAGGGAGGAGGTTCCCATGTAGAACCGAGTGTTCCAAAGTCTCTCACTCTCCACATTGTCCAGCTGTGGGTGTCTGCATTAGTTTCTTTGTACTCCAGGAGGAAGCTTCTCTGATGATGGCTAAGTGAGATGCTAATCTGTGGGTGTAGCAGAACGTCATTAGGAGTAATTTATGGCTATGTTCCTTTATTAGAACAATAGTATCTGGTTTTCTCTAGGGCCATGGCCTCTCTAGTCTCAGGGATTTTGCCATCTGAGCAGGATCAGGCGTGGGCTTCATCTCATGGACTAGGTCTTGAATCCAATCAGAAAGTGGCTGGTTACTGCTTTGATACCACTATTCCACCAGCGTGTCGTGCAGACAGATCATACTGTGGACTGAGGGCTTACAGCTGGCTTGGTGTTAGTTTGGCTTTCTCCTCCAGTGCCGTGCAGAGTACATTCCAGTGCAGTGACTCCTAGCCAGTAGGGGCAAAGGCTCCAGTTAGGCACCAGCTCAACTCCCCACATTCAAAGAGAGTTGTGGGTGTTGTCTTCTGCAATAGGGCCTTACCGGCAGTTTATGGAAAGTTACCAGTAGCCTTGGAAATAGCCTGAATTGTTTGGGAGTTTCTATGGGATTCCTTGGGGCAACAACTCCATTAGATGTAGCCCATTCCTGGCACTGGAGGTTTCACTTACTGGTGTGAGAAGTCCAGCAGTTGGGACATTATCTCTCCCATTATTTGGTGATTTCATTTAGATTTCTTTCATATATATGTGTGTGTATTATATATGCACATATATTATACGTCTTAAGAAGCTTCTGTTGTACTAGGCTTCCAAATGACCCCTCAAATGGTCCTTAGTATTTGCTGACTCTCCCCATATTTCCTCCCTTCCCCTTCTCTGTTTAATCCTCCCATTGCTGTCCCTCGCCCTGTCTCTCCATAACAATATATTTTATTTCCCCTACCTTAGGATTCCCTTCCCTCCCCCACCGCCCTGACCCTTACTCTATACTTAACCTCTGTCATTATAAAGATAGAAGCACCCCTATTGAAGGCTTAAAAGCTACATGCTTAGGATAGTTTTAATTCACGTGAATTCCACTAAGAAGAAATTAATTCTAAGACTTGATGGCATTGCCATGATTCCCCCCCAGATATTTTCAAGCTGCTTGGATGACAGTTTGCACAGTTAGGGTGGCCATTGGGCTTCTTTTTAAAAAGCACTGTATAAATGCACCCAGATGGATGAAGATGCCCCAAAGCGCACAGCTCATGGGCTTAGGGGAGGGGGGGGGGCAAAATGTGTCACAAGCAGTAACTTAGGGTTTTCTAAGTGTTTCATGCTCGTCTTTCAAACGTGTGCTCCCCTGTCATGTTCTGTCTGCATCTGTACCTGTCACAACACCGCTGCTCTTTGGAGGTAATAGCACATGTTACTAATATGCTTCATACACTCTCCACCTGAACCTGATCTTGTGACCCATTGTCTCCCTAGGGAGGCATGTACGGTAGTCCCATTTGACAGCTCTGCCACCAAAGCAGAGGTCGGTGTTCCCAAAGCTGCACAGCCTCAATGTCAGTGATGAGATCTAAACCCAGGTTCAAGTCCACTATCTTCATTATTCCCCATCAATGTAAGAAACAGCTCTCACCCCAGAGGGGATCAGAGGCGGTTTGTTCTGTGAATGGTTGTGGCTCAGGAACACAGATTTAGGTCATTTAGGTTGCCCCAAGTTTCATGTTCCAACATGGTAGCCATTTGTGAAGTTTCTGTAGTTCCAGAACAAAAGAGCATCCTAAATCCAGGCACATTGGTGGGAGCATCAGGTAGGTGGGTTACTGCAGAGCAGAGAATTCTCTGTCATAGCCTCAAATGCTATTTGGTGCCATTCTTAGCTTGGGAGTTGGAGGGAGATGCTGATATGCTAAGTTAATGTATCCCAGAGGTTTTCACACAGTAGGCATGAGGACGGTATATCGAACACAGAGATAATCTGTGGATGGCTATTAAGTGGACGAATGATGACCCAAGATGGTTCGGATTGGATCTGCAGCATTCCAGCCCTCAACAGTCACTGTGTCCTAATCAGCCCATTAGCTTTTCAGAATCTTTAGCGTAGGCGTGGCTCCCCACCACACCCCGCTGAGAACTTCAGTTCACCGTGGCTAGCCCACATGGTCTATTAAAACTATTTCACTTCTGGCCCTTTCGGCTAATGAAGCACATGACAAATTCAGATGAGTACAGAAAGGCCACAAAGGAGAGAATAAATAATCTACTCCACCAGAAGTGTCACATCATTAGTAAAATTGGGACTCCAAGCAGGGATGGGGTACTCATGTAGACCCCCCCATCCACATGACACATCCACTAGCTGACAAGCCTTGGTGAAAGGGGGAGCTGGCAGATTGTGCCAATGAGGCCTAATGGGCAACCCCTTAGTGAGTTAGGAGGACTGGTAATATATCCTGGTAAATGTTTTCAATTCTCTAGCTCATTCATGAAGAAACAACCAGGAGGTTAGAAAAAAAAAAAAAGAGGTTTAAGCTGAGTGGTGGTGGCGTACATCTTTAATCCCAGCACTTGGGAGACAGAGACAGGAAGATCTCTGTGAGTTCAAGGCCAGCCTGGTTTACAAAGTGAGTTCCAGGACAGCCAAGGCTGTTACACAGTGAAACATTCTCTCAGCACCCCTCCCCAAAAAGAGGTTTAAATTAAAAGTAACTCAGGCCTGGAGCTATCTACAGCTCAGTTGATACAGTCCTTCCTTCCTTAGCATGCACAGGCCTGGGTTCAATCCCAGCACCACATAAACTGGTTGTCATAGGTGCATACCTGGGATGCCAGCACTAGGAGATGAAGGCAGGAGGATTGAGAATTAAAGGTCTTCCTCAGCTATAGAATGAGTTGGAGGCCAGCCTGGGATACTTGAGACCCTGTCTCAAAACAAAACAATAACAAAAAACTGAAAGTTCGGTGATAAGGCTATTCTATCAATACACAGGAGACCAGCTGTCTGTGTAGTTGACTCCTAACAGTTGCTACTCTAGGTGGGTTCAACTCCATAAGAATGAGGCCAGGCTTTAACCTACCATTGTTTCCATACTCTTTTAGTACTGGCCATTGAGCTTCTTGCTGCCTGCCAGGGCATAGAGTTTCTACGCCCCCTGAAAACGACCACTCCGCTGGAGAAGGTGTATGACCTGGTGCGCTCTGTAGTCAGGTAAAATCAACAGGCCTGAAATGGGAACTCACCCACTTCCGAACGGTGGGTCTCTGCAGAGGCAGGTTTGCGACTGATGGCTTGATCTGCTTTCTCTGCAGGCCCTGGATAAAGGATCGCTTCATGGCCCCAGACATCGAGGCAGCCCACAGGCTACTCCTGGAGCAAAAGGCAAGCTGACCTCTTTCTGGCTGTGGGAAAGTAAAGTAAGGCTGGGCGTGGAGAGTTGCTCTTAGCTGTTCTCTCCTAATCATTCCTAGGAGTAGAACACGAGGGTAGAGAGTTGATTTCCAAGGTGACTAAAAGCCATTTGGTAGTTCCCCAAAGGCCCAGCTTGAACCTAAATACTGACTATGGAAGAATTAGAAGCGGAAATTGGCTTTAAATGGAGTGTGGAGACGGTAGTCAAGAGGAGACTATGAGGGTGGTAGCTCATTCCCCTTCTCTAAGATGTCATCTGCCATGTCAACAGACTTTCACATAGCTGCCACCACCAAGTGAAGAACACACTGTGAAGTCCCAGGTTTCACCTGCCTGGCTTGGCAAGATAGGTTTTTTTAACTGATTATCTCCTTTGGTTATGTTGGCCACATATAGACTGTATCAACTGACTGATACAGATGCATAAAAGACTGGGACATATTTTAAAATACATACATATAAAAATGCATAATCCTACGCAAATTAATATGTGTGTATATTTTACATATGTATCTATATGTGTCTAATATAGATGTATATGTATGTAACACATATATACCTCTTACATATATGTCACATATATTTAGATAGAAATTCACACTTTTTTTTAATGCTTTAAACCTTTTGAGTCATTAGTGTCCCATTTCCTGAACTCATTTCATTCCCTTAGAGCCGTGACTCTGTTCTGGGGGAACAAACTTGCCCTTTAAACTTCACATCTCTGATCTCGGACACCCTATATATATCCTTTGAGGGGACACGTTGTCCGTGAGGGTTAGCTTATGAAGAATACATGTTCTTTTTTGGGTTTGTTTTAGACAGTATGCTATGTAGCTCAGGCCAGCTCATGCCGGCCTCAAGCTAATGGCAAACTTCTTCCTTAGTATATTCCAGAACCAAGGGAGTTAGGATTCAGGCAGGATCTACCACACTAGCTAAGAGTATATTTTGTTGTGAGTTCCTAGAATGGTAAAGACTCCCTGGATGTCAGGGGCCACTAGCGGAAAGAAAGGAAACTACAAACCAAAAATGGAGACTTAAGAAAATAGGTTGGCACTAAAGGCATGTGCCACTGACACCTGGCATTAGTCCCAGCACTCAGGAGGCAGAGACAGCCTGATTTCTGTGAGTTTGAGACCAGCCTGGTCTATAAGAGCTAGTTCCAGGATAGCCTCCAAAATCACAGAGAAACCCTGTCTCAAAAAACAAAAACAACAACAACAACAAAAGGTTGGCAGATGAGGAAGAAAACCTGGCCATGTGTGAGACAGCCTTAGCATCGCATGCAAGCTCAGCTTCCATCCCATAGTTCTCAGGTGACTCTAGTTTGTCCCAGGTGGTGCTTATGGCCATATTTGCATAGAAACACAACCTTGAGGAATTCACTGTGCCATCTTTTAGCTTCCAAGTCTTGTGCGCTGTCATGTCTACCATACCAGAGAGTAAGCATCTGTCCGGAGTTTTGCTCTGAGCTGCCAAGGTTCTGTTTGGGTTTTGTGGATTTGCTTGTTTTGCTGTGGAGTAAGAAGCAGCTTAAAAACCTTTACAACGTGAGCTTGGTTTTGGACTTTGTGTTTTAAAATCCTTTAATGTATCAAGCAATTAATTGACACAGACTCTGTGTCAAATGGCTCAAAATAAGCAAGCAAGCTGTTTGGACAGCTGGGAGGGGGCTTTGATTCCGGGGCGAAGCTCACGTTTCATCACAGCGTGTGGAAACAACCTTGTCCGTATTTTGACTTTGTTCCTTCCTTGCCTCTCAGGTTTGGGAAGTTGCTGCACCATACATCGAGAAATACAGAATGGAACATATTCCAGAATCCAGGCCGCTTTCTCCAACTGCGTTTTCATTAGAATCACTGCGAAAGAATTCAGTCACAATCCCAGAATCTGACGATCTTTAATGGACTTCCTTGTGGTCAGGCACATCAGACGTGCCTGAGCCCAACACAGCACTGGTGTGCTGAAGGAACAGGAACTGCCAATGCTCTGTAGAACTCATCTCTTTTCAAACACTCTCTGCTTAGACCCGTGGCAGCAATGCAGTCCCTGACCCAAGAGCCTTGTTCTTGTTGCTATGGTTTGAGCAGTCCTAACTGTCTTAGGGTTGTGTAGGCTTCTTTCTTGACAATATAAACAGAGCACTTACTCTTCTTCTTCTTTTTTTTAATGGTCTTTCAAGACAGGATTTCTCTGTGTAGCCCTGGCTGTCCTGGAACTCACTCTGTAGACCAGGAGGGCCCCGAACTCACAGAGATCCACCTTCTGCTGCCTCCCAAGTGCTGGGATTAAAGGCTTGTGCTACTACCGCCCCTCCAGGCTATTTACTTCTAAGAATGGCCACAATTCCCTAGGCCTATTTTTACTCTTAATACTAGGGAAATCAATTCAGAGAATTCTTCTTTAAAACATTAGATTTTGTGAGCTTTTTAAAGAAAAAACTTGTCTTGAGAAACTGTCTACTAGTTGACTTTCTTTGGCTGATTGAACTATACCCTAACCTGACAAATATGCTTCAAGTCAGAATTTGTTCTTAAGCCTCTACTCCCTCTATAACTCAATCATAGAAAGGGGAGCTACTTCAGGGATGCATAACTGAGTGTATAATGAGGATCCAAATTGAGGTCTGATCTCAAGCATCAGTGTCAAAAGCCAGGTGTGGTGGTGGGCACCTGAACTCCAGCTCACTGATCAGCCAGTCTTATGGAAATAGTGAATTCCAGGTTCAGCGAGAGACCCTGCCTCAAAACAATGATGCGGAGAATGCTAGAAGAAGGCATCTTACATTTACCTCTGGGCTCCGCATGCGCCTGCAGGAGCAACTACACCTATACACATATACACATACACATTGAGAGGGGGGGGAGGGAAGGAGGGAGAGGGAGGGAGGGAGGGATCTGAAGGCATTAACTACAGAGGTTAACAGTCCCTTTTTTGTTACCTGTGTCCTCTTAACTACAGGGGTGTTTAAACCACCCCTCAAAGAATGAAAAGGAGTTAGGGGGTGAATATAAAAGATTGCCTTTGCCTAACTGTGCCTTTCATGTTTCTCAAATCAGGACACATATCTTCTAAATGCTTGATGATATATCAAGTTGAAGTTCCAAGTCAGTCCTATCATTTCCCAAAACTTAGTACTCCATTCACTTGTTGGTAATAAGTTTAGTAAGAAGCCTCCTGTTACACAGACCAGGCATTCGCGGGCAGGGGTGGGAGTCAACCCACTGCCTGCAATAGGTAATCATTAAAATGAGCTTTGTTGACACAGGTCAGATGGGGCCTTCCGATGTATTGCTCAATCTGCTTCTCCCCCAAGTAGATAAAGAATCTTGTGGGAAGGCCTTGTGTAATTGTTCAGAAGGGTCGCGTGACCTCTTGATATCCCAAGGTGAAGATCTATGACTGCACCTGTCACTGTAAACGTGTGCAAAACCGTGTGTGTGCAAGCGTCTGAAAGCATGGTTAGAGAGGCTGCAGTTGGTTAACAAACGCACTTGCCAGCACCCCTCCCTGGTCAAGACTACAGGGGCCCAAGATGAATTGTGCAGTCCATTGTTACTCTACAGAGCATCTCTTGTTCACAATTACTGACTTCAGCAATTCAAGAGGTGAAAGTGGGCCCAAGAACAGGCTTAAACTAAATGCAGGTTATTCTTCATGTTAGTTTTTGCTGAATGTGTACACACACACACACACACACACACACACACACACACCAAGCTGCAGCTGAGGCAGTGAACCCCAGCAGAGGGCTGCTCCCACTCCCGGTTTGGAAATGCTGGCTCCCTGTCCACCTCTGACTTCCTGTGACAGATTTCACCTAGGTTACTATGTAGCTCTGTTAGTCCCCAGTCCTCAAGAGTATATGGTAGATAGGGAGCAGACTGTGTCAATGCCTTGCTATCATTGTGCTCTTTGACTGGGGAGAAATTGAACTTAGGCTTATGTGTCTGTTAAACACATGTTCTGGCACTGAACTGCACCCCTACCTCCTACTTTTATTTATTTTGAACAAAGTTTAGCACCTAATATTTGCTTTCCTGTTGCTGTGAGGAAACCCAGGGAGCAACAGCTGCTTGGTGGAGGGAAGGGCTTCTTGCAGCTTACACTCCCATCCTTCAGGGAGTCGGGGCAGCAGTCTGGAGGATCACTGCCTACTGGCTGTTGACTGCCTCACTTTCTAATCATCTCACACAGCCCAGGCTCACCTGCACAGAGTCTGTGCCACGCAAAGTGAGTTGGGTTCCCACACCAATATCAATCAAGATAATACTTCCCAAACATGGCCACAGGCCAATCTGATGTGGGCCAGCCCACGCTGAGAATTCCCAGTTGACTCTAGGCTGTCAGCTAAGGCTGACTAGGGCACGCCTCTACCTCTTTAGACAAAGCGATTGTAGCTAATCAAGTTGCTAAGAGTCAGTCAGGGAAGCAGAACAGCTGAGCCAGTGCCTTTGCTGTGGAGGGGTGGCAAGTGAGTCCGGCATATCAGGCCTCCCTTCCCCTGGGCGCTTGTCTGGGCTCTGTCACATCAGGGCAGGAGGAGAGGGTGACTCCTCAGGCATGAGGTCTGCCAAAACTGTGTTCTTACATTTGCTGATTCCCTGTGGCCAACACAAGCCACCTGGCAAGTCACAGCCTAAGACTATAGGGCCTGGACTTATGGCTTAGTAAAATTGTGATCATTATCAAAAAAATCTACCCAATTTACAAAATCTAATAAATACTTGAAAAGAGATACTTTTCATACTATTATGCTTGTGTTTTATTTTTGGGTCTGGCCATTATAACACTTTTTTTTTTTTGTTTTTGGAGACAGGGTCTCTCTTTGAAACAGTCCTGGCTGTCCAGGCTGGCCCAGAACTCACTGAGATTGACCTACCTCTGCCTCCCAAGTGCTGCGACTAAAGGCATGTGCCACCGCCTGGCTGTAATTCTCTATTAGGCATTATGCTATCATTAACCTGTAAGTCAGGACCTCTTCGGGGGTCAAACAACTCTTTCATATGGGTCGCTTAAGACCATCAGAAACCACAAATATTTACTATGATTCATAACAGCAAAATTACAAATTATGTAAGTAATTATGCATTACAATTATGAAGTACCAATGAAAATAATTTTAGTATTGGGGGTCACCACAACATGAGGAACTCTATTAAAGGGTTGCAGCATTAGGAATGACTGTCATAAACAAATAATCAAAAACAAACAAGCATTTTGCCCTTTTTGGGTTACCTTTGTTAAAGGCGCTGATTTATTAGCTGTGAGCATTGAAAATGAAGCAGAGCACACTCATGGCTTACAGATAGACCTGCTTAGTGTAAACGGGTCCTCTCTGCTGCCGGCTTAGTTCAAGAAAGGCCTTAGACTGCAACTGAGCTAATGACACAGAGCACTTTACTGGCAACTTTTGAAAAGGCATTTTCTCTCCCTGGAGCCAGGGAAGTCTTCTTTCTCTTCTGCTTGACCTGGATGAGGAAACACAGAGCTGGCCTGTTGAGTGACAGCCAGATCCAGGGCATTGCTGGGTGGCAGAGCAGAGGCAAGAAGGGATCTGTGTCATCTGGTGGCTGAGTTGCTGTGTATACCAAAGAGGCTTTCCCTGCTCCTGAATATCCAATGATGAGCTGGAAAGGCTGCTTTCTCTTCCATCCCTATTTCTCTACTTCCCTGCATCCCTGCCTCCCTTGGTACGGAATTTAAGGCCCTATACCTAGGCAAGTGATCTACCACTGAGATATATATCCCCAACTAGCCTTTTGGGGTTTTTGTTTGTTTGTTTGTTTGGTTGGTTGGTTGGTTGGTTTTGTTTGTTTGTTTGTTTGTTTGTTTTGATTTTTCGAGACAGGGTTTCTCTGTATTGCTTTGATGCCAGTCCTGGAACTCACTTTGTAGACCAGGCTGTCCTCAAACTCACAGAGATCTGCCTGCCTCTACCTCCTGAGTGCTGGGATTAAGGGAGCAAGAGTTTCAGGCTGTCTGGCATTGGCTGTCCTTTCTATGTCCATCATAGCCCTAATAGGATCATAAATTCCCTGAAAGCAATGCCCAGCTTAGAATTAGAACTTCAGACAGGAAAGGAACAAGCTCTACATGTTCCAGGCAGATGAGACAACTCACAGTGATCAAAACCTCTCTCTCTCTCTCTCTCTCTCTCTCTCTGTGTGTGTGTGTGTGTGTGTGTGTGTGTGTGTTCAAATATATTAGTTTGCCTGTCCTGCACAGCACCCAGCCCACACGCTCTCTTCTCAGAAGGGCGATACAGACTCCCTTAGGTGTAAACTTCTTAGCAGGCAAAAAACTAAATTGAATTGAACTGAGATGACCCATAAATCTTTACGGTTCCTTTTCTTTCTCCTTTCTGAGCTTTTTTTTTTTGTTTTTGTTTTGTTTGTGTTTGAGACAGGGTCTCACTATGTAGCTCAGGCTACTAGCCTGGAACTCATAACCCTCCTGCCTCTACCTCCCCAGTGCTGGAACTTTAGGTGTCTGTCACCACCCTGGCTCTCATGTGGTGGAGGGTTGTCTTTGAAAGGGACTAAGGCACCACACCAGGCGTTGGTGGCGCATGCCTTTAATCCCAACACTCGGGAGGCAGAGGCAGACAGATCTCTGTGAGTTCGAGGCCGGGCTGGACCGACAGCCTCCAAAACAATACAGAGAAACCCTGTCCTGTAAAAACCAAAAAAAAAAAAAAAAAAAAAAAAAAAGCCTGGATTTGACCCCACCTATCTTCTCCATCTTCTGTGTGTGGGTGTGGTTGCTTTCTTACCACCCCCACTGCAAATGGGCCAGAAGTTGACACAGCACCAGGGGTGGGGGCAAGTGCTCTCCAGAGTTGGGCCACACGATTCAGGACTTGAACAGACAGTACTATGAGCTATATAAACCTCTTCACTCCACAAGTAGCACACCCTGGGTATATTGTTCCAACAGCAAAATTTTATTAATGCGGTATTTTGATTTCCACTGAATATAACAACACCTCACTAATTCAGGCTCTGAATTTGGTAATGGCATAGCAACCAATGCTTGTTTGTGAAATCACTACCTTGTAAATAGGACAGTGTTTGATAATGTTATGATTACAAAGATCATGGAGACACTTTTACAGGTTTTTGAGTAAGCTGATGTGACATTAGAAATACCAGTTATACAAATAATCATTCACTCTGCAAATGATTTTGTGATTTGCTCTTTGAACATTTCAAAACACTCTGTAGGCAACACCGATGATCTGCTTCCGGAGCTGTCAGGAAGCAACAATGCTATAACAGCAAATATTTATTGAGAGCAACACAATCTTTTCCATGGCTTTGTGATATGAAAAAATTTAACATAAAGATTTTTTTTAGAGCTACCCTAGGCATTGATTTAAATGTGTTCATGTAGGAAAGTTTCCCTGTCTGTGCAAGACATCACGTCTTGCGCTCTGTAGTGGTTTCATTTCAAAGGCTGACAAGATGTTAAAAATGGAAGGCCAGCCGGGCAGTGATGGCGCACACCTTTAATCCCAGCACTCGGGAGGCAGAGGCAGGCGGATCTCTGTGAGTTCGAGGTCGGGCTGGACCAACAGCCTCCAAAACAATACAAAGAAACTCTGTCTCGTAAAACAAAACAAAAAAATGGATGGCCACCTCTGCCCCAGAAGGCCTTTTCTGACTAGAAAGCATCTCATAAGACAAACTGTGGAGAGAGAAGATTCTTTTTGCTTCTTAGGAAATGGTACTGTTGGCCTCATCAGGACAGATCACTTACAAAACCAAAACAGAGCTCTCAGGCTAAGTTTGTCTCTCCCACAGAGGAATGTCTGAGCTATCTCATCATACTTATCACAGAATATCTGTAGCCAATCTTGGGAAAACAACTCTCCATTTCATCACAACAGGTTTGCTGTTTACACATCCAAGTACACGTACTCAAGTCAAACAGGTCAATCCCTTGGCTTTTCAAGTGAACAGCAGAATGTGGCATATGATTAGGCTTAAGTGACGTAGTTCTTGCAAGCCACTGAAGTCCTCTAACTTATGTGGACTTATTTGATACAGAGAAGGTGTCTTCTCCTGTCTTCCAGATCTATCATTTTCAAAATATATTTTTATCTTACTACATTTATTTGTGGAGGGGATCCTGTACATACCACAGTCAGTATGTGGAGGTCAGAGAGTAACTCTTGAGTCATCTCATTGTTCCAGATCTGTTACTTTTTATAGACGACTTTTCCCTTAGCTATAACATAATCTATTAATTCATGATGGCCTCCAAACTGGTAAATCAGATGTTCCCATCTGGAAAAAAAGCAAACAGTTGCTTCAGTGAATATAAATCAAAAGCATCATTTAAAATGAATTCTGCATGCATGTGTGTGTGCACGTGTGTGCATGTGTGTACTCATGTACATGGGGGGGTATACCTGCCCACACGTGTCGGTGCGGTGCATTTGGAGGCCAGTGGGCCACATTAGGTGTCTTCCTTGCCCACTTCACTGCCCACCTTGCTTTTCAAGGCAGGTCTGTCACTGAGCCTGCAGTCCCTCAGTTTGGCTAGACTTAGTGGTCAGCAAACCCAGGGAACACCCCCCCCCCCCCCCCGCCGCCCCGTCTCAGTTTCCCAGTGCTGAGTGCACAGGTCCATCGTGCCAAGCCTGCCTTTTGACGTGGGCACTGGGGCTAAACTTCAGGTCCTCACAGTCATATAGCAAGGGCTTTAGGAACTGAGCCAGTTCTCCAGCCCCTGAACTTTTAAAAAGCGTTTCATGAGTGGCATGTGCACATTATCTTTGATGGAAGAAGGAGTGACATAATGGAGCTGCTCTCCTCCATAGAGCATAGGACCCAAGGGCTGTGGCAGACTCGTGGGAGTCAAAGAAACATAACATTGCCAGCATCCAGATTTAGATGCTAGCATCCAACTTGTTGGAGACCTCGGGTGAGGACTAAGAACTCAGGAATACAGCAGCCAAGTGGAAGCATTGAGAGCCATTGGATTCCGTGAGTCAAAGAAAGAATACGTCAGAGCCAGAGTGGCAAATGGGGCTGTGAACAAGCAAAAGGTCAGGAGGCAAGCACGAACTCAAACACACAGCCCACAGGCAAGTCCGAAGTCCAGGGAAACAGCAGGAAGTGGAGGCCGAGAAAGATGCAAGGCTTGGAGACTTGCTTGACTGTGCAGTTGAGGACCTCAAGGGAGACCTTCTGGCTGGAAGACGGTAAAGACAGAGGGGGTTGGGTCTCCTGGAGTCTACCTAATAACAGATGGAAGGGTCTAAAGCTTGTCTACATGGATATCAAATACGACAGCTAATGTTACTATGGTTAGTCCTAGCTTGGGAGGCCCCTCACCTGGACGCATTGATGATGACGAGATCCCCCTGCTTGCCAACTTCCAAAGATCCATGTGTGTGAGATTTCCCCAGCGCATAAGCTGCATTGATGGTGGCAGCGGCCAAGGCCTCCGGCATGGACATTCCCATGTTCACACAGGCCAGGTGCATGACCATCGGCTGAGGCAAGAAGAGGAAGCATTGGAGAACAGCAGAGCAGCGGCTGCCGGTCAGGCTGCTTCTCCCCACAGCACAAGTAAAGACAGTTACATGTGTGTCTGGAAACAGTAGCCCAGAAGCCCAGAAATAGTTTGTGCTTAGTATGCAAAGGCCCCAGGGTTTACTCCACTTCCCTTCTCCCCCACAAAAAAATATAAACACATATATACATGTATAGTGTGATATATATTATGTATAGTATACAATAGTATGTACTATATGTAACAGATATAAATAACATATAGCATACATAGCTCAGTTGTTATGGGAAAATGCAAATTTACACATAATATATATTTTTTTGGTTTTTCGAGACAGGGTTTCTCTGTATTGTTTTGAAGGCTGTCCTGGAACTCGCTCTTGTAGACCAGGCTGGCCTTAAACTCACAGGACATATGCCTGCCTCTGCCTCCCGAGTGCTGGGATTAAAGACGTGTGCTACCAACGCCCAGCTACACCTAATTCTTAAACTTTATTACTAAATAGTACTGTGTATTTAGTATTACCAGTTTTCAAGACCCTTTGCCGTGTAAGAAGTTTTCCTCCACCCTTACCAACGAAAGCCTCACTGTCTCTGTCACACCCCAGGAAAATGGCTTATTACAAAACCTTAAGTCTCAAAGCTGAATCAGAAGGCAATTCAAATCAAGATGGATCTCTTCAGTCCTGGATGCAAAGGTGTGCTCAGAAAAACTCAATAAACCACTGACTATAGCCTTTTCCTCTTTCTTCCCAGGGAAATACTTGTAGATTCCTAAATACATTTTCACAACTAACAGAAAATGTAAACATTTATATGTTCCACGGTTTACTCTGTTCAGAAAAACATCTGAAAAGTAATTACCATTGAAAAGCAGTACGCATTGGGATTGAAATCACTGCCCAGGGCAACTATGACTCCCTCATCTAGCATCTTCCTGGCTCGAGGCTGCTTCAACCTAAGGGGAGAAGGAAAAGGTGTGTCAGTCTCCAGCTGGAACTTCCGCAAGAAGTTCTAGAAGCGGAAAGAAAGTTCCGGGGTAAGTGGTGGAGGAGGGGAGCACCAGCACCCCAAGCATTTACGGATTTATCTGTTGTTTGCACCATTAGGATGGACTTCGTCCTGCTGCTGCTGCTGCATCTCTTGGCACCTGAGTTTCTGCCATCAGGGTTCTCGAAAGCTCCTGTGGAGCGATGCTTGGGCACCCCTGAAGTCTGTGTCCTCACAACCCGCACTTGAAGGCGACGTGTCAGCTTGAGGAAGGTCCTTACCTCAGCATGTAGGCCGTGGTAGGCAGAAGGACAGCCGAGCAGCCAGCCGCAGCCATGGCCGTGATGCCTTCGTCACTTACTTCCTCCAGGTGACTGATCGCCTGTGCGCCCAGTTCAGCTCCCAGCTGGGCAGAGTGGGCGAAAAGGAAAAGGTTCACCACACAACAGTTTAATACATGATACTGCCTCCCCTGCTCTGTGAAGAAATCTCGCCAACCACTTCCCGTGAGCACAGGCCCCCAAACAGACATAGGGTTTGCCATGAGCAGCCATTTGACAGTTAGCATGTTGGTAAAAACTAGTCTTTAAAGCGGGGTATGGTGGAGCACATCTGTGATCTGAGCACTTGGAAGGAGAGCTGCCAGCCTAGGCTGGGTACATAGTGAGTTCCAGGCCAGCCAAAACAATAGAGAGAACTTGGTTTTTTTTTTTTAGAAAAGCAAACACATAAAAAAATGAGCCTTAAACACTACTGATATTTTCTGAATCTTAATTCCCTGCCCCTCAGGAATCAGAATAAAACCTGGGAATAATCTTGGTAATAAAATCTAATTACGCTAGCATTCACAGAAACAACAAATATGGCTGTCTCGGAATACCATCCACTCTGGGGGGGAAAGTCCAGTTAGAAAAGAGCAAAAATATTTAAATAATTTGAGGCTATCAACTTGAAAATGGTTTTTCTTCAGAAAGGAACACTGGGGACGTGATAGCCAGAAACAACTCAGGAATGACTGTGGAATGACTGGGGAAATCTTACAGTGGCCTCTTCTCAGCTTGGTCTGCCGTATTCTTTATTCACACATACACACACAATTCCAAGCTGAAGACTAGCGTGTCTTCAACAACCCAAGGGAAAGAATCCAGACTGCCACTTGCTGTCACACTGTGGCCACTGTGGGAGGCTGTCATATCCCAACCAGAGGGAGGCGCTGACCTCTGTATCAACAGTGTGCTCCAGTCTGAAGACATCTGGGACCGAGGATCTGGGAGGCCTGGTGGTCCACGGGAAACTCCTTAGGGGGTGTCTCTCTCTGACTCTGCACTCACCCTTGCTTGCCAAATCTGATTTGCTTGTTATGGATATTGGGTTCTCTCAGTTTTATCTCTGACCAACTGACCACACAGGTCACATTCATTCAACAAAGTCAGCAACCATTTACTTGCAAAAGTCTATCTGTACCCCAAGCACTGTACTGACCTCCAGGGATAGGGAGTTTCAAGTATTGGGTACAAGTTTAGCCAGTGGGGGGAAAACTAGGGAGAAGCCACAATCTAACATTAAGGAGGTTTGGGATGGCGACCCAGAGAAGTCACAGTTAGGGTGAAACATGGATAGAGTATGAGTTGTCCAGGTTGGGGAAACAGCATGCTCAAGGCATAGGATGTTAACAGCAGTCTGTCGTGGTTGGTTTGTGGCAGAGTTACAAGAGAGAAAAGGGGAGAGTTAAGGAAGACCCAGATCTTGGTACCCATGTACACAGGCAAGAACTCACAGGAAGAGCAAAACTCTAAGCCTTGTCTTAGTTGGGGTGACCATTGCTGTGATGAAACACCATGATCAAAGCAACCTGGGGGGCATTTGCCTACGTTTCCCCAGCACTGCTCATCAAAGGAGGTCAGGACAGGAACTCAAGCAGGAACCTGGAGGCGGGAGCTGATGCAGAGGCCGTGGAGGGGAGCTCCTTCCCGGCTTGCTCACCATGGCCTGCTCAGTCTGCTTTCTTATACCACCCGGGACCATCAGTCCGGGGGTATTATTGCCCCTCATCAATCAGTAATCAAGAAAATGCCCCACAAACTTGCCCAAGTGCCAGTGTTATGGAGGCCTTTCCTCAACTGAAGTTCCTTCCTCCAAGATGACTCTAGGTTGTACCAGATTGACCAAAACGAAACAAAACTGACCAGCACAATTATTGTCTTGACCAGACTTAAGATCATGTTGGAGACAATACCTACACTTGTGGTGACAGCATTCCCATCAAGGTTCAACGGAGGGGTGAAGAGTCTCCCTGAATGTGGGTGACACTGTCCCACAGAATTGGCTTAGACTGAATAAATAGGAAATAACAAATGGGTTCTCTGCTTTCCTGACTGTGACTGCAATGTGACAGCCTCCTCATGCTCCTGCTGCCACATCTTCCCCACCTTACAGACTGGGTCCCCAAACCACGAGCCAAAATGAGCCCTTCCCTTCCAAAGCTGCTTCAGCTGGGCGTTTGTCACAGTGAAGAAAAGTAGCTAATTCATGTGCTAGCCAGCACATGCCACAGAGTTAGCAAATGAGATCGCAGGAATGCTTCTCTTCTCTATGACTATAATAAAAGCCACAGGAGACCATAAAAGAAATAATAAAGCCCCGGGGGGGGGGCACAGTGCTCAAGCACCTGCTTAGCCAGCTCAGAGCAACAGTCACCACGGGAAATGACCGGCAAACAGAAACAAGCTGAGTGAACGAACGCATGTGTGCGGACGAGCCTGTGTCTAGCTATGGATGCACGTGTGAATCTTTCCATGTGTGAGTGTCTGTGTGTGCAAGTGTGCATGTGGATGTATGTGTGTCTGTATGTGTCCTCTGTGGTTGTGTCTGTGTGTATGTCTCCGTGTGTGTTTGCATGTGCCTGTGTCTATGTGTACAATTTACATGCACGTCTCTCTGTGAGAGAGTCTGTGTGTGCGTGTATGTGTGTGAGTGTCTCTGTGTTATGTGTATCTGCTGTGAATGTATATAAATGTGCATGTGTGTGTGTGTGTGTGTTCCACTGCATGTGTGTGTGTGTGAATGTGCGGAGGTCAGAAGACAACCTCAAGTATTGTTTCTCAGGCACTGGTCACATGGTTGTCCTTCTTTCCTTCCTTTCTTCCTTCTTTCCTTCCTTCCTCCCTTCCTTCCTCCCTTCCTTCCTTCCCTCTTTCTTTCCTTCCTTCCTACCTTCTTTCCTTCCTTCCTTCCTCCCCATGGACCTTTTGGGGGGGCAGGTCTGGAATTCACCGAATATTCTAGTCTAGAGCCTCAGGATCTGCTTCTCTCTCCCTCTCCATGGTCAGGATTAGAAGCACATACCACCATGCCTAGACGGCTTTACACGGTTCTTGGGGATCAACTCTGAGTGTGTACTCCCAAGGCCAGCATTTTATTGGAAGAGCTATCTCCCAGTCCCCCAAGAAAGTTTCTAGAGAGGTCAGTTGTCCCCAGGCTCAGCCAGACCATAAACTTCCCACTCTACCTTTTCAGAAGGGTATTCCTAACTCTGAACAAACGAGTCCCTTTTTTCTGTAGCGCCGGTGTGCAGGAAAGAGCCAACTGTCATCATACCTCGGCAGCCTTCATCGGGTGGAGTTCATCCCCGTGGAAGTTGATCTGCAACCCCATCTTTTTTCCACCTTCAAGAATCCTTCTGGTGGTATCCAGATCAAAGACACCCTTCTCACAGAACACATCTATGTTGTCAACGTGTAGTTCCCCAGTTCTGCGGAGTTCCTTCAGCCTCGGCAGGTGGTTACTGATGATGTCATTAGCGGCTTCAATGGCAGTTTTTCCTCTAGTGGAAGGAAGTGAGGTAATCATGGGCATATTCTTTTTTTTTTTTTTTTTTTTTTTTTTGGTTTTTACGAGACAGGGTTTCTCTGTATTGTTTTGGAGGCTGTCGGTCCAGCCTGGCCTCGAACTCACAGAGATCCGCCTGCCTCTGCCTCCCGAGTGCTGGGATTAAAGGTGTGTACCACCACTGCCCGGCGGGCATATTCTTTGTATATGTGATATATATATACATATATATACATATACACTTTAATGTGCTTATTCTTAGTATTTGTGATATGTAATATATTGCTTAATAATCTACTTAGTACATATACTATATATTCATTAAAGACATATATAGTTTATAAAGGAAGGGCAATAAAAAGTCCAGAAAAGAAGTCAGAGCAGCTGGCAGTTGCACCATGCTCACACAGCAGGGGCCGTGATGAGACTTCTGTTTGAAGGAGCTCGTTATACATTATACACAGATATATAAACTGCCCAGCCTCCCTGGGCTGTGTGACCTTTGGGGTTGCCAGCAAGGGCTCTGACTGCAAAGCTGAATTTCTCTATCAAGGACACATAGAGGACACCCTGAGCTCTAACTGTTTCTTTTCTTCTCTATTCACAACTTTCCTGTAGCCTTTTCCTGAGGTACCCTGCCTCTCTGACAGGAGTAGCTGGCGCAGAGAGAAGAAAGCCTTGGGACCGTCTGTAAAACTTGGGAGTTGTTAGCAAGGGCAGAGCTGTTGAAGTCAGACAGACATAGAGCGCCCCAACCCCTGCTCTGTCTGTAACTGTAGACACATGGCTGTGATCTGCACATCAGGGGGAGTCAAGAGGCTCACTGGCAGCTGAAGACAGTTTCTAGAGAACTCCAGCCCTGTGTTTGGCACAGTGGCTCTCACTCAGCAAAGCATGTAGGTGGACCAGCAGAGGTCAGCAAGCAGGGTATGTGTGTGAGTTATTTCTGCTTCTCGGGACACTGGCATAGAACAGGGTGTATACAATTCTTTATCGCATGCGTGTTGTTCTGTTTGGAACAGTAGGAAACACCCTTAAACTCACTTAGCAGTTCAGCTTTGCTCAAGCTCAGGTTTCAGTATTTAAAAACAATTAAAAAGCAGGCTGCGCCACACTTTATATTCCACTTGAAGCCATCCACAAGTCCCTATCAACAGACTCGTTAAAAGTCTCAGTTCAAACTCTAGTACTTTCAAATTAGAAATGCTAAAAACTTGGAACAAAGATAACTGAAAATACTAAATATTTATATTTCTTTTCATCATAATCAGCTATATGAATTTTTTGAGACAGGATCTCACCATATAGCCCTGGTTGGCCTGGAACTTTCTGTGTGAGATCAGGCTAGCCTCAAACTCACAGAGATCAGCCAGCTTCTGCCTTCTGAGTGCTGGCATTAAAGGCATGCACCTTCATGCCCGGAGGGTTCTTTTAATACAAAAGTTCAGTGTTAATTTTTTTGGTTCCTCTGGTTGAAGATAGCAAGTGAATATCAGCATTAACAATTATGTTCCTATATAACACAGTGGCGTGGTGATTCTGTATTCTTTTAAACCACACCAAAACAGATTTGAAACTTTTTCTCCACTAAAAGTGGTAAGTGGAGTCATTCATGATAGTGTGTGACTCAGCCACTCCACAATGTATGCACATTTCCAAACAGCATCTTATATATAATAAGTATACACAGTTTTAAATGGTCGAATAAAAACACATTTTGAAATTCATAAAAGAAAAAGTTAAAAATTAGTTGAAATGATTTAAGTAGATATTGTTTGTAGTGTAAGTCTATGACAGGTGTATGTCCCAGTCATCCAGCTGAAGAGTTTGGAGACAGCCGCCCCCTTTCAGATCTGGACGGAGTACCTTCCTTTCTAGAAGTTCCGGGGCAGAAAGGAACTGCACAACTAAGCTATAAGAGACAGAGTTCTCTTCATAAAGCCAAGTAGCAGAGATTCTTTAGATAAAGGTAGAGGCTATTAAAAAAAGTCACATTAACAAAAGGAAAGTATTTGCTTTTGAATAAACAGATTAACGAAAACCCTTCTGCAGACACTGAGACTGCACAATTTGATCTGCCAGAGGAAATAACTAGTGATTTTTACAGTGATTTAAGCTAATTGATTATCCCGGGAAATTATTTGAATTAGTAGCTGTGATTTGAAAGGACTCGCAAGGTGGCCATTCTTCATGAAAAGAAGGCTTGAAGAATTTCCTCGGTTTCCATCCTTTTAAAGGACTACTGTAGAGGCTGTTGGAACCCCTTCCTTAAAACCTGGGCACCACGACTTGGCCTTTGGAAGCAGAACATCTTTCTAGAACTTCTCTCGATGGTCTCCTGGCAAGCGATGACGTGCTAGAGCGCCTCCACCCTCCAGAGAACACAGCCCGGACTCTATTTCCAACCTGAGTGACAGCCGCGCCCCTCCCCCGTCCCCACCCCGTCCTCCCCACACCCAGTACCCCCATCCGCTGCTGCCACTGAGATTACTTGGGGACTGAGTGAGCCCCGCAGTAAGTGGCAGAGAGGCCCAGGTGCAGCTCCCGCCGGGCGCGCTCGATTACGCGCAGCATCTTGAGCTCGGTCTCCAGGTTGAGGCCATAGCCGCTCTTGCATTCCACCAGCGTGGTGCCAGCCCTCATCATGCAGTGCAGCCGCTGCTGGAAGGAGCAGAACAGTTCCTCCTCCGAGGCTTGGCGAGTGTGCTCCACCGTGAAGTTAATCCCTCCTCCGGCCTGGTGAATGTCCATGTACGTGGCCCCTGCCAACTGAAGGCAAGGCTCATTCGGAGGGGTTACAAGCAGGTCTACCCAGCCTACCTCCATGGGGTGATGTTAGAAGATGATTCAGGGGTTTGGCAGTAAAGAGCAGGTGCTGCTATTGCAGAGGACTGGGGTTCGGTTCCCAGCATCCACGTGGCAGCTCACAATCACCTGTGACTCCAACTCCAGGGGACTCTCTCTCTCTCTCTCTCTCTCTCTCTCTCTCTCTCTCTCTCTCTCTCTCTCTCTCTCTCTCTCTCTCTCTCTCTCTCTCTCTCTCTCACACACACACACACACACACATACACACACACACATACACACACACACACACACACACACACAGTTAAGATAAAATCAATTTTACAAGATGGTTAAGAAGCAGCCAGGCATGGTGGAGGCCTGTAATGCCAGTCTTCAGGAAGCAGAGGCAGGGGATCATAAGCTCAAGACCTGTTTCGGCTATATAGGGAGTTACAGGTCAACCTGGGCTACAGCAGGCCCTATTTCAATCAATTGGTTTAAGAAGCAATAGGGCACGGGCAGGTGAGCAGAGGGAGTCCCAAAGAGTACTGGGGACATGGAGATGAGCCATGTGGTGGGTGGAGAAATGATCAGCGGAAGGCGGTAACAACTAATTAAACTCACTATATATAGGAGTATTTCTGTGTTTCCACAGTGAAGTTGGCCCCAGTGAAAAACCAGCCAAGTGTTAGCTCATTCTACATCCTTCAACACGGTTGAGAAAATGAAGCTTAGGGAGTTAATCTGATTTCTACTAACCAAGACCAAGGATAGACTCCATGTCATTTGGGTACCAGAATTTGGAGCCTAATTTCTGTCACTCAAGCAAATAGTCTCTTTCAACAACCCCAGTAGTCACTACTTATGTGGACAGCAGGAAATGTGGTCTGCACCAAGCCCAGCATCCCCTGATAGTCTGCACCCTCTCTTCCCAGACATCAGTTTCTCCATCACAGGGTACCAGCATTTGGACCACATTCTCTAAAGTGACTTCTAGCTCTGAAACTCAGTGCAATAATAAAATTGCCACAAAAGTAGTTCCAGTTTGCTGCAGAAGGCACATGATAGCCGGAGAAAGGGATTCTTCTTCAGTTTTCCAAAATTATTTGTCACTGCTAGACTATGCTGTTTTTCTCCCTTAACAGTGTGATAACTGATTCATTAGGAGCTAGCTATGGTTCCTGTAACTGATACAACCATGTTTTATAGTCTGAGGGGAAAAAAAAGAAAATAATGTAAGACTTTTTATTTGGCTAGTAATATATTTTTCAAGTTCATCTGCAGTAAATAGTGAGGTTCAAAATTACAAATAATGGTTTTGAATAAGGGGATGGGGGTCAGCCACCAAGTTGCTGAGCTCTGTTCTAAAAAAAAAAAGTCTATGGTTTAAAATCTTCAGATACTCCTTTTCTTAAACTGGTTGCTAGCTCTACACGTCATACAAAGGTTTGGGATAGTTCCAATTAAGTCTGTCTTATTGCCATTTGCATTAGTCATTGAGACAAGTAAAGATGTCCATTAAAAAGATAGGAAGCATAGGTTGACCATGCATTCGGTCATTAGAAGGGACGCCCTGTTTGTGCTTTATTGAGTTACTGTCATTCATTTTGCAGTTACCTTCATTGCAAACTCATGAACTCTTTCACCAGCCCATACAGGATGTGTGTGCGCGTCCACCAAACCTGCAACGGAAGTTGAAAAGGGGACAATGCTTAGACGGTACACCTGACTGTATCACAGCGCTCTGAGAGCACGGTGGTGGGCCGCTTGGAGGAGGGAGACAGTGCAAGACTTTGTGAGGTTCCCTCTATGTGGCCAATCTAGAAAGTTCTAGTAGAGGAGAGTAGCTCAACACCAGACAAATGTCCCTCAGAGATACCCAGCTTGCTTATCAGTAACTGCTCTCACCCCAAACAAACCTTGAAGCCAGGGTGGCAAAACTATTAATTGAACAAAACTGAGAACAAAGACTAGAAATCACACAGCGTGCCGCTTTGAGAAGGAGCTATAAGGAAGGTGCACGTAGCTTCAAGAAATACCTAAAGAGAATCTGTGATTACTTTACAAGGGTGCTACAGGAAATCACATTGGCAAAGCGAAACTTCAGTACTGGGAGCCCCAGATACTTCTGAACACTGTGGTTAAGACTTTAAAAAAAAAGAAAGAAAACAAACCAGTCTGCCTTTCTCTTTTCCACTTTACTGTCCTAGAGCCACTGTTAAAATCCTTTTCAGAGCTTTATGAAGAAGAGCGTCAGTACCTGGTAAGACGCATTTCCCAGAGCAGTCAATTCTTTCTTCAAAAGTTTCTCCAGAAAACTGTCTTTGGATAACGTCAGCAGGGCCAATAGCTTTTATAAGCCCATCACTGGAAAAAAATCAAGAAATAGTTATTCAGTTTGGGGAAATTTTTCTGAAAAATCTGATCGATGATTTAAATGCACTTTTGGATGCCCTGATGCTAGCTGGAGTTTGCAGTATCTCTCTTGACCTGGGTTTTTAGGATGCCCTGATACTAGCTGGCGTTTGCAGTATCCCTCTCTTGACCTGGGTTTTTTAGGAAAGAGACGGTGTCGACAGTGAAGACAAAGTCACACCAAAGAGACTGCTGTTTCTTCTCCAAGACCAGCGCTCCACTGTACCACAGTATGAGACCTCTGGGCACGCAACTCCTCTACTGTCCGAGGCAGGCCCCGTTGGCACCAAGCTGAACTAACCTGTAGCCACAGGGCAAGCAAAGGGTCCTGCAGAGGGCGGACTGTTGAAGCACACTGCTTCGGGAGTGCCCTTGTGTTTTAATGAATTCGGCCCTAAGATGGAGACTCCTGTCTGCATCAGCTTGTGCAGGAGGTGCTGAGAGCACCGGGCTCTCCTCATGACCACATTAACCACAGGGCTCCCCACCTTCTAAGAATGTGGGCTGTCCTGTAGTGGTAGTTACTAGTGTCGTGTTTGAACAAAACACACACCAAACAACGCAGTTATTAAAGGAAGCTAGAAATCATCTTCCAAAGGCGTTAGGGTTTTGTTGTGTCCTTAAGTAACCATTAAACATTCTTAGCTGAATTTTGAGGCTTTGCCATTTACTACTAAGTGGGGGGAAAAAACTACCAAATAATACACATGTATCCCTTCTCTTTAAAAGGTGTGGGTATTTTAGCGTTTTTTACTTGCTTCAGAAAACAACGGAAAAACAAAGTGTTTAAACTACTTGTTAGTTTGAGTGAGTTCGCAGGTCAGCTGGTGTGTGTGGGTACGGGCAATGTGTGTTGATACAAGGTCTCATTTGGTGGCCATAGAACTCATTCTATATATCAGACTGGCTTTAAACCACCAGCCTCTGTCTCCAAAGTGCTGGTGTTAAAGGCATGCGCCACTATGCCCGACTACATAATGCACACAACAGGTATTTTTTGGGGGCGCCGGGGCAGAGGGGGGGGGAGAAAGATGTGATGTTACTGTTATATAAAGTACCAATTAGTTGTTTGTTTTTTGAGACAAAGTCTCGTCAGCAAACTCCACAAGCAGACCTCTCCTTTTGTATCCCTAGTGTTGGGATTACAGACCTGGGCCAATAGGCTGTATTTTAGGGAGAAAAAGGCTACAGCATTTTCTAGATTCTCCAGCCAAGCAGGACTTTAGAAGCTGTGATGGCATCGATGGTCATCGATGAAAGACGCTATGAAGGTGTTTTGCTGGAGAAAGAGTTTTTAGCTCCGGGACTCCCCCCCACTCCAGCCTCCCTCCCCCTCCCACTACTCACGTTCCCACCACCAGGCTGGCACCCTCCAGCACCGCCAGGCTGCGCAGCGCGGGCCCGGACAGGAAGCGCTCGCCCTGGGCGCACACCAGCACCACTTGCCGTGCGTTCTCCAGCAGGAGGCGGTGAGCGTTCGCCATGGTCGTCCTAGCTGCTGGCCGGGTGCAGAGGACACTAGAGCCCTGCCAGCTGTGGCTCCCGGGAGGGGCGGGGCAGCGCGGGGCGGGAGCTCCCTGGCAGCGGTTGACAATGAATGACAGGAGCAGTGCCAACAAGAACCTCTCTTAGCAATAAACTTTTCTGTGGACGCCACTCCTTTCAGGTTTTAGGTAAAGGCGGTAAAGATTACATCCACCACCACCCCCAACCCCTAGCTTTTGAATCAAACAAAAACAAAAAACCCTGAAATTTAGTCTCCGGGAGAAATCAAGTTGGACTAGGTAGATGCGGTGGCCAGTAGTCGGTTAGGGCGCACACAGGGGACACCAGTGTGGGGAGTCTCTCTCCGCCCGATGCGTGCGTGTGCGTGTGATTGTGTGTGGTGTGTGTTTAAAGACAGAAAGACCCACAGAGAGAGAGAGACACACGGTTCCGCGGGAGCGTGAACCCGAACCTGCGGTGGAGCCTCAGGAACAGAGGAGTGCGGGAGAGCTGTGCTCGCGAGGCGGCCGGGGCACGGGCGGAAGGCTGCGGGTGCCGGAGCAAGTCCGCGAGGCCTCCAAGCAGGGCCGCGGGTGCCGCGTACTGTTCGGTTGGCCAGCTGGACTCGGGTCCTGCTACCAGGCGGTGGTCCCCAAGATGAAGGGGACCTGGGGCAGGAAAGGATGAGCTGAGACACAGGATCTTGTTTGGCGCCTCTGTTTAGTTTGTCCTTACTGCCTTTGTGAAGGATAGTTCTCAACTGTGATCCAAAGTCGCTGAGGTAAAACCGGTTTCCATCCAGGTATCTAGCATGCCCACTCCACGCGAGTCTGGTAGCCTCTACACCTTCACTCGAGGTCGTTGACAGCATCCAGTTTGTTTAGGAAAGGCTGGCAGGCACCAGGATTTGTTCAGATTCGGTTTTGTTTTTGTTTTTAATATTTAAAAAAATTTTGAGACTATAATTTGATCATTTCCCCCTTCCCTTTCCTCCTTCCAAACTTCCCAGGTAACCCCTTTGTTCTCTTTCAAATTCATGGCCTCTTTTATTTTGTTACATATACAAGGTGTGTTAGTATTCCTAAATACATAAATACAACCTGCTTAGTCTGTATAAATGTTACGTGTATTATATGTTTTGGGAGCTTTTCCCTTTTTCTTTTTTTAAGATGAAGTCTCACACTATGTAGCCCTGGCTGTCCTGGAGCTCTCTGTGTAGACAAGGATAGCCTTTAACTCAGAGACCCAACTGTCTTAACCACCACCACCACCTCTCTGTCTCTGTCTCTGTCTGCCTCTCTCTCTCTCTCTCTCTCTCTCTCTCTCTCTCTCTCTCTCTCTCTCTCTCTCTCTCTCACTCACACACACACCCACACACACACACACTGGGATTAAAGGCATATACCACCAGCCTTATTTTATTTGTTTTCTATGGTACATTTCATACAAAGACAGGAATGTTACTTTCCCTGCACAGCAAACATTACAACAGAAAGAAAAAAATGACAGAAATAATAATAACCCATGAAAATAGGCTTATTTTGCAAAAACACAGAACACAAAGGTTAATTTTGGGTCACCTTAAAAATAAAACAGACAGAAAAATGTCTTTAGATGAAGAGATTAGAAACAAATATCCTTTAGCTCCACTCCATGTCTGTAATAAAAGAGAGATGGGGTAGAAAAACAAAAAGAAAGAAGTTAGAAAATAAGTAGACAATGTGAAGGAAAGACCCAAAGGCTACTCACAATGTAGAAACACAACCACAATCGTCCATGATGCGGAAAAGAAAGGGAAAGAAGGAAGGAAGAAAGAAAGGAAGGAAGGCAGGAAGAAGGAAGGAAGGGAGGGAGGGAGGGAGGAAGGAAGGAAGGAAGGAAGGAAGGAAGGAAGAAGAGACGTTAGCTAGATGTGCTGGTCCACATCTTTAGCCCCAGTATTCAGAAGGCAGAGGTAGGTAGAATTCTGTGAGTTTGAAGCCAGCCTGGTCTACATAGTTAGACATTGTCTGAAAAAGAAAAAAAAATGAAGCCAAGGGGGAAGAAGGAAAAAAGAATTAGCAGAGGACAGAATCACAGTCACTTATGCATAGACAATTAGTGAGTTTTCATATTATAAAGTTTCTGTCAACCTGACACATGGGGCAGGCAAACACACACCGGCAGATTTAGGCAATCCCAGATATAAAGGAAGGGTTCAAACTAGGGTCCAGCAAGCAGGCCCTGCTTCTACTTCTGTTATTTCTCCTCTGAGCTGACCTCAGGAAATCTACTTAAAATTCCCCAAGGCACAGTTTTCTTAGCCTTATATAGGTGTGCTTGTTCGGATTTTGTGGATTTTTCTGACCTTCAGATAAAATGTAAGTCACTAGGGCAACGCTCATGTATAAATAAGTTGTGGCCATTCCAGTTGTGATTCTTTTAATGCTGTTTTCCTTGATTGTCAGTTAAGGATTAGACTTCAGGCTATAGAACAGTTTCTCCCCTGGCTTCACAGACCACACCTTGTACTATGCCTATGGTTTGTGTATTCCTGGGAAGCACATAAAGAAATTATATTTTTCCATGCGTGTTTATTTATATCAATGGGTGGCTTGAAAGAAAGTATCTGATTAACCATACAAGGAGGCATCGCCTGAGAGGGTTTTTAGCTTAAGAAGAAAAAACCTGAGCATTGGCGAGACTCAGGTGTTAAGGTCCTCACTGTTCTAAAGAAGCCAAGTTCAGTTCCCAGCACCCACATCAGGCTGCTCACAGCTACCTGTACCTCCAGCTCTAGGAGATCTGATGCCCTGTGGGAGTATAAATGCAATTGACCCCAATAACCCCATAATCTCATAGGGAGGGGCACTATTCGGAGGCGTGGCTCTGTTGGAGTGTGTGTGTGGCCTTATTGGAGGAAATTTGTCTTCCTTTCTCAAGATCCCCATCACACGTGTGCCCTCTATCCAGGAATAGCCATCACATACCCTCTACAGACACTGCACTCATGGGAGGACACACACACACACACACACACACACACACACAGCAACACACATGCATGCACACACATACACTCACACCATTTAAAACTATTTTAAAGTGCCAAAAAATCTCAGTGCTAAGCAGCGGCTCCATAGCAGTCTCTTTACAAAGCTGCACTCTCACCCCCCGAGTCACATGGGGACTCCCTTCTGCTAGCCTTCCTTCCACTCGACCCTTGACCTTTAGTAATGCCTCTCAGAAACGCCCACAGAGAAGTCCTCAGGAAAGCAGCAAGCCTGACGGTGGCAGGGCCCTCGCCATCAAGCTGCCAGGCATTTCCTCATCCTTCTGCTGCAGCTCTGACCTAGTTAAAAGAGGCAGGCCCGAGAGGAGGCCAAGGACTCAGGGGTTCCTGGCTTCTGGGTAAACAACAAACTGCTGGCTCAGATATATCCACACCACCCAAGGCCACAGCTCACAGCTTTTCCTCCTAGTGTTTGTCCAAGGTGGGTGGGGAAAAAACGAAAAGGCATTGGGTCAGGGAGAATGACATGGATGTGGGAGACACAGTGTGTGTGTGTGTGTGTGTGTGTGTGTGTGTGTGTGTGTGTGTGTGTGTGTGTGGTCTTATATGTGTATAAAATCTCCACTTAGGGGATCTGAAAACTCATTCTCACTGAGCTGTAGGCACAAGGTTAGGAAAACTGGAAACAAACTGCTTCCAGCAGTGAGTGTCTGGTGATGAGTGTTCTGGCTAGCTGTATTTAAAATGAGCCCAGAACTCTATGAGTAGACCCATGACTTCCCAGGAGTCCTAAAAGTAGAGAATCTGCACTTCTTAAAAAACGGTGGCTCCTGGTCACACTCCACAGCTGTAGGCTGCAGTGTTTCTGAGCTCTTGGTGTTTTTCAGTGGTTCTTTAGAACAGTGGTTTTTTAACCTTCCTAATGAATCGATCCCTTAATACAGTTCCTCGTGTTGTGGTGACCCCCCCCAACCATACAATTGCTTTCATTGCTGCTTCATAACTGCAATTTTGCTACTGTTCTGAATCATGTTTTCTGATGTCTTAGGTGACCCCTGTGAAAGAGTCCTTTGACTACCCCCAGAAAGAGATCGTGACCCACAGGTTGAGAGCCACCGCATTGCAAGTTGGATATGAACTAAAGACAAGTGTTTCCAAGCACTTGCTTCCCAGTGCAGTCAGTTTTCTTGGCACAGAACTTTGGCTTAGCCACTGTGGTGATTTCTTTTACACGGGACATTGCCTCTTCCTGGTTAGAGCTAGCTGGCTCTCTCCCGCCTCCCTTTGTTCTTTCTCAGGCCTCCTTAGTCATTCAGGAGATAAATCCCCAAGGAAGGACAGGCACAAGGAAGGACTTCCAAAGACTGTAGCATTTGTCATCAATTTTCCTGTATTCATGCGGAATTTTAAAAAATCATTAGCATGATATTTATCTTCACAACTGAGTTATTTTCTCAAGATTTTTTTTGTTTTCACTTTTTAAAAATTATTTTATTGTTTGGCAATTCTTTTACAGCTGAAGTAAGTACCTCCCACTGTTAGTGTTCAGGCATCAGGCCTGCCCTTGGGGTTCTGACAGGACACACCCTCAGCTGCAGCCATTTAGAGCACCACCTGTGCACATTCAGTACGTTCCTCTTTAAAAGGGCCCTGCCCACCTCCCATCCTTCTCTGTCTCCCTCTCCTTCCTCTCTTTCTCCCCTTCTCGCCCCTCTCCTCTCTCCTGCTGCTCCTATTTCCTGGAGGCTGGTCTCCATCCTCCCTTTTCTCCTTTTTATGATCCCTTTCCCTAATAAAAAGCCTTCTGCTTGAACCCTGTCTCTCATGCTCTGCTTTTCTTAAATTACAACATCTACCAGGCCTTACCACAAGCCTGCCTGGAGTGGAAGGAGCAGGGGCAAACCCATTTCTGCAGGTACTGACTTACCAGAATCCGGAAACCCAGGCTTCACACGCAGTTTTCTCCACCCACGCCATCCCTACACCTTGGGAGTGTATTGATTGGTTGACTGATTGACTAATGTTTGATTGATTGATTTTTGCATGTGTGGAGGTCAGAGGACATCCTGTGGGACCAAGCTGTCTTTTGTCTGTCATATAGTCCCTGGGATTCCAACTCTAGTCATCAGGCTTTCTTGGAAGCGCCTTTACCTTCTGAGTCATCTCATTGCCTTATTTTTTTTTTCATTACAATAAGTGGACACCAGGTAAAGAGTGACCCCAGCATCATGGTAACAGCCATGTGGCAGTTTAGTATATGGCATGCCACAGCCACTCAGTCAGTTCCCAAGTTATTAAATGGCACCAAGCAAACAGTATAGCACATACAGTTTTTTATTTTATTTATTTTTTATTTTTGCTCTTGGGGCTGATTATTTCGTGGGGTATAAGTTCCTAGAATTGGAATTGCTGGGTGCAGGAGTTTGTGAGGTCATAGTCTTAAAATGCAGGAAAGTTGCTGGAAAGCCACTGATAGCCCAATTTAGCCACGTTTATGCAATATATACAGGATTATTTGTTTTGTTTTGTTTCTTAAAGAATTTATCGTGTTTTTTCAGGTTGGAGAGATGGATCAGTCATTAAAGAATAGACTCACAACTAAAATGTCACAATATTTTGGTTTTTAATTGTCTCTGTGTGTGTGTGTGTGTGTGTCTGTGTCTGTGTCTGTGCATGTGAATGAAGATGCCTAAAGAGACCAGAAAAGGGTGCTGGTGCCTGCAGAACTGGAGTTACAGGCAGTTGTAAGCCGCCCAACATGGATGCTGGGATCCCAAGTCAATCCCTCCAAAGGAGCAGTTCAGCCTCTCAATGGATGAGTCGCGCCTCCAGCCCCTATATGCAGACTGTTTACACTTTTTATTATGGGTCTATATTTTATGTCTAGTCTATCCACTTGCATCTATGGGATTTTTAAAAGGTGTATTTATTCTCTTTGAACAGGACCAGGAGCCAAAATGTCATCCCAATTTTTGAAGACAGCAATGAGTTCTGGAGGTAAAAATCAATCAGCCAATGTGTCCTTGCTATTTGCCTGTATGATTAGGCTCTGTGGTGACTAGGGGGTAAGGGAGAAAGCAACATGCCAGCATAAGAAAGAAAAGGAAAGGGTGTTGCTGAGAAGGTCTGATTAGTCAGAGTGTGTTAGCTTGTCACAGTTAGCTGTTAACCCAGTTACTGTCCTGTAGCATGAATAATAAAACACCCAGACACAGATATTGGGGTTAAAGCTGAAGAACAGAAAAGCAAGGTAGCCAGCCACAGCTCTTACCTCTACCTCAGACTAACAGGGGCGATCCTGGCTTCATGAATCTTCAGGCTGCAATGCTCTTCAGCAAACCTCAGACTGCTCCTGTCTTATATTCCTCCCTAGTGTTGGGATTAAAGGCACGCCGTCCCAAGGGCTGGGATCAAAGGCGTGAGCTCTGTTTCTCTTTTAGACTGTTTCACTCTCATGTAGCCCAGTGTGGCCCTGAACTCACAGATCCCTCTGCCTCTGTCTCCCGAGTGCTGGGATTAAAGGTGTGGCCACCACTGCCTGTCCTCTATAGCTAACTAGTGACTTAGGTGTGTGGCTAACTAGTGGCCCAGTGTGTGTGTGTGTGGCTAACTAGTTGCCTGGACTCTGTGGGAACCTGCCTTCTTCCCTCTGCTATCTCCTCCCCTCATCCTCCCACTTGACGATAGACCGGGAGTTCCAGTGCCCTGACAGAAAGAATCATTTGGTTCTCACCTCCAATTTTGACAAAGATTTAATACCTAGCACGGGTCCTGGGCACTCTCTAGACATGCTCCTCGCTGGAACTGATAGAATTATCAAGCTTGACTACAGTGACAGAAGGAGAAACCATCAGCTTCAATGTGATTCTACTCCCTGAGAGAGGGAGAGGAGAGAAGGAAAGAGAGACAGGGCAGGGAGGTGATCTGAGAAAGGAGGGGCTGGAGAGATAACTCAACGGTTAAGAGCACTGGCTGCTCTTCCAGAGGTGCTGAGTGGGACCAGGATTTATCCCTGGTGCACAAACTGACTTTTTGGAACCCATTCCCTATAGTGGGATACCTTGTTCTGCCTCGATGCGGTGGGGAGGGACTGGGTACTTGATATGTATGCCAGGCTTAGTTGATGCCCCGTGGGAGGCCTTACCTTCTCTGAGGAGTAAATGGGGATGGGGGGGGAGTGCAGGAGGAGGAGAGGGAGGGGGACCTGTGGTTGGTATGCAAAATGAGTTAAAAAAAAAACAGAAAAAAAAGGAAGGAGTGTGGATGCTTCTGGGAAATGCTCCATAAGCAGTCCATTTTGAAATTCTGTTGGCTCTCCCTTTAAAATATGCCCAGAGCCCACGAACTACTTCCCCCCAGCTCTGCTCACCCCCTCCCCAACTGTAATTCTCCTGCTCCTAGTTACTTCTCATTCACATGCAAAGACTTGAAACCACATCAGCAAATTCACTAGCAATCTGTCTTGCTGAGCCAGGGCATGCAGGACACTAACTGACCTGCCTCTGTCTTCCCTTGCACCCCCTCCCCCACCATGGCCTCCTCCTGCCTCAGGACCTTTGTGCTGACTGGTACCACAGAACTGTTCTTCCTCAGATCTGCCACTTGAGCAGTGGATCCGTCCCGCCACTCAAAGTTGCTTGCCCTGGACCCTGTCGCTTGTGTTATAAAATCACTTGCTTGTTATGGTTATTTTCACTATCTGTCCTCCCATGTCTACCACTTCAACTCAGTATGAGGGCAGAGTCTTCGTTTTGTTCTTTGCCTGGTGCACAGAAGAGACCCTTCGTGGGTATTTATCGAATGAATGAATGAATGAATGAATGAATGAATGAATTAGAACCAGGTAAGCAGAAAGGGGCAAAGCTAAGAAGGGAATGAGTCTGTGTGTCACAGACAGGCTAGTAGTCCCCAAATATATGTATATTATATTCCTTGTAATCTGTGCATATGTCACTTTACTTGATTTAAAAAATATACTTTTAAAATGTGACAAAGGAGCTTGGCTTGGGAAGAATATTCTGGATTACTGAGTGGGCCTGGGATCACCCGAAAGTCTGCTCACGAGGGAGGCAGGTGTGTGGTAGACAGGGAAGGCAGTGTGATGGTGGAATCTGAGGATGGATGAAGGGGCTATCAGCCAGGGCGTGCAGGCGTTCTCTAGCAGCAGAAGAAATAAACAGTTTCTACCTAGAGCCCTCTGAGATACACGCTCATTGTTAAGAGACTCATTTTAGACTCCCCATCTTTAGAATTTCCAGCCAGCCAAGGAAGTTTGCAGTGCTGTCACAGCCTCCACAGGACACAAATAGCCAAGCACTGAAAGATGGCTTCTTAACTCAGATGTGGATCTTCAGAGCAGCCTGGAAGAAAATACAGCTGAGCTTGGGTGCAGCTAATGCCTCAGATGCCCAAGTGACAAGCTGTAGATCTTGGGCCCAAGGTTCACATGGCTCTATAGCCTGCAGAAGGACTGGGCAAGAGGCTAAGGGTGGATTCTAGTATACACTATGGGTGTAAGGTGTTATTTGGGGTGCAATATTAATTTTACCACCAAAGATCAGTCTACCCAGAACCTGAAAATAGGAACATATTTTCAAAAAGAAAAGGAAAGGAAAATAAAAAGAAATGAGAGAAAGGATCATGGATTTATGGTCCATCTCAAAGGCCATTTGCTGTGGCGTACTCCTTTAACCCTGCACTTGGGAGGCAGAGGCAGGCATATCTCTATGAGTTTGAGACCAGCCTGGTCTACATGGCGAGTTCCAAGACAGCCAAAGGCTACATAGTGAGGCTGTCTTAAAAATCAAAACACCCCCCCAAGTAAATACAACTAGTGTCCTTATAGGAGACTAGAGGGGAGGAGAGTGTGAGTGGCTGTCTAGCCTGCCAATGACTTCCCTTCGAGAATATCAGTGGCCCCATTGGATATCTGTGATCCATCTTTGTTCTGTTGTAAGGGACACAGGATGGGCTCAGGCAAGGTTGTGTTCTTAGATCCGAATACAGCCCCAGTGGGAAGGCACTTTGCTATGAGAAAGGGGCTCCGGTGACCATGAGAGCACTGCAAGCCCGAGGCCCAGTGGTGGTAGAGCCCAGTCCAGGGTGAAGGCTGGAGCCCAGGCAGGCTGACAGCATCAGCCCCAATGTGTCAAGCATGCATGGAGATGAGAGGTGAAATGAACCAGGTCTAACAGCGAGACACTCTGTGTGTGTGTGTGCGCGCGCGTGCGTACACAGGAGGGAGGCAGAGGGGGGCGCAGCGGGGTAGATATTTCTCCCTCCTCCACCGCCGTTGTCCTGCTTAGGCCCTCTGTGGATTGGTGGATGCCCCTGCCTCTGTCCTCTGTGGATTGGATTGGCGGATGCCCCTGCCTCTGTGGATTGGTGGAAGATGTGTCCCAAAATGGCTACACCACATCACATCCCGCTGGTGGCTGGGGGGTCCAGTGTCATCTCCACATCTCCCAGAGTGGTCTCATTGTTCTACTAAAGACTCCTTAGCTATCGGTGGTTCAGGTTTCCTGGGGCACTGAGCCCTGAACCTGTGCCATAGATGATGGCAGGAGACCCAGGAGACCCAGGACCTATAGTTCCAGCTTAACTGGCGGGTAAGATGCGCTTGCATCCTGCCTTCTCAGAAACCCCTGCGTCCCTTTTCTCTGCTCCAGCTGGGGAGAGACTTACTAAGCCTAGTTCCTTATTAAGTGAACTAACAGCTCCTTCCCTCCCTCCTTACTCCATTCTTTCTTTTCCCTCTCTCCTTCCAGACAGAATAAATGATGACGCAATCAAACAGGAACGACCCTACAAGATCTTTTTCAAAGATCTCTTCCTTTTCAAGGAAAATGAAATGGCTGCAAAGAAAAAGGTAAGGGTTTTTTGTTTTGTTTTATTTTGTTTTGTTAACTAAGATCAAAGTCCCAAAAAGGTTACAATCTTGTGCTTTTAGTCATAGTTCTTACCAGTTTATATGAGTTAAGACATGGTGTTGGGGTCAGGCTGGGTGACACATGTCTTTAATCATAGCGTTCAGGAGGCAGAAGGAGGAGGATCTCTGTGAGTTGAAATCCAGGTTGGTCTACAAAGTGAGTTATGGGACAGCCAGAACTGTTACACCAAGAAAACTTGTCTTAAAAAGCAAAAACAAACAAACAAACAAGCCGGTTAGTGGCAGCACATGTCTTTAATCCCAGCACTCTGGGGGCAGGGGCAGGCAGATCTCAGTGGGTTGGAGACCAGCCTGGTCTACAAAGTGAGTTCCAGGACAGCCAGAACAGAGAAACCCTGTATCAGAAAGAAAAAAAAAAAGAAAAGAAAAGAAAAAGAAAAAAAAAAAAAGACGTGATGTTGGCCTGTGGTTGGTTGCACCATTCTGAGAAGACTGCTTGCAGAGGACAGGGCTAAGCATGGACCTTCAGAGATCGCCACCTAGTGGGGGGAAGCAGCTACACCATCACCAGTCAGTGTGACAGGTATGGTCAGCCCTACTTGATGTTGTCGGACACCTACAGTTTTCATATTGCTACATTTGTGAAATTGGGACTAGCTCACACAGGTGGCATGCCATGCATCATTGGCCAAGTACAAAAGAAAAACGCATCTCCCCACAGAACTGACAGACAGGTCATAGACTCAGAGATGTGTAAAGGAGACAGAGCATCTGCCCCACTGATGGGAACGGAAACGATGAAGGGAGAAACAGAATTCACCGTGGTGACAGAAGTTGAGTCCTTAAGAGCAATCCCAAAGCTGTCAAAACTGATATGGGTAAACAAGTCTGTATGTGCTTTGGTGAGAGAGAAGCAAGGAAGGGTAGAGAGGCGAGGAGGATTGTTTTTAGAGTAATTTGAAACAAAGTTAGATCAGCAGCGGCCTGAGACTCAGTTTTTCTTCCCAAAGGTACCTATTAAAGGGCTGTCCTGGCCCTAGTATAATGAGTAATATATATGGAAAGACTATATCTTTCTGGGGGCTATTTTTTCTCCAGGTGTTGGTGAGCCTTTGTTGAACATAATAGAATATTAAACTGAGAGAAGCTGAAAGAAATCCAAAGGGTTGGGTTCCACTACCTTCTGGGAAGGACCATCTCCTCTTAAGTTTTCAGTCCCAGCAAGCCAGTCTTTGTGATTTCCCTGGAAAGACATTTTCCTGTCTCTGGGGTAGTTTACTAAAGGCTCAACCATTAAAGCATGTTCTTTCTTTCTCCATATAACAAGGAAAGGGTTGCTGTGTACATTGCTTTCGGGGTGTGTTCCCAAGCTGCCTAAGGCCAAAGGTCTTTGCTGTTGACATATGGTCACCGTTACAACAATATGTGACTCTGGTGTATTCAAACTCCTTTTGCGCAGGAAAGACTCATGAGCCGCAACATGAAAATCTACCAAAAGACGACATTTTCATCTCGCATGAAGAGTCGCTCACACCTCGGCCAGCTGGCTTTTTTTGCTGAAGCAGGCGGCGGCTCCTACGAAAGTTTGGGGCTAGACCCCACTCTTATTCTCAGGCTGACAGAAGGTAAGTCAGCGTTACTCGTAGTTTTAAATTGTTGTTTTTGATATTTGCTATTCATCATAGGTTTGGGGAGATTTTCTGGTGGTGAGAGAGACAGAATCTTTGCTGGCTAAAATAGCCAGAGACCACAATGCAGACACTCTTTTGGGGGGTGGCTTCCTCTGTGTAGCCCTGGATGTCTTGAAACTCACTCTGGCTGGCCTCGAACTCAGAGATCCATCTCCCTCTGCTGGGATTAAAGGTATATGCCACCCCTGACCAGTTAACACAGACATTTATCTTTAAAGATTTATTTATTTATTGTGTATACAGTGTTCTGCCTGCATGTATGGTTATAGGCCAGAAGAGGGCACCAGATCTCATTATAGATGGTTGTGAGCAACCATGTGGTTGCTGGGAATTTAACTCAGGACCTTTGAAAGAGCAGGCAGTGCTCTTAACTGCTGAGCCATCTCTCCAGCCCCAACACAGACATTCTTAAAGCCAAAAAGAAAATCTGTATTGCTGCCCAGTAGCTGCAGGGGAACTTGCCCAAACCATGCAGCCCAGAGTGGCTACTGAGGAAAGGGACATTGAGTTTATCAGCTCCTGTAGAGAAAGCAGGTCAGGAGGCTGCGGAGAGGCTTAGCAATCAAGAGCACTTGTGACTGTTGTGGAGGACTGGGGTTCGGCTCCCAGTACCCACACAGTGTCTCACCATGCTACGACTCCAGTTTGAATGGATGGAGTTCCCTCTTCTGACTTCCTCTTGCACCAGGCAAGTGCACTTACATGAATTCAGGCCAAATATTCACACACATACAAACAAATACATAAATATTAAGAGAAAGAAGAGCTGTCTAGATAGCTCAGCAGGTAAGCGCACTAGCTGCTCTTCCAGAGGACTCAGGGTCTGTTCTTAGAACCCGCATGGAGGCTCACAACTGTCTGTAACTCCAGTTCCAGGGGATCAGGCACCCTCTTCTGGATGCTTCGGGAACCTGGAAAGTATATTGTGCACAGACCTACATGCACGGGGATAAACACTTTACACACAAAATAAAAACAAATAAATCTTTTAAAACACATGCCAGGCATTGGTGGCGCATGCCTTTAATCCCAGCACTCAGGAGGCAGAGGCAGATAGATCTCTGTGAGTTCGAGGCCAGCCTGGTTTACAGAGCGAGTTCCAGGATAGGCTCCAAGGCAATACAGAGAAACCCTGTAGCAAAAAAAAAAAAAAAAAAAAAAAAAAAATCAATCTTTTAAAAACACCTAGTTTTTAGTTTTGCTTATTCTGTTATTTGTGTGTGTGTGTGTGTGTGTTTTGTCTGTGTGTAAGAGGGTGTAAGATCCCCTGGGGTTGGGGTTAACAGTCAATTGTGGGGGTGCTGGAAATTGAGCCTGGATCCTCTGCAGAAACAACAAATGCTCTTAATTCCTTAGCCAACTTTCCAGGCCCCAAATACATCTTTAAATAAGAAGCAGCAGGCATCTTGGAGACGCATATGTAAATGAACAACAGGTGAAGGCAGGCAATAGTGAGGGTGTGGCCACAACACCAGATCTTGGAGATACCTAGGTTCCATCTCGTGCCTCCATTTCGAGTCTTGGGCCATCAAGAACATTTAAAGTGATAAGTGACATGTCAAAATGTCACAGAATGTGCAAACAAGCTGAGTGCAACAATCCTGTGTCTTAGTTAGGAGTTGCATTGCTGTGAAGAGACACCATGACCAGGGCAACTCTTATAAAGAAAACATTTCATTGTGGTGGCTCGATTACCGTAAATTTAGAGGTTCAGTCCATTGTCATCATGATGGGGAGCATGGGAATAATTCAAAAAATGCTAGGCAGGGCACCCAGTGTCCTCCTCTAGCCTCTGCATGAAGGCAGAGGAAAATACACACACACACACACACACACACACGCACACACGCACATGTGTGAACATGCATGCATGCACACACATGCATACACACACGCACACAAAGAAAGATGAAGAGACAGAAAGAGAGATGAGGAAGAGAAAGAGAGAAAATCAATTGAACTTGAATCTAATCAAGTAAAGATGAGGTATCGAGGGCCACGTGAAACATTATCAAGGTGTAGTGTGCCAGACCCTATTTGTGGGAAATCCTACAGGGAAATTGGGTTGGCTTCCTGAACAGATGAATGGTGGGGGTTGGGGATCAAATAGTGGGAGAAATTTGGGGGTGGCTGGGATATGAAGAGATGAATCTCTATCACATGGCCAAGCTGATCTGAGTTTAGATTATAATTGTTAGGATCTATGTTTTTAAGACAACTGGGAAAATGCAGCCCAGGCTGAATATGAGGCAGTGTTGTGGAATTGTCAGTTTATCTGGGTTAAGAATGGTAGGAGCATTATTTTCTAAACTCTCTGGTAAGGTTACACACTAACGCTCTTAGGGATGAAATAGTTAAAAGATTTTTTTTTACCAAAATATTCTAGTGGAGGAAAAGGAGCAATATCAAGAGGCAAGACAGACAAAATATCAATGATGTTGAAGCGACTGAACGTTGGGCTACACTGTTATGAATATCAGTGATTTCAAGATGGTGCAGTTTTTAAAGTATTAAAAAAGATAGCTGTCTCTAAGTGATAGTTTCTTGGGCATGCTGCATTTGATTTGCAACAAAACGCTGCTAGATGTTTTTGCCTCCTCTTTGCAAATGGAAATGGCTCAGTGAGGTTGAGTCACCCAAAATCTCTAAGCAAATGCAGAATTCAAGTCAAAGCCTGCCCGACTCCCTTTGGTTACCTCCCAATGACTATTTGTTAATGACTATATAAATTTTTGTTGCCTTTATGACTGATCATAAAATGAAATTATTCGTTCCAAGTGTGTTGTTTGAGTAATAGCAGCTAGCAGTTATTAAGAAACTCCTGTGTGTTTTATGTTCTATGGCCTCATTTCCTTTTCCCAACACCGTTGTGCAAGAGAGGGATATTCCTACCTGGGCTACCTTACGCTTTCACAATAAGCCACATGGAAATTCCAGTGGCTTCCAATCCCAGAGGTTTCATTTTCAGTCGTTTGCCCTTTGAGTCCCTGCTGAAGGAACGGGCCCTGTCTAGGACACTGCAGGGGCTGCAGCTAAGGGCTCTCGAAGCTTCTTGGAAGCCACGTAGCTCCATGCCTGTTTCATGACCAGATCATGGTGATGGCCATGAGTTGAGGGTAGGAGAACAGTCTTCACACAGATGAGGAAACAGGCATGGAGAGGGAATGGATTCACTCATCTTTCCCAGCTAGTTAGAAGTGGAAACCAGTGCATCTTTGGGGAGACATAGCCTACCGGTGCAACTCAGACCCACTGCTTATTTAGGAAGTATTTTTCTATTTACATGGTTAGAGAGAGACTTTATTCTATGCCACATTCTGTTGGCTTTCACACAAAGCTAACGTGGAAATGTAGCATTTTCCAAAACGAAGAAAATTTGAGTGTTCTTAGAATTCCTATTCAGTTTTCTGAAGGGTAAAACTGGTCATCTTTTTCACTTTGGTTGCAATTTTGGCTTGTGATCGCCAAAGACATGTGGCCTGAGGACATTAGGATCTGGGTCAGTCTACAAACACAAACAGAACTCTATATCACATTTGGTCCCCTTAAAGGCTCAGAGACCATTGCAGAAAAATGGAACAAAAACACTGTAAGAGCCTGAGGTCAGAGATATGTCTTCTAGATATGCTGGGGTCACCACACCCATGAACACACAGCAACTATGGTCTCCTCCACAAGACCTATACAAGATCAAACCCGCCAACATTCTAGCATGGAGGTAGGAAGATCTCCTGAGAAGCAATCCGCAGATGGTAACTTCTTAGGGAGGGTGGGTGCTCGGACACCCCTTGGGGAAGTGGATGAAAAGACATAGCACCAACTACAAAGACACTGGTAGTCGACTTGTTTATTACGGAAGTTAGGCCTACCTTTATACCCCCTCCCAAGGTCCCATTGACTCGGGCGGCTGACTCTGCAGCGTTGTCCTTTCCTCACTGCTGCCTCTGGTCAGGTGTCTCTGTGTCAGCAGTCTCTGGGTGTAGTGGCAGGCTTGGCTCAGGGAGAAGCGCCTGCCGCGCATGCTCATGTGGGCTGGTTTGGGCAGGACGACTGTGGCTTGGGTAGGTTGACCAGCAGTTTCTCCTACAGGTGAGTTTTCTGTAAGCCTCTTCCTAGATCAGCTGTGCTTCCGTGGAGGGCCCACACTCATGAGTATGTGGGCAGCACAGATTGGACTCAATGAGTTGATTTTTAAAGGTTTTTTTTTTTCATGAGGGCACAAAGTTGGAATGGGTGAAGAGGCAGGGGTAGATCTGGGAGAATCGAGGGGGAAGTGTGAAGGTGACCATGATCAAAATATAATAGTTGTATATGGAATTCTCAAAGAATCCCATATTTTAAAAAGCTTTAGCGCAGTGGCTTGTGGGGGCTCTGCCCATCTCTCTCACTTCTTGGGCAAGCATTTTGGCATCCCTAAGCTTTAGCACACAAAGGGGATGAGATAATAATTAATTAATTCATGATCAGATAACATATTTAAAATCCTTTAAAAAAAAGCTTCCTGATCTATTCAAAGATGCAAAATAAGTGGTAGCTCCTACTGGGGCAGCTTGAGTGCCAGGGAGACGTCATTGGAAAGCAATGCTCTTTTGCTTAGTCTCCATACACAACGTGTATGATCACGTGGCAGCTCTTGCTCTGTGCAGTAGCAAACTAAACCTTCGTCTGTTTCAATGTTCTCTGCAGGAGCAGACAGAAAGAGGACTTTGCAAGAGTTTATTCATGACCAGAGAGACAGATTTCTACTTGAGGTATTAAACGTAACTTCTTTCTCCCGTTAGCCAGGACACACCCAGCATAGCATTGTCAGATACTTAGCCCGGCGTTGTGTTTTTCCATGATGTGCTCCAAATCCATTGGCTGGACAGAGTGGCTCATCCCTGCGTTCATTTACTTGAACAGTTTTTATTGAGTACTAATTATGTGCCGAGCCATTACAGAAGTCCCTCCCTTTGGAGAACTTACATTCAAGTAATCTATACCAGTAACCCAGGAAGTGGTCTGTATTTCTGGGGGACATTGGGCCACAAGAGCTCTCTTTCCCCTCAGTCTGAGAAGAGTCTCCGTAGCCCTTGAGAAGCCTACTTGGATTTAGATTTTGACATTCTGGTTGACTATGGTGGGAATCAGAACATTCTGGGATGTTCCAGCTCTCTCTGTACCTGCTCATACCAGAGAGAAGTGGAGTGTTACAAGGAAGAGGAATATTAAAATCAGCCAGGAGAGCCACCCGAGGCAGGGTTTAGGAGCACTGCCTACCCCACCTCTGGTGCCAACTGCATCTGTAACATCAAGCTCACAGCACAGCCAGCCAGGGAAAAGTTCAAGTATCTTACACACTAACAGAGGGTTTTATCCAATCATCAGTAACCTTGAGCTGGAACCCAGGCCATATGACACATACTATTTATGACTCTTTTATACCTGTTAATTTACCATGGACAGGGTAGACACTGTACACACAGCTGTGGAAGAATAATTACAAAAGGAATCAATGGGATATTGTTTACACCTCTGCTGTCAAGTCCAAGCATTTAAAAACAGTCTGTTTCTGTTAAGGTCTTGAACGCTAGTGAGTAAAGGAAAATGCATCTGATCTCTCCTAATTTCATAGCACATGCTTTGGGATATAGGCCAGAGTGAATGCTTTCCTAAGAGGCTGCTGCTATCATCAGAGCTCACATGGACCACATCACACAGCTGTGAAGGGAACCATGTGCCTTTGTTTGCTAGTATTAGTTCCTGGGTGTGATTTTTGGCCTTCATCAGAAACCTTGGGGATGTACCTAATGTCTTGGCTAGGTACCTGAAGATGGCGCTTGGCAGAGTCTCTGGGACTTCAGTGCATTTGGAGTAAATGCACTTTGTCCTCTGCTCTGGTGTTTTTTTTCAAATCCTTCAAGCAGATTGATAACATGTCCCAAGTGATATAATAAAGTCAGTTTATCATTAAAACTGTAGCTAGAAAAAAAACTGACCTTGCCAAAACAATTCTGGCCTTGTCTTCTAGAAGGTGGCCTATGTCATACCTCATAAGGGTGTCTTTAAGGTGAGTCTGGCCACACCTGCCAGTCCAAGGGTGGCCATGTCAGAAAAACCAACAATGTGGAGGCTTGGGGTCATACCGAGAGGGTCTGGGGACTAAAGACAGGTCAATCAATTAAACCTGTCTATGGAATGAAGCTTCATTTGGAAACTCTGGCCAGGGAAGTTAGCTGATTCCCTGGTTGACTATAGCCATGCTTACTGTTGCAGATGCAGGAATGGAACCACAGGCAGGCTCCAGGGGAAGGGAGTCCTAGAACCTATGCGTCTCGAGTGCCTCTAAACCAGTGGTTCTCAATGTGTGGGTCACGACATATCAGATATTTACATTATGATTCATAACAGCAGCAAAATTACAGTTATGAAGTAGCAACAAAATAATGTGGCTGGGGGTCAGCACAGCACGAGGAACTGTATTAAAGGGTGGCGGCATTAGGAAGGGTGAGAACCGCTGCTCTAAGCCCTGCCTCATGGCGCCTTTCTTCTGGCTGATTTTAGTGTTTCTTTCCCTCGTAAGAAACTGTATCCAGGGGTTCTGTGAGATCTCCCAGAAATCTGAAGCCAATTGAGGGGCTCCTCGAGTTTCCTATTGGTGTCAGCATTGAGGGCAGACTTAGGGATGAGTAACTTAATTTTCAAAAACTGAATTGGTCTCATAGCATCTTCCCTTAGTTCCTCCACCCCTTTCCCCCCCCTTCCTTTTAAAAAAGTTTATTTGTGGCAGATTTGAGGTACAAAAAGTCTCACTTAAAACATAAATGTCAATGTATTTTGAATTATTTTGAATTTAATACTGTGAGTGATTTTATGCCAATAATTTGACATGGGGCTGGGTAGTGGTGGCGCACGCCTTTAATCCCAGCACTCGGGAGGCAGAGGCAGGCAGATCTCTGTGAGTTCCAGGCCAGGCTGGACCGATAACCTCCAAAACAATACAGAGAAACCCCGTCTCATAAAAACCAAAAAAAAAAAATAATAATAATAATTTGACATGGATGGAATGGATTTCTGGAAAGTTACAAACTAACAAAGCTTATCCAAGAAGAAGCAGATAAATAGCTTCATATCACTCTAAAACTTGAACTTGTAGGCAAAAGAAAGAAAAATCCATATTCGATGGTTATGTGTACCAGATACTTTGAGAGAACACCATTCTAATTTGACCTACCCTGTTAAGTAAAACTGAGTAAGAAGGAACATTCCTCCACGCTCGCCATGACAAGAACACTGTACTGATATCTAAGTAGCGCATAGGCTTCAGAAGAAAAGAAAGCACGGCCCACAGGGTGGCTTTGTGGGTAGAGGCACATGGCTCCAAGCCCGGTGACCAGGCTTCAGTATCCGAGACCCGCATGGCGGAAGGAGAGAACTGACTTCTACAAATTGTCCTCTGACCTCCATGCACCTATACTAGCTAAATAACTAAATGATAATTGCCTAAAGAAGAAGGAAGCTAGAGGCAAGCACTGGAAACAATTTTTAACAAATCTAATAATATGCAAAAGGATAATCCACTATGGCTAATTGGGGCTTACCCCAAGCATATGAAAGCAGCTTAACATTTGAGAATGGATGAGTACAATACAAATCAACAGATTAGAAATAAAACCATATAATCATCTCAAGCAATGCAGAAAGAAACATTTGTCCATATCCAAAGTGTATTCTTTTTTAATAATAATATTATTATCCTTTGAGAGTTTCATACAACGTATTTTGATAATTTCACACACACCCCGACTCATTCCAGATTAACCTTCACCTCCTTACCCACTCACTCTCATGTTCATTTTTTTTAACCTGTTGAGTCCGATTTGTCTTGCCCAACCACTCTTGGATGTGGGCCTGCCCTGTATGTGGTGGTCTTACACCGTTAAAGAGAACTGACTCTCCCTCTCCCAGGAGCTAGGGATGAGATATCACGCCCACTTCCAGTCCTCATGCTGTGGTTTTGTTTTGTTTGAGATTGCAAAGGTCTTATGCATGCTGTGGCAATTGCTGGGAGTCCGTGTGTGCAATGTTCCTGTTGTGTCTGGAAAAGACCGTCTGTGTTCTTGACATCATCCATACCGCTGGCTCTTACAATGTTTCTGCTCTTCCACAGTGATCGCTGAGCCTCAGGGAAATCGATGTCATACAGATGTTCTGTTCGGGCCTCAGCATTCCACAGTCTCTTACGCTCAGCTTGTTGGCCAGTTGTGGGTCTCTGTGTTTGTCACCATCTGCTATGTTTGTCACCATCTGCTAAAAAAGAAGCTTCTCTGGTGACAGTTGAGAGAGGCACTGATCTCTGGCCGTAGCAATATGCCATAGGACATGCGCTGGTTACATCTACGTAAACTTGACCCATGCTAGAGTCATCAGAGAGGAGGCAGTCTTAGTTGAGAAAATGCCTCTATTAGATCCAGCTGTCAATAAGCCTGTAGGACATTTTCTTAGTTAGTGACTGATGTCTTGGGCTCGACCACCGTTGGGCTGGTTGTACTGGGTTTTGTAAGGAAGCAGGTTGAGCAAGTCATAGAAAGCAAGCAGTATGCAGTTCCCCTCCATGGCCTCTGCATCAGCTCCTGCCTCCAGGTTCCTGCCCTGCTTCAGTTCCTGCCCTTACCACTTTTGATGATGAACTGTAACTGAAATAAACCTTTCTCTCCCCACGATGCTTTTGGTCATGGTATCTCATCACCACAGTAGTAACCTAGCTGTCTTAGTTAGGTTTTTATTACTATGAAAAGCACCATGACCATGGCAACTCTTATAAGGGACAACATTCCATTGAGGGTGGCTCGATTACAGTTTCAGCGGTGCAGCCCATTAGGATCATGGAGGGGAGCATGGCAGCGTTCAGACAGACGTGCTGCTGGAGCTCAGAGTCCTACATCTTGACTCAGAAGCAACAGGAAGTCAACTCACTGTCACACTGAGTGAAGCTTGAGAAAAAGGCCTCAAAACACAGTGACACACTTCCTCAAACAAGACCACACCCACTCCAACAAAGACACACCTCCTAATGGTGCCACCCCCTATGAGGTTATGGGAGCCAATTACATTCAATCTACCACACTAACGAAGACAGGAGTTGTTTCAATTTATATCTACTTAGCAGAACAAAAGTAGTAGGTTCTCCCCCAGGACCTATCTAGCCACAAGTTCTTGACCCCAGTAACAGGGCTAGGTAAGGGTTCTCCCCGGTGGAACAGACTTTAGATCCAATCAGAAAGTGGTAGGTGACTCAGATAATATCCATGCTACTATTGCACCAGTAAGCATATCTTGCCAGGCCAGTCAGTATGGTAGCTCGTAGAGTTCGTAGTTGGGTGAGAGTGCTGGTTACTTTTCTCCTCCACCAGCATGAGTGTCCCTTACCAGTGCCATGAAAGTTATCTAGAAGGGATGAAGCACCTGGGTCAGGACCAATTGATTTCCCCATGGTGGTGTCCTCAGTGATACATTCTGCCTCCATTAGGTTTCCATTGTGTGATAAAATACCGTGACCCAGAGCAAGGAAAGGGTCCTTCTCATCTTCCTCATGCAGGCCACGGTCCATCACTGAGACCAGGGGAGATTAGCTTGGGAACTCAATCAAGGCAGGAACCTGGACCTGGAGGCAAGAACTGAAGCAGAGGCCGTGGTCTTGCTCCCCATGGTTTGCTCAGCATCCAGGACCACCAGGACCACCTCAGGGGGCGGCATCCCTCCCTGTCAGCTGGCTCCTCCCACATAATTTCTTGTCTGTCTGTCTGTCTGTCTGTCTGTCTGTCTGTCTGTTTTTCATGACAGAGCTTCTCTGTTTCTTTGGAGCCTGTCCTGGAACTAGCTCTTGTAGACCAGGCTGGCCTCGAACTCACAGAGATCCGCCTGCCTCTGCCTCCCAAGTGCTGGGATTTTGAAGGCGTGTGCTACCACCACCCAGCCTCATTTATTAATCAAGAAAATGTTCTAGGTGGTGGGTGGTGGCACATGCCTTTAGCCCCAACACTCAGGAGGCAGAGGGAGGTGGCTCTCTGTGAGTTTGAGTCCAGTCTGATCCACAGAGAAAGTTCTAGCACAGCCCGGCATCAGGCAACACAGAGAAACCCTGTCTGGAAAACCTAAAAGAAAACAAAAAGGGAAAAAGAAAAAGAACAGAAAATGCCTCACAGGCTTGCCCACAAGTCCATCTTAGAGGAGAATTTTTTCAGTTGCAATTCCCTCCTCTCCAATAACTCTAGCTTGTTCCAAGTTGACAAAAAACCTAGGCAACACAGGGTCTTAGTTCTGGAGTGTAACCAAGGGCAATGGCAATAGCCCATAATGTTTGGGGACCAATGGGACCCCACTGATCAGCAGCTGGGAAAGAGCAGCACATTCCTGGCTTTGGGCTTTTATTTTCTAACATGGAGCATCTAGCTGGGGTATTCGCACTAAAGGACTTTGGAGGAAGCCGTATGGAAATCTGCTATTGCAGAATCTTCCTACAATATATGCATGCATACAAAGGGAGGAGGCAAGTCCATGTGGTATCACATCTCATATGCTGTACTAAAAAATAGTTGCCAAAACTTACACTTGAGAATCTAAATCAGTCTCTCTGGGTTCGGTTAAATAACCCACACCCTCAAGCCAACTTGGAGAAATCCAACGTTCCATCCTGGGAGGCCTGGTAGCTACAGACAGCCTGGGGTTTTTGTTGTTTTGTTTTTTGGGTTTGTGTGTGTGTGTGTGTGTGTGTGTGTGTGTGTGTGTCCAGAAGCCAAAATGCATCATGGGTAACAGATGGGCCTGCTCTTTGAAGAGCATGAGTGTTTCGACTAGTAGGGAGCAGCCAGCTTAGAAGAACACAAAGACTCTTGGTGAGAGCCAGTGAGAAGGCTTCTCTCCCCTCCTGATTTCCCCCACTGCAGTCTTCCTTCATGAGATAAAGGCCCAGCTGTGTGCATGCTACTATTACTCCTAAGGCAAGCAACTATCTTGCTGCAGGACCCACGAGCCTTTATGCAGGTTCTGTTGGAATGTTATCAGTGACTTGTGAATGCTCTTGTTTTCCATATTCCTAGTATGCAGTGTCAACCAAGAAAAGCACAATTCAAAAGTTTGAAAAACTCATTGCCATGAAAGAAAATCAACTCAGGAAAGCCGAGATAAAGCTCCAAGCTGATGCGTTATCCTTTGAAGAGTTCCTTCGGGAAAATGACCAGAGATCGGTGGATGCCCTTAAAATGTTAGTGTCTCCATTCTAGCCACACCCTTCACACACACACACACACACACACACACACACACACACACACACACACGTCTTTGCTGGCCTGTTTTAGTTTCTTAGAAAAACAAATACATAACTAATAGATCAGTGTTCCTTTTCAGGGCAGCACAGGAAACATTAAACAAACTCCAAATGACCACGGAGCTCAAGAAAGCAAGCATGGAGGTGCAGTCAATAAAGAGGTGAGGGGTGCTGTCCTCAGCCAATCCCGGGTCCCGTCATGACCCCTTAGGCCCAGCAAAGGCCAAGAGGGGACAGCCTTCCCAGCTGGTAACTTAGCATGAACAGATTTCAGAGTGAATACTCTGTCTATCAAGGATTTCGGCTGTCTAGATTTCAGAACAGAAGCCACTCTCTGAATGGGCTCCCTGACTCTCTCTGACTTGGAGATACAGAAGCAGAGGAGTTCATTGAAAAGAAGCAAAATGATGTCAGGAGTAAACACATTTTTTCTTCGTGCCTCCTCTTTGTTCATTGTGAGAGCTTATTCACCCACACTTAAGCATCTCGACTGGGATGCATTTGATGATCACCCTATATTCCTCATTGGCAGTTTTTGTATCCAAACCCCTTAGTAGAGTCTCATGCCACTGCTAAATTTAATATCTATACATAAACAATTCACAGGATCAGGGATGGGGGTGATAATTATTAAATTGTTAGTCACTCCTTCCCAACTCTTCTATGTTTAAGGAAACCCTGCTGAATGATTTTCACTACCTAAAAAGATCTTGTGGCTAGGCTACTGTGGGACACTAAGGTCATACTCCAAAGTATGTGTCCCAGATAGATTCAGGCTGTGTAGCCTCTTCTATTTAAAAGTCTAAGACTGAAGGTGCTTCAAAATAGGGGACTCCATCCCCACTTTCCCTGGCAATGAAACGTTTGACTATGTCCCCAGCATTTTTTTCTTACTTTTAAATCCTAGATTGTGCCTTGCTATATTGCCCAGGCTGGGCTTGAACTCACTCAGTAGTTCGAGCAAACCTTAAACATCTTGCTTCAGCTTCCCAACTAGCTAGGATTATGGGGAGCACTACCGGGGCAACTTAGGCGATACTATCCATTCAGTTATACACACACAGATAATTGTCTGTTATCCTACCCGTCTGGGTCCACGTGGAAGCGGAGCAGGGTCCATGGTGCGGTATTAATTCTGCGTAGTACTTGGTTACACCTCTAAACAGCCTTGCGGAGACCTTGCTCACTGCTTATGTGTCTCACCAGTCTAGAAGGGCGAGTGAGATAATGGAGCAGATGCAGGTGTAGAACCGGGAAATGAGAATCCCTTCCTTTCATGGAAAGATGGCTGGAGGACGGGAGGTATTTGAAAAGGAGAAATGACTTTCTCCGGAAACGTTTCCATCGCAGGCATGCAATCCTGCTCATCTGTTATCCCACGGCCTTTGTGACTCTCCGGGAGGTAGAATCAGGGGCTTCTAGCTCCCAACTACTGAGCGTGAGGAATTGTGTGCTGACCCTTAAAGGCAACTTATACTGGACTGAAGGAAGGCTCTGATGGATAAAGGGTGGAGGATGGGCGTTTGAGGCCATGCAGCAGTGAGAAGGCGCTAATGAGGTTACAAACGAGGAAGACTGGCTTGGGCCTTGGGGTTCCGCTTTGAGCTTTGCTTACCGGTCTGTGTGGAACATGGCTGCGATAAACCAGTACAAAGCTGGAGAAAGCAGCTTTGAATGTATTTGGCCCCCATAATCACATAGGGAGTGGCACTATTTGGAGGTGTGTCTTTGTTGGAGTGGGTGTGGCCTTGTTAGAGGAAGTGTGTCACTGTGGGGGCGGGTTTTGAGGTTTCTCATGTTCAGGATACCACCCAGCGCGTTAGTTGGATTTCCTGCAGTCTGCAAGAGGCAGCAGTCCCTTCTGCAGCACCATGTCGGCCAGCATGCCGCCGTGCTCCCCGCTGCAATGACAATGGACGGAATCCCTGAAACTAGAAGCGAGCTCCCTTATTTAAACGTTTTCTTTGTAAGAGTTGCCATGGTCATGGTGTCTCTTCACAGCAATAAAAACCCAAACGAAGACGCGTGTTTGTGGATATGTTCACTAGTGCCTGCTGGGGTGGAGACACTGGATCTCTGCTGGTTGTGAGCCACCCCAGCATAGGCACTAGGAACTAAACTAGCCGACAGGAGCAGTCTGCACCCTCAGTCTCTGCTCCGTGTCTCTGGATCCCAGGATGCTGTCCTGGCTAGTTTCTGTGTCCACTTGACACAGAGAGAAAGGAGCCTCGGCTGAGGAAATGCCTCCATGAGACCCAGCTGTAAGGCGTTTTCTCAGTTAGTGATCAAAGGGGAAAGCCCAGCCCACGATGGGTGGTGCCATCCCTGGGCTTCCGGTCCTGGGTTCTATAAGAAAGTGGGCTGAGCAAGTCAGGGGAGGCAAGCCAGTAAGCAGCTCCCCTCTATGGCCTCCGCATCGGCTCCCGCCTCCAGGCCCCATTCCTGTTCCGACTTCCTCCAATGACTCACTGCCATCTGGAAGTGTAAGCCAAATAAGTCCTTTCCTCCCCAACTTGCTTTTTGGTCATGATGTTTCAACATGGCAGTAGAAGCCCTCACTAAGACAAGCTGGTACCAGTGTAGTAGGTAATTGCTGTGACAACCTGACGATGTGTCTTGGGAGGATTGTGGAAGGACTTAGGAAATTTGGGCTAGAAAAGCCATTGAGCATTGAGACCTCGGGAAGATAAGAATGTTGAGAGCAGTGCAGAAGATGGGGCCTGGCTTGTGGCGTTTCAGAGGGAAGTTTAAAGACTATTAGGGCCGTTTGTTATTTTGAATTAAGATCCCGTGTTTTTGTTAGCTGGGGCTGAAGAATCGGCTGTGATTAACAAGAGACCAGAACTACTACAGTGAAACCTTTACGTTACTGGACCACTTGATGCTGGTCAGCTGGAGCTAAGAAATTAGCAGGGATTAAGAAGAGACCCGCATGGTTGAAGTGAAATCTGGGGAGTGTTTCCCCGAGAGCACAGAGCACCTGTGTTCCCTAGGTGGCTGTACCTTTGTGTTGGCAGCCTGACTTAGTTATGTGTAAGAGTCACCCAGGTGTACTGGTTTTGAAGTCATGAAGGGGTCATGGAGAGCAGCTGAGGGTTGGCGCTGAGAGGCCAGGAGAGCCATTGGTAAAGAAGATGCAGTCTCAGTGGCAGTTGAAGGCACAGCAGGGGTCATGCAAACAAGTTGAGGTTTGGCACCAAGAAGAGACCCTGTGAAAGGTTAGTGGTGAAAATGCAGCCCATTTGCAGCAAAGGACCCTGGCATTTTGAAGATGGCAGTGCCATGGGCTGACCACTGAGAACCTTAGCAGCCATGGAGGGGAGCCAGCCTAGAGCCTAGAAGACAAGCTCTGTGTGCTGGAGAAGGCAGAGCCAGAGAAGCGACCCAAGCCCTGTGGAGGAGCCTAGAAGATGGAGAGTGAATGGTTTCGCTTGGTTCAGATTGTGACAGTGCCCTGGTTTTTCCCCTTTGAAGAAAATCCTTAATTTTAATTTGCAAAGGAGCCTGCTGATTGAAGACTCGAACTTTTAAAAGAAATTAGATGTTGGAGTAGAATGGAGCAGACATACCTCACTGTCATGAAAAGTCTTATACTATTGAAACATCTTAAGTCCATACTCAAGAAAGCCTGATACAGGATATTTTAAAGAAACTTGAATTTTAATGTGTTTCCATTTGTTGTAAAGATGGTGGGACTTGTGAAGTTATTGGTGATTTTTTTAGGAAGTTCACCTTTTTTAATGTTGTACCAAAAAATGTATGAGTAGAACAAGTAATGAAACTGTCACAAGTTTACACCACTATCTAGTTCATATTAATTTTACTCTTCAAACAGGAAGGAGGTGGCCATTTAGGGAACAAGAGAAAACCAAAATTCTCTACGATTCTTCTGTGTGTACTGTACTCTCAGAGACGGCTTCACTACTGAGTGCAGGAACTCAGTTGTATATGAAGTTGAAGACTAGAAATGATAGGTCCATATCCCAGCGCGTTGTCTTACATTTCAAACAATGGTGCAGCTGCCAGCTTGTAATTTTTTGGGACTATAAACCAGGGCTATCTCCTGAAGCTGAACCAGAAGCAACTTCTTACATCCCTTGGGGTTTATAATATGTGCAGGAATATATGGATACCGAGGAGGTTCAATTTTTGGCCTCCACACAGTCACCGATGACCGAGTCTAGCAGGACTCCATCTTGACAACCCAGTATCTCTGTCATTAAGCATTTTAGTCCTTCAACATCTTCTCCTGGGTTAAGTTTACCTCCAGGAAATGTGAAGAAAGTTGTTTCCAGTCGTAGCAGTATCACACAGGGTAGCCAGTGCTCGTGTACAATCAGAACCCCTTCTACAGTCCTCCTCATCCCAATTTTATCAAATCCCCCCGCATGCACTGAAATCTGGCTGCAACAGAACTGTTCTTCTCATAGAGGGCCCCTTTGCACCAAAGGTATAATTGGTAAGCCGGTGAAGGCTATTGGTGCGCTCCAGGGTGATGGTCTGCTGAACGTACTTGTTGCTGAATTGGTTGACGCCCCAGGGCCAGCCTATGTTGGAGCGATTCAGCGAGTGGCACCACAGACACGCTGAACAGCTCCGATGCTGGCGGCTTGCAGAAAGTGGGGCCGGCAGAGAAGCCCGAAGGGCGGGCAGTGGTTATCTGCATTGGGCTCATCAGCCACTGCCCGCCATTAACAGTCGAACGCAAGAAGCTGAAGTTATTTACGATTTTAATATGAGATCTTGGGGATGAATACAAAAGGAAGGATTGTGGCTTAATAGTGATGTGTTTGTGTGTCAAGTTGACAAGGGGTTCATTGTCCTGGCTACTTTTGTGTGTCCACTTGACACAAGCTAGAGTCATCAGAGGAAGGAGCCTCAGCTGAAGAAACGCCTCCATGAGATCCAGCTGTAAGGCATTTTCTCATTTAGTGATCAAAGCGGAAGGGCCCAGCCCATGGTGGGTGTGCCATCCCTGGGCTGGAGGTCCTGGATTCTATGAGAAAGCAGGCTGAGCAAGCCATGAAGAATGAGTGGGTAAGCTGCACCCCTCCATGGCCTCTGCATCAGCTCCTGCCCCCAGGTTCCTGCACTGTCTGACTTGTGTCAGTGATGGCCTAAGATCTGGAAGTGCAAGCCATATAAACCCTTTCCTCCCCAGCCTGCTTTTTGGTCATGGCGTTTCATTGAAGCAGTAGAAGCCATAAGACAGACACCTGTTTTTAAATGCTGTACTGAGTGTGCAAGCATGGGTGTCGGGCATTCTGCACACTGCAGTCACATGCCAGACAAACCTTTGAGAAATGGCAGCTCTTCTTGCTTCCTCTCGTACCGCTGTCTTTTTCACCTTCCAATTCCCCCCATGTGGCTAAAGCTTAACAGAAATCGCCCAGCAGAGCAAGCCTGCCACCAGCCCACTCTGTGTGTGCTTGCGACTAGGCCTGTTTTAGTCAAAGAACTGCCTCTGGGTTTCTTTCTGCTCATACCCTTCAGAAGTGCATGGTTTGTGGCTGTGTTTACACGTTGTGTTAAATGTGCTGTTGAACCAACAAATAATGGGGGGGGGGGTTAATGCCTTCCCAGTCGTGTAACCACACCCTCATTTCTTTTGAAGTGAGATAGCCAAAACCGAGTTCCTCCTCAAGGAGTACATGAAATATGGGTTTTTCCTGCTGAAGTTGTCTCCGAAACATTGGCAAGTGCAGCAATCGCAAAAACGAGCCCAGGCATCAACGAGTAACCCCATTCTCCCAAGAATCATAGAAAGTAAGTCTCGGGTCTTAATTCAAGCTAAGTGGAAAACCCCAGATTCTAGAGTGTTCCGCTCAAAATCTGTTTCACAGTCAGAACTTAAAAATCAAAACCTGGACAAGGATTCCTCCTACTTTTTTTTTTAAAGATTTGTTTATTATTTTTATGTGGTGTTTTGTCTGCATGTATGTCTGTGTGAGGGTGTCGGATCCCCTGCAAATGTAGTCACAGACAGTTGTGAGTCGCCATGTGGGTGCTGGGAATTGAACCCACATCCTCAGGAAGAGAAGCCAGAGCTCTTAACTGTTGAACCATCTCTCCAGCCCCCCTCTTACCTTTATTCTCATGTATTATACACAGTGCTCTGCCTGCATGTATGTCTGTAAGCCAGAAGAGGGCACCAGACCTCATTAGAGTTGTGAGCCACCATGTGGTTGCTGGGAATTGAACTCCCATCCTCTGGAAGAGCAACCAGTGCTCCTAACCTCTGAGCCATCTATCTTTCCAGCCCTTTTACCATATATTATTAATTTGGAAACTCAAATTAGCTTCAGATAAAGAGCAACAAAAATGAACGCATAGAAAATACATTATTTATAGATGATACAATGATATCTCAAAAATTATTTGGTATTGGGGCTGGAGAGATGGTTCAGAGGTTAAGGGCACTGACTGCTCTTCCAGAGGTCCAGAGTTCAATTCCCAGCAACCGCATGGTGGCTCACAACCATCTACAATTCAATCTGGTGACCTCTTCTGGCAGAACACTGTATATGTAATAAATAAATCTTTAAAAAAATGATTTGGTATTATTAAAGGCCTCTATAGTAGTGTCAGCAGATAAAAAGTCAATTGTATTTTGTTAGCCTAATATACTAACTGGAATAAACTAAATTCACTGGAAGTGGTACAAATACTTTGAAGGCAGCAAAACAGCTTTAATGTGTGTGACCTGGAGATTTGGCAAATATAAAACTATGTTGTGTTTTCAGGTAGAATTGATATTCTAAGTTACCAATTTTCTTGAAATAAATGTGTATTTGGTGGAATTATAATAAAAATGTTGCTACCAAGGGATTTTCAGGGAGTTGAGTTTCATAGCAGAGAGGACTTTGTACCATGAGCCGGAGGCTCACACAGAAAGATAAATGCTTTTGACATAAGAAGGTAATGGGAGTGGGGGATTGATAATACTACTTTAAATGCTAGGTATTTAATACATTATAATTGCATATGCTGATGTGCCTCAGTAATTAGAACAGTGCTGCACTGGCGTTAGGGTGTCAGTGAAGGAGCAGAGTTAGAGCCCATTATGTAAAATCCAAGGAGAATCACATCAAAACAGAACGTTTTCTTTCCTGAAACACTGGAGTAGCTAGAACGAGGCTCACTTCCTCCTGAAGAAAATTCTGAAATAGTGGATAGACATTGGTCGCTGAGCACGTAGCAGGGTTATCCCTAGGAGAGGGGAAAGAAAGAAAGCACCAAGATTCTCAGCTGCTGCCTGAAGCCCTTCCAGGTCTCCATACAAGGACAGGAAGTATAGAGGGAGCCCGGATGATCCGAACATTTACACCACAGAAATTGGCAAACTGAAAATCAGAGAATTCATTCTGCAGGGAGCTGGTTGTAAGGGACATTAGTGATGACACTTGATCAAAGCTCATTAAATGATGTTGAGAAAGAGAAAAAACCAGAATGAAAGCAGTGATGCATTTTCATATAGCACTTTAAGAGTCAGTCGTCCTAGACTTCTCTCCCCTCAGGGCCCAGCAGGCCTCTCAGACGGGTATCAGTAGCTTCCGTGGAATTTTAGGAGCTGTGATGTTGGAAATGGACATCCCCTGAGCCCCAGATGGTCTGTTCTCGTCTCTTCTCCCTATGTCAGAGAGCAGCCCTCGCCATCTGCCAGATAAGATCGCAGATGACGGCTCCCCATCCTGCATCTCCACGGAAGCCCAGAGGCTTGAACTCTGCCTTCACACCGAGGCAAAGTTCTCATCCTCAGTAATTAACCCCCCCAACTCCTATCTCCCACAAACTCACTCTTTCTCTTTCATTTCTAGAATTTTCATTAGGTTCAGGTAAAAGAGAGAGCAGCGCCGAGTCAGACAGGGTATCCTTATCTGAAGAGCGTGGTACAAGGAAACCGAGCCAAGGTGAGAGCCAAGGCCTGTGACCGCTCTGACCGGAGCCTTCAAGCTGAAGATGGGCTTACAAGAAAGCCCTGCTGGCGAGTGGGGGCGGGTGATGCCCATATCACCTGATCTGTCAGCCAGCCATTCTGTTCTTTGTGATGCTATTGCAAACGCATGTCCAAGTGGACAAGGTCTCATCCTAGATGGCCCCCTAGATAGGTCCCCCCCAATCCTTTGGTTCAAGTCTGCCTTCTGTAATGACAGTCCCTTACCCTAGCCTGAGTGTGGTCAGTTGAGGGTGCTCTACCACAGTGAACCACTGCCCACCACCACTACACACCAGGGATTTAGGCCCAGAGTTTTAACATTGTTTGACCTGAAAATCAACACTTGCAACCATCAGATGCCATGAAAATATCTGAATCTCCATGTTCCCTTGAAACCCACCAGACCTGACATCCTGGCTTGAAGGATGTTTCTTGTGGGACAGTCGTCTTCCCTGTTGAGTGATCTAGCTCCCACAGGTCACCGTCCCTCCTGCACCCGGCCCCCTGTGGTCATCTGAGTTTGTGACCCCTGATCCAGGCTGACTCTTGGGATCCCCATCCCTACCTGATCTTGCCACTAAGCAGCAAGTGTATTTTGGGGTTAAGGCAAAAGTACCAAGATTTGTCTGCCCAGAAATCACCATGCCGTGTGAGCCTGATGAAGTGTTTTGTGTTTTATTTATTTTTTTTAACTTATGAGCCAATTGGAGCCTACACACAACATATTACTTTGCCCGGTTGGGAATCTATGGTAGTGTGTAGGATGGGGAAGAGGGGTGAATCTCAGAGGCTGCTTCTGAAATGTTGAATGTAAGCGTTATTCCATTTAAGTAGCACTTAAAATTGGTTTTAGCAATGTGCTCAGATACTGTTCTAAAAGGAAAACATTGTGTGATGAGGTATCTCCTCTTTCTCCCGTCCCTCCCCTCCCCTTCATACTTACTGAAGGCATGCAGTGAATTTCAGACACAGGAGGAGGGATGAGCATCGAGGCCTTTCTGGGAAAGGCCCAGCGTATAACCTCTGCCAGGTCACAGTGGAGCTGGGTTTTGAAGACTGAGTAGGAGCCTGCCAGGTAGAGGCAAGGCTCACTATGGGTCCCAAGTGGAACAGGAAGGACTACGGTGAACCTTAAGGTGTTGGCGGGTCCTTGGCGGGTGGATGAAGAGTCTCAGGACCAGCCCTGGCCCAGGCGTTATCGGGTGAGGCCCAGGGCAGGAAAGGCAGGTCTCTTCATGTGAAGAATGGAAATGGGCACCACTTTTGTATTCTCCTTAGTTCTATTAAACCCTGTGGTTAGAAATGGGGTTCAATCGTATAGGGAAAAGGGGGCCACGGCTAGCATTTTTGTTGCGCTCCTGTGACTTGGCTTGGAGTGCCTTTTCAGCTGAATGAAAAAGCGCGTTTCCCAGATGGTTTCCATTTTGATAAGCAGTGTTTTTAAGAAGAGGCATGCAGTACCTCACACCAAGTGACAGGGGCTCATCGCTAACAGCGCTCTCCTTTTCTTCCCCATCACCCGTGGCACGGACCTCACCTGGACACTGAACAGGACGGGGACAGAGGAAATCTGCTTTCAACACAGAGTCTAGGAAGGCCTCCGGGTTCATGTACGGTACAAACTTAGTAAACTCTGATGGAAACCGTGAATGGCTTTTTAGACAATAACTCTTTCCTCAACACAGACCTCATCTCCAAGCCTGTTGCCACACACACACAATGGAGTCAGTGGTGGCCAAGTCTGCATTCCCGAGGTGCCCCAGGATTCTGCTCTTTTTTTTTATTTTTTAAATTTTATATGCATTGGTGGTTTGCCTGCAGGTATGTCCATATTAAGGCATCAGATCCCCTGGAACAGGAGCTACAGCCAACTGTGGGCTGCCATGTGGGTGCTGGGAATCGAACCTGGGTCCACTGGCAGCCCCCCAGAATTCCGCTCTTTGAGTAGCACCCCCGTCACAGAAGACACTAGATCCCTTCTAGCTATTCTGCTAGCCTATGTACCTGCAGTCCCAGCCCTCATTTACCTTCTGCACTGGGACTATAAAGCATTTTTATTTACTCTTTTGTGTCTTCCCTAACTTGATTGTTAATTCATCTCACCAATTGCTCATCGTCAACCCTAGCTATCAATAGGTGCTTTGAGGAGATAAGTACCTGGGTCAGACATGCTGGCCTTGGGGAAGGAAGGGTTCTGAGCTAAGACTGCACTATCCATGACAATCCCTGAGGGCCACAGGGACATTTGACACCGATTCCAGGGATCCTGGGGTCACTCCACTTCTGTGGCATTTAGTTGGCCCTTGCTGTTTTTTTTTTTTTCATTAAAATTTCATTTTTGAGATCATTGTTAACTAGCAGGTCCCCTTTGACTCTTGACCCAGTTTCTTGCAACAGGAATCCTGTGCCAGACTGTAGTACAGTACCACAGCTGGGATATCGGTGTTGGCCCAAACTGGGGCAAAATGTTACCGATGGGGTTTTCATGTCTTTTTACAGCCACACCCACTTCCCTCTTCCCCTGGCAGCCACTCATCTGCCCGTTTCTGATTGTGTCATTTCAAGAGTGTGCTATAAGTAGGATCATGCAGTGAGTAACCTTTGGTTTTAATAATAACTAGCTCCCATGATCTGCCTATGTTAGACCGTGAGTAGTTAGCGCTCTTGTTGAATAGCACTCTGGTCTGAACACTGTATACTTGAACTGTTCACTTACTGAAAAATATCCACCTGGTTTCCAGTTTGGGGCTTTCTAGTTTGGGGCTATAATGAATAAAGGTGCTGTATGCTTTATTTGTTCAACTTAAAATTATTTTTAACCAGGATAGAGAGCTGTCTCAGAGGTTAAGAACACTAGCTGGTCTTCCAGAGGTTCTGAATTCAAGTCCCATCAACCACATGGTGGCTCACAACCATCTGTAATGAGATCTGGTGCCGTTTTCTGGCCTGCAGGCATACACGCAGGCAGAATACTATGTACATAATAAATATAATACATACATAAACTGTTTGAAAATAATGTTTTACATATGTGTTTGGCCTGCATGAACACTTCTTTGCCCCATGTGTGTGCAGGGTCCCTGAGGCCAGAAGAAAGCATTGGGTCCCCTTGCACCTGGAGCTGGAGACAGCTGTGAGCCGCCACCCTGTGGGTGCTCTGCAGAAGCACTAACTGCTGAGCCTTCTCTTTAGCTCCTTGTGCAGCGTTCTGTGTGAGGACAGTTCTTATTTCTCTGGATGAGTGCCTAGCATGCACAAGTGGGCTAGATGGCAGGGGTCTGTTCCCACAGTGTCTGCGCCATTTTACACTCCCCCCAGCAGTGCATATGACATGTAGTTTCTCAACAACTTGAGCCTTGGATCTAGCATGCATGCATGTGTGCATGCCTGTGCGCGCGGTGGTTCGTGTGTGTCTTCAGTGCCCATGGAGGTCAGAGGCGGGCAGTGGAGTCCTTGGCGCTGGAGTTACAGGCGATTGTGGGCTGCCTGATATGACCGCTAGGGAAGGAACCCAGGTTCCCTGAAGAGCAGCGAGTGCTCTTGGCTGCTGCGCTGTCCCTCCAGCCCCTGCCAACTGTGTTTTCACTATTCTGACCTCACTCTCCTCCCTGCTCTCATTTCTTTCTCTCCACTACAGCCTCCATCACCGACTACCTTCCCCTCTCCTTACTCCTGCTGGATTAAAACTCTAATGGTTTTCAGTTTATCTTTTATAAAAAAACCTTCTTCCAGAGCCAATTTCCAGGACACATCATTGTTTTTACCTACCCCCCGTGTGTGTGTGTGTGTGTGTGTGTGTGTGTGTGTGTGTGTGTGTGTGTGTGTGTTCCACAGCACACGTGTGAAGGTCAGAGGACAACTTCATGACTCAGTTCTCTTCCTCCCACCATGTGGGGTCTGAGGCTTGGTGGCAAGTGCTTTTACCCTCTGAGCCATCTTGTAGGTTCAACACCATTATTCTGTAAGGTCGTATCTTATCGTCTGCCTACATGATACTTCCTTATGTGATTAGAAACTTCTACAAAGCGCAAATCTCTGAAAGAGACGGAACATTCCGAAGGTGGTGGACAGTCTTGAGTGAGCACTAGGGCCCATATTCTGAAGTCGTGTGTTGACCCACTTTGGTACTGACAAAACAGACATGGCAAGATAGGTAGTCACATGTTTCTTTAGAGAAAGCAAGCTAAATTTTTGATGCTGCTAAAAAAAAAATCTGTTCTGTGGAGCTTGGCGCTTCTGTGTGGTCTTGTTGCATGTGTGACTCTGCCTGGGACTAAATACGGTTTTCTTTTGTACAGTTGTGGAATTGTGGGGTGAGCAGTCCCCTAAAAATAAGTAATCTGATTAAAAGAATCTGTAATAGGGGTTGGTGAGATGGCTCAATGGTTAGAGCAATGGCTGCCCTTGCAGAGGGTTCGATTCCCAGCAACCACATGTTGGCTCATAACTCCCTGTAACTTCCATCTCGGGGTATCTGGCCCCCTCTTGTGACGTCCACAGACACCAGACATGTACGTGATACATTGACATACATGCAGACAAAACACTCATACACATAAATAAAAATTAAATAAGAAAATTCTGTGATAGGATTCAAAGTCAATTTAAGAGCAAAGACAAACCTACTAATGGAAAACAACTCAGAAGTGATTTTTTTCTTTTACAGTCGGCCTGAAAGCATGACCTCAGACGACAGTCTGGAGTTCTTCATAGAGGATGAGCTGCTGGAGTTCGATCTGGTAACCAGACTGTGTCTCTTGATTCCAGCTGTATGTGGTCTCCATGTTCATTTCTTCTGAAATACCCTGTTCCAGACATATTACACATTTTCCGGAAGGAAATATGACTTGATGTTTTCAAACCCTGCCAGTTACCCACCGTTGTCACCAAGCATCTATGAGAAATATAAGAATCTATGCCAGCTCTTTTGAGAGTGAGGCAGGGGAACCACAGATTTCAGGCCAAAGAGGCTGGATGTGACAGAGCAGGCTTGCAATCCCAGCCCTTGGGAGGCAGAGGCAGGAGGCTTGGCAGCCCTGGGTTATCATCCATAAATGGCAAGTGGGAGGCCAGCCTACAAGAGTCATCTGACTCAATAAAACAAAACCAAAGCAACAACAAATCCCAAGCCAGCTGGGGCTACATAGTGAGCCCATGTCTCAGAAACAAAACACAAAGGAAATAATTTGGAGCAGATATAAAATCAAACTCGCCCTATAAAAACTCCAACTCTTCGATTGCTTAGTGTTTGTGTTGTGTGCGTATTTAAGGTTGCCTGTGTGTGAGCGCTTGTGTGCCTGTGCTTGTGGAGGCCAGAGTTTGTCCCGACCCTCGGGACACTCAACGTAGGTCTGGGGGACGCCTAGGAAAAAGATGAAGGACAAGAGATCCGAGGAAGGACGACAAGACAGGATTCCGATCAAGTCGACAAACTTGACTCATCCCAAAGGGATTTATTATATAGGGGAAGTGATGAGAAGGAATGGGGGGTGTTGACTGCAGCTGTAAAGAAGCTGGCAGGGCAAGAGGTCAGTGGGAGGGGTAGAGCATCCTGTGTTGCCTGGTAACCTGACAGCAGGGTCTGATCCTGTCTATCACAATTTATTGTCTTTGTTCAGGCCTACCAAGGGAGTCTCCATTAAGCTAATCTTTAACTGACGGATAAGCCGTAGGCCTGTTTCTTGGAATTTGCTTTATGTCAGAAGAGGCAGTGTTTCTGCAGTGTGGCCTGGAGTCACATCTTCTCTATGAGGACGTGATGATGCTATGGCTGGATTATGGCGGAGGACCCTGACAAGAGTTGATACTGGGGGTATTCCTTAATTACACTCTATTTACTGAGACAAGGTTCCTGGCTGAATCTGGTGCTCACTGATTTCAGCTACCTAGCCAGCTTGCCCTGGGAGACCCTCTGGCTCTGCCTCTTAATGACTATGATTACAAGGGACGAGGGTTTGAGAGGCTCAGGGGCTGCCATGCTCACCCATCTTTTTTTATTTTATTTAACTTTTTACACATGTTACTCCCACCTCCCTCTCCCTTCCCTCCATCCTCCTCCCCCGCCCTCCCAACCCCTCACTCCATCCCCTCTCTGCTCCCCAGGGAGGGTAAGGCCTTCCATAGGGGATTTTCAAAGTCTGTCATAATCATCCCAGGCAGGGCCTAGGCCCCTCCCCCATGTGTCCAGTCTGAGAGAGCCTCTTTCCATATGGAGTGGGCTCCTAAAGTCCATTTGTGTGCCAGGGATAAATACTGATCTATTTATCCAAGGCCCAATAGATTGCTGAGGCCTCCTCACTGACACCCAGGTTCAGGGGGTCTGGGTCAGTCCCATGTTGACCTCTTAGCCATCAGTCTGGGGTCCATGAGCTCCCCCTTGTTCAGCTCAGCTGCCTCTGTGGGTTTCACCAGCCAGGTCTTGACTCCTTTGCTCCTCACTCCTCTTTGCAACTGGGTTCTAGGAGTTCAGTTCGTTGTTTAGCTGTTGGTGTCTGCCTCTGCTTCCATCAACCACTGGATGAGGGTTTTAGGATGGCATATAAGGTAGTCATCAATCTCATTATCAGGGGAGGGCATTTAAGGTAGCCTCGATGCCAGTTGGTGTCATTCTTTTAGATCTCTGAAAAATCTCACTAGTGCCAGATCTCTTCTCAGACCTATAATGACTCCCTCTATTATGGTATCTCTCATCCTGTTCTCCTCTATTCTTACCCTAACTCAACCTTCTGCTCCCCCATGTCCTCCTCTCTTTCTCCCATCTCCCCCTCTCTTTCTTCCATCTCCCTCTCCCCTACCCTCTCCCCATGCTCCCAATCCCCTCAGGAGACCCTGTCCCATTCCCTTTCTCTGGGGTACCATGCATATCTCTCTTAGGGTCCTCCTTGTTTCCCAGACTCTCTGGCGGTAGGATTGAAGGCTGGCAATCCCCTGCTCCATGTCTAAAATCCATAAATGAGTGTGTACATACCATGTTTGTCTTTTTGTGACTGGGTTACGTCACTCAGGATGGTTTCTTCTAGTGCCATCCATTTGCCTGCAAATTTAAGATTCCATTTATTTTCACTGTGTAGTACTCCTTTGTGTAAATGTACCACATTTTGTCTATCCACTCTTCATTTGAGGGGCATCGAGGTTGCTTCCAGATTTTGGCTATTACAAATAATGCTGCTATGAACATAGTTGAGCAGATGTCCTTATTGTATGAATGTACATCTTTTGGGTATATGCCTAAGAGTGGAATTGCTGGATCTTGTGGTAGACTGATTTCCATTTTCCTGAGGAATCTCCATACCAATATCCAAAGTGTCTGTTCAAGTTGGCACTCCACCAGCAGTTGGAGGAGTGTTCCCCTTTCTCCACATCCTCTTCAGCATAAACTGTCATTAGTGTTTTTGGTTTTAGCTATTTTGACAGGAGTGAGATAGTATCTCAAAGTTGTTTGATTTGTATTTCCTTGATGGCTAAGGATGTTGAGCACTTTCTCAAGTGCTTATCAGCCATTTTAGACTCCTCTGTTGAGAATTCTCTATTTGGTTCTGTACCCCACTTTTTAATTGGGTTACTTGTGTTTTGGAGACTTGCTTCTTGAGTTCTTTGTAAATTTTGGAGATCAGCCCTCTGTCAGATATGGGGTTGGTGAATATCTTTTCCCATTATGTGGGCTGTCATTTTGTCTTGTTGACTGTGTCCTTTGTCTTGGAGAAGCTTCTCAGTTTCAGGAGGTCCCATTTATTGTTGATCTCAGTGTCTGTGCTACTGGTGTTATGTTCAGGAAGCAGTCTACTGTACTAATTCCTTCAAGGGTACTTCCCACTTTCTCTTCTAAGAGGTTCAGTGTGGCTGGATTGATGTTGAAGTCTTTGATCCATTTGGACTTAAGTTTTCTGCATGGTGATAGATATGGATCTATCTGTTGTCTTTTACATGCCAGCATCCAGTTATGCCAGAACCATTTGTTGAAGATGCGTTCTTTTTTCCATTGTATAGTTTTAGCTTTTTTGTCAAAGATTAGGTGTTCAAAGGTGTGTGGGTTAATATCAGGATCTTCAATCCGATTCCATTGCTCTACCTGTCTGTTTTTGTTCCAATACCAAACTGGTTTTCAGGACTATAGTTCTATAACAGAGCTTAAAGTCAGGGATGGTGATGCCTCCTGAAGTTCCTTTATTGTACAGGGTTGTTTTGGCTATCCTGGGTCTTTTGTTTTTCCATATAAAGTTGAGGATTATCCTTTCAAGGTCTGTGAAGAATTGTGCTGGGATTTTGCATTGAATCTATAGACTGCTTTTGGTAAGATTGCCATTTTACTATGTTGATCCTACCTATCCAAGAGTATGGGAGATCTTTCCATTTTCTGGTATCTTCTTTAATTTCTTTCTTTTAAGACTCAAAAGTTCTTGTGATACAGGTCTTTCACCTGTTTGGTTAGAGTTACCCCAAGATGATCATCTCACTAGATACTGAAAAAGCCTTTGACAACATCAACACCCTTTCATGATAAGGGTCTTGGAGAGATCAGGGATAACAGGAACATACCTAAACATAATAAAGGCAATATACAGCAAATCGACAGTCAGCATCAAACTAAATGGAGAGGTTGTCCACTCTGTGTCTGTTCAATATTGCACTTGAAGTTATTGCTAGAACAATAAGACAACAAAAGGAGATCAAGGGGGATACAAATTGGAAGGGAAGAAGTCAAACTTTCACTATTTGCAGATGATATGATAGTCTACGTAAGTGACCTGAAGAATTCTACCAGGGAACTCCTACAGCTGATAAACACCTTCAGCAAAGTGGCAGGATACAAAATTAACTAAAAAAAAAAATCAGTAGCTCTACTATATATAGGCAATAAAGGGACCGAGACAGAGATCAGAGAAACATCACCCTTTACAATAGCCACAAGCAACATTAGATATCTTGGGGTAGCTCACCCATCTTTTACATGTGTCCTTTACACTCTGGTTCTCATCCTTACACAGCTAGCACATTACCCACTGAGTTACCGTCCCAGCCCATGATCACTTTTTTTCATTTTATTGGGTAAGCAATAAATAATCCTCCCTCAAAATACCCCATTATTGCTGCAAAACTGACTGTGCACTTACCTCAATCTACATACAATCATGAAGGCTTGAAAGTGACTTTTTTAAAAGAAACAAAATGAGGGCTGGAGAGCTGGCTCTTCCAGAAGACCTGAGTTCAATTCCCAGCATCCACATAGTGGCTCCCAACCATCTATGGTGAGAGCTGGTGCTTTCTTGAGTCATGCAGGCATACGTGCAGCTAGAGAACTCATGTACATAAAATAAACAAATCTTACACCACCCATTTTTACACAGGGCATACCTTACCCGGGTCATCTTGCTTTTAAACCGTGTGCAAGCACATGGTTGTCCATCTTCCCATTTTTCAGTGTGCAATGCAGCAATGTTGGCCACACATCCCATAGTGAGGCAGATTCTACACCTTCATCCGGCAAACCTGAAGCACTGTGCCCGTCCAACACCCCTCCAACCTGCAGCCCCTGGCAACTGTCTTTCCACTTCCCATTTCTAAGAGACTGGCTATTTAAATATTTAAATAAGTGGGCTACACACTAGAGGTATTTGTGTGGGTGACTGGGTTCTTTCACTTACCCAAATGATCATCAAAGCTCATTTAAGCTGGGTAGGGGTGGTGGCGGCACATACCTTTAATCCCAGCACTCAGAAGATAGAGGCAGGTGGATCTCTGAGTTCAAAGTTATCCTAGTCTGCACATTGAGTCCAGGACAGCCAGAACTGTTGCACAGAGAAACCCTGTCTCAAAAAGCAAAAAAAAAAAAAACAAAAAACAAAACAAAAAAACACAAGACCTCATTTAAATGTTAGGGTAGGTAACAGTGCTGGGAAGGGGGCTCAGTAGGTACAGTGCTTGCCTTGGGAGCATGAGGACCTGGTCTCCAGCCCCAGAACCTATTACAAAAACAAAACCATCAGGCACGGCTGTGTGCTTATAACCTAACCCTTGGGAAGTAGAGATGGGCAGACCCTGGGGCTTGCTGGACAGTCAGCCTCCTACTTGGTGAGTTTCAGAACTGCAAAAGATTTGTCTCAAAAATAAAATTAAAGTGGGCATTGCCTAAGGAACCACACCTGAGGTCTTCTGCAGGCCCCAGCACACGTCTATACATACCTGTACACACGTGTTCATAACCACACAAACGTAGAAGAGACTTTCTCCTTTTTAAGGCTGAATATTGTTCCTTTGTGTGTGTGTGTGTGTGTGTGTGTATATATACATACATACATACATACATACATACATGCATACATACATTGCATTTCCTTATTCACCCACCTATGAATGTTGTTGCTGCTTTTGTGTCTTGGCTACTGTAAATAACACATTATGTTAATATATGTCACTTTGAAAATGCTTATTTAAAACAATATGTATTTTTAAAAATCCAGGGCATATCAAATAATTAGCATTGAGAGGAAATGGCCCTCCATCAGTTTCCCATCTTTCCTTCTCCCCCTTTCCTGCCCTCCCCTCCTCTTCTGCCCCACCCCCTTTTCCACTCCTAGTCCTCATCTCTCCCATGCCCCAAATCATCTTACAGTTGGCCCTCTCTCCCTGGGAACAAGGTGCAGCCCCCTTACAATTCTGTCTGCCTCCCTCACAGTCTCTTCAAGCACTCTAGTATGGATTCTGAACCTTTCCAAAAGCATTTGTGTGGTCCCCAGTGTAGGGGAGGGTGGGGACCCCACTGCAGACCATGTGATATCTGCAGAGGTAACATCTTTGGGGAAGAGGCCTAGTGGAAGGAAGCTAGGTCTTAGGGAGTGTGTTCTTGAAAGGGAATTGGGGCCCCTGATCTGTCTCTCTGTGTCTGTCTCTCTGGTTTTTGTTTGTTTGTTTGTTTTGTTTTTGAGACAGTATTTCTCTGCAGTTTTGGAGTCTGTCCCGGAACTCACTCTGTAGACCAGGCTGGCCTTGAACTCAGAGATCCCCGTCTCTGCCTCCCTAAGGCTGGGATTAAAGGTGTGCACCACTATTACCTGGCATCTTCCTCTCTCTTTACCTCGTGGCTACTGTGAACAGGCCTCCACCAAGTGACCCCAACGTACTGTGCCATCATACATCTACAATAGTCCCCTAGCAAAAAATAAGTGGTTCCTCTTTAAAAGGTGGTTTTCTCCAGGAGTTTGCTACATGTGTGGAGAGTGGATGGGTGTGGCAGCTCCATCCCTATATTGTTCAGACAGGTCACATGGGCATATCTGAGACATGTCTCTTCACTGTTGGTTGCTTAGATGCCGGAGATTTACTTCAAGGAGCCAGAAGAGTTGCTCCAGGTCCTCACAGAGCTGGAGGAACAGAATCTCACCTTGGTCCAGTATTCCCAAGATGTAGATGAGAATCTCGAAGATGTCAACAAAAGAGAAAAGTTTATCCAGGATAAGATGTGAGTGATTTCTCCTGTTCAACAGTTACTAACCAGAGGCCACATCCAACTCACTCAAGGTGTCTCTTCTCATGGTTCAGACTGGGATTTTAATTAAAAATGGTTTACATGCTGGACACAAAATAGATAGAACTTACATTTGTACAGAATAGACTGGCTTTCAGTGAATTTTCTTCCTGTTTCCTCTCACTTGCTGGAAGAGTTGAAAGGACACCCACTGCCTCCATTCCATCCAGGACAGCTGTCAGCTGGCTAGCTGTCCCTACCTAGATTGAGTGGTAATAAATTCAGTTTTCCTTGGGTGTGAATCTCAGCAAAATGACTCTGATTTAATACTATATCATCTTGTGTCTAGCAGCATTGCAGGTCTAGTATAGAAGAGATTAGATGAGTCACAGAGTCCCCTCCCCTAAAATTACAGCTTCGAGAAAGCTTCAGTTGTAGAGAATAAAGCTTTGATTCTATGTGTCTGCAAAATGTGTAGAATTGTTTGGCACAGTTTTCTGCATTAGAAGATGGAAAATCTTTTTTAAGCACTAGGTCAAATTACATTTAACTTCAAAACCAATTAATCTGCCCAGAAGGCAAGAAACCCCAAAATAATCAATGCTTCCTAGCAACCTCCCCCTTCCCCCGCATTGTGCCCTCTTGCCCTCCTGCCTGGCCCAGTGTGTGGTGGCCCAGTCACAATCCTCCCAACAAGGCAGGCATGTTTGGGAGGGAAAGGGATGAGCGTACAGTCTTTCTCTGGAAGAGTTTTTTTTTTATGTTCTATCTGCATGTACACCTTTATGCCAGAAGAGGGCATCAATCCCACCATGGATGGTTGAGAGCCACAATGTGGTTGCTGGGAACTGAACTCAAGTCCTCTGGAAGAGCAGCCAGTGCTCTTAACCACTGAGCCAGGTCTCCAGCCCGTGTCCTGGAGAATTTTTACCAGAATCTCAAGGCAAACTGGTCGGGCATTTCCATTTTCCCTCAAGCTGGAGCGATTCTGATGATTGAGCCAGACCTGGGGACACTCAACAAGCTCGAGAGGCACAGCCTGTGGCCCTGATGCTATCTACACTCTTTGTGTTTGGGGTCTTGAGGGGAACCACAATAGCAGACAAGGGAAGGAAACTTTCTCTGATGGACATTAAAGCCTGCATTAAAGCATTTCTTTGCCTAGTCGCATCATGAGTATAGACCTGAGGAAATGAGGCAGGGGATAAGGCAATTATAGAACAAACATGATGACTTGAGTTTGAATCCCAGAACCTGCATAAAGCCAGCTGCAGTAAGTCCAGTGCTCCCCAGAAGCTCGGGAGCCAGACAGCTTGGCATCTGCTTTGGTGAACAAGAGGACCATTGAGATGTTCAGTCGGTGAAGGTGCTGGCTGCCAAGCCCACGTTCAGTCCCTGGAATCCACATGGTAGCAGGAGAGAGCCGAGGCCTGCACGTTGTCTCTGACTTCCACATAGACCATAGCACTCACCCCCACCCCCGCTTGAGTAAAACACTTTTTAAACAAGGTGAAAAGTGAGGATTAACATCTGAGGTTGACCTCTTGACCTCCATGGCAAACACGGGCTAGGCTCCCTTTCACACATGCATGCTCTCCTACACACAGGCTCCCACTCACACATGCGTGTGCACTCCCCCCTTCCCCCTCTATTTCTCTCTCTCAAACGCATTCACACATGCGTGGCCTTGAGTTACAAAGGTCCCCTCCTCCTCTTGCTACAGAAAGGACAACATTGAGTTCCTGCTGGAGCACAAGCAGATCCTTAAGGCCAACTGTGAACGAGAGGAGGAAAAGGCTGCGGAATTGGAGCTGAGGTCCAGGCTCTTCAGTTTCGGAGAATTCAATTCAGATGCTCAGGTACGTTCTTGGCCTGTGGTAACTTTGTCTCCTGGTAATAATCTGGCCTCCCTGTGTACTGAGCACTTGATGGGGGAGTTACGGCAGTCCACAAACGTTGACAGGAATGGAAAACCAACTTGGAATTACTGTGCCAATATGAAAGAGTCAATTTCCTAGGTAGGAACCATTTATGTTGACTTTGGAGTTCCTGTGAAATGTTGCTATAGTTATTTCAAACTGCAATTTGTCAGTGTATATTTGTGTGAAGGAGTTCACTGCCTTTGACCATTTTGGTGGCAATTTAAGTAGATAGTAACAGTGAACACACAGTGAAACCATACACTTAACACTGAATGGGAAATGTGCCCAGCACTGAGCCTAGAAAATGTGCCAACTTCTTTGGGCCTAAAAAGATTGGCTCATTTCCCAGGACCTGTGACACATCCTAGCATCCTTATCTGTTGACAAGTTCATCTCTCCCAGCTGGATGCAAACCCCACCACACAGGGACTATCCTGTTAATGAGCTCAGTGTCCCCATAGTGTCAATGCTCAATAAATGTTTGTTGAATGAATGATCAGGGTAGTTTCCAGATCCACAAGAAACACCAACTACTACTGGTTTCATGGAAAGACACAAATGAAATAAGAATTCAAAGCTTCTATATGGGGCTAACACTGCATTTACGATCACGAACTTGAACTTTTTAGGGAGAGGTATACTTGGGGAATAGGCTGCATTAGAAAACAAGTAACTATCCTCCCCTACCTCCAGTTACTCAAAGTGAAAGTGTTCATGGCTGGTAGGCACGCATGTCCTAAGGTATGACAGCACACGTCTTAGCAGCTATGGCAGGAAGCGATCCTAACAGTTCAGTTGTTTTTACTTTTAACCAACCTTTTCTTTTTTTACTGTGATACAATACACATAAAAGTTACCATCTAACCATTCTGAGTATGCAACTTGATGGCATTAAGTGCATTCATGTAGCATAACTGTTACCACAGTCTGTTTCCATCTCCATCATTTAAGCATAAGCTTCAGTATCTTAGCCATTTTTTGATGCACAATGTGGTGATACTGAATACATTCACACTGTTCTGCAACCAGTCCTGAGAATGCCTTTCATCCTGTACAAAAGCAGCTTACCCCATCCTCTCACCGCCCACATCTGCTTTTTGTCTCTGAATGTGACTCTCTCGGCAGTTCATGGAAGTGGGTATGTACAATACCTGTCTTTTGCCTAGAGCTCATGTTACAAAGCCCAATGTTCTTCGGACTCATCCAAACATGGCTGAATAATATTCCATCTTATGTCTTGAAAAACCAAAAGCAATTTTTTTGCCATCTTATGTACCATACCATTTACCTACTGGCAGACACTTAGGTTGTTTCTATCCTTCAATTCTGAAATAATTCTGAAGTTGACTACCCTGCACAGTAAAAGATAAATTATTTGTGATACCTAATGGTATCCACCCCTCAGCCAAATCCCTCTAGTCTCAGGGTAGGGAACTATGAGAAAAAGACATCGTCAACATTTTGAAACACTGAGTCAACTAAAAGAAGGGAGACTCTAGTTGGGAAAGGCCCAGGGCTCAATGCCCAGGTGGTAAGGAAACTGAGAATTGGTTTGAAAATTCTTTTTTTTTTTTGGTTTTTCGAGACAGGGTTTCTCTGTAGCTTTGGAGGCTGTCCTGGAACTAGCTCTTTTTTTTTTTTTTTTAATTTTTTTTAAGATTTATTTATTACATGTACAGTGTTCTGCCTACATGCCAGAAGAGGGCACCAGATTGAACTGTAGATGGTTGTGAGCCACCATGTGGTTGCTGGGAATTGAACTCAGGACCCTTGGAAGTGCAGTCAGTGCTCTTAACCTCTGAGCCATCTCTCCAGCCCCTGGAACTAGCTCTTGTAGACCAGGCTGGTCTCAAACTCACAAAGATCCGCCTGCCTCTGCCTCCCAAGTGCTGGGATTAATGAAAATTCCTTAAGATTATCCGAAAAAAAACGGTTGCAAGAGTAAAATTGGCATTCATGCACAATCTGCAGGTACACTCTGGAGCATAGGCTAGTAATTCATAGTTTTCAAAAAAAAATATGGAGTATGGTATAGAAGGCGAGGGGAAACTGAAAACTCAGAAGTGGGTTTGGTTTTGTTTGTTTTGAGACAGGGTCTCATAATCTAACACTGGCCTCAAACCATGTAGCTGAGGATGGCCGTGAGCTTCTCCTCCTACACTTCCTCTTGAGGCCACCCTACCCAGCTTGACAAAGTTCTTGGGTGCTTCTCATGCATGCACTGGACTAAACCCCTGGATCCACGAATGAGGTATTATATTCTTAGAGTTTTCCAGTTTCCTCCAATCCTTCCAATCTTAACATATACAAACATAGGCCTTTATGAAGAAACACCCATCATTCCTAATTTAAGTACCCCCCCAGATTTATTGAGGACAATATAGCACACCTAATTGTGGTATCCATAAATAATTAGGGACTTCAAACCTATAACAATGGGTATTTTTTTCTTTCAGAACTTCCACTCCTTAACAAATGTACTCAATTCTTTAAAAAATTTTTCTGACTCAGTATTTTTTTTTTTTTTTTTTTTTTTGGTTTTTCGAGACAGGGTTTCTCTGTATTGTTTTGGAGGCTGTCCTGGAACTCACTCTGTAGACCAGGCTGGCCTCGAACTCACAGAGATCCGCCTGCCTCTGCCTCCCGAGTGCTGGGATTAAAGGCGTGCGCCACCAACGCCCAGCTGACTCAGTATTTTTAAAATAAAAATTTAAACTCCAGAATAACATTAGCATTGAAAAACATGTAAATAATAAGTTTACCTCTCAAGGAATTTTCTCAAGTGAACAGTCCCTAGCAGCTCACAGGACTAAAATGAGGAACTAGATACCAGAACTTTGCCCTGGATCTCTATACTTTATAGGTGATCACTGTTCCGATTTCTCACCATCGATTCGCGTTGCTGTTTTGAACTCCGTGGAGACAGAACGGTGGCCTGTGTCTTTTCCTTTCATCATGTTTGTGGGGTTCACCCTCACGGCTTTCGTAGCAGCAGTTAGCGAGCGGCCTCGGGGTGAAATGTTTGCTGCCCGCTGTTCAGTTTGCTGAATGTGGTATCTCTGGTTTTATGTGTGTGAGCAACGAGCTCACAAAGTTCAGTCTACCGGAAAGAAACGGATTAGAAGTATGGACTTGAAGGGACACGTGATGACATCCAGGTGGCTGTCCAGTTTGAAATACTGTCCCACTCACCGTTGACAGGCACCTTATGTTATCCACGTACCCAGCTTTTCTTCCTGCCCGCTGGCCCTGGTGAAGGCTCAGCACCTGCTGCCAAGGCAGCCAATTGGAGCAGCTGCTCCTCCCACAGGGCTGTCTGAGCCTGCCCTCTAGTGGCAGTGTAGGCATTTGCACTGCCCTCTAGTGGCAGTGCCCTCTAGTAGCAGTGTAAGCATTTGCACTGCCCTCTAGTGGCAGTGCCCTCTAGTGGCAGTGTAAGCATTTGCACTGCCCTCTAGTGGCAGTGCCCTCTAGTGGCAGTGTAAGCATTTGCACATCTCCGATGTCACTAGCTGGTCTCAGCCTGGAACCATTTTCCTTGGCCATTTAGCTGCCCAGGACCAGGGACTCTACCTCATTTTCATAAGCTGCCTTCTTTCATCTCCTTAGCTGTTCATGTGTCCTCATCTTGTTTTAAGAAAGTACCTCATCTTGTATTTCCCTCTCCTGTTTGACAAGGGAACGCTAAAAAACAAAAAACACTATGAAGTCACCATCTGTCCATCCCCAACTCTGTGTTCAAGGAGCCTTCAGAAACATCCATCAGAATGAACACTTTCCTATCAGTTTTTCTAGAAACCAGAATACTTTAAATTCCCATGTACATTAGAGTAAGATCTTTTTTCTTCTTTCTTCAAGATAGGATCCTATTGATTGACCCAAACTCATGGCAATCGTCTGTCTCAGCCTAGGCGCTAGGATTATAGACATGAACACACCCTTGGGAATTTTTTTTAATGCCATGTGTTGTCCGCCCTCTTGGTGGGGTTCTTCCACTTTTCCCCTTTCATACTTGTCTGCCTTTCAGCTGTCTCCAAGGTTTCTAAAAAGAGCATGTGGGTCTATAAATAGGAAACAAAGTAAGTGTGGTGGGAACAGACAGACAGACAGACAGGGCTTCATGGTAAATAGGAGTTATGGTTTTCTTTTGTATTGGTTTGTATTTCCCAAGTTTAAAAAGACTGTTCTTTAGTATGAATGGAAACCCCGTAAGTGTTTACAAAATGAGACACTAGGAGCTTTCAATGCACAGGATCTTCAGCACGTGTTAAGCGGCAGATGGGAGCAACAAGCTGTTGGAAGGCCCAGCCCTTGGCTCTAAGTGATAGTGACTGAAGCATTTGTGGTCCCAGGAGGGTCTCCCAGTGGTGGGAGTCACATCGGCCTCAGGTGGGTTTCTCTTGACTGTATGGTGACTGTCATCTTCGTGAGCAGAGGCATGCAATCCTGAGTCAGGAACGCACATGGAAAACGATTTACTTTGCTGAGTAGTTTATTGAGTCCCTCTTGGCGACTATCAGCCAGTCAATGGAGATGAAGGATGATCCCTTACATATCCCGCATTACGTTATCTACCAGCTCAAGAGACTGCAACAGCAAGTAAAACAGCGTGGTGGCGAGGTGCAGGGATTGGTGTGCTTCGGCCCAAACTCTCTTTAGGCTAGAAAACAGCAGTGGCTTCCCCATGGAGAGCTCTAAAATTCAACTCCTAAAATGCTCCGTTTGGACAGCCTAGGGATTTGTTTGCTTGAACACACATTTCTCTGAAAGAATGCACTCATTTATTCAGCAAACATTTATTAAGTGTGTAGCTATGTGTAAGACACTGTTTCAGGTGTGCATGGTGGCAAAAGCAGTAGTCCCTGACCTCTGCCCCCCCCCAAGGGGACTGGGCACGTATGCAAATAACTATCGTGCAGCATGACTTTCAGTGAGTATAACGCAGTAGTAAAAATGGGGGAGGAACATACATTATACCACTGGTGGCACAAAGTGATTTTAAATGTGTATTTTATCTGCTCTCGGAACACTTACAGAATCTGGTACACAGTAAAATGTGAGTCAAATGATATTGTATATATACTTTTGTAGACACACTTGTACATACTGTGTATACTCTAATATAAGCCAAGGTGTCACTATAATAATGATGTGACTATAAATACAACACAAATATTCCCTGCTACATGTTCTCACTGCTCTAACTTTTAAAGAAGCATTTAGGGGGTTGGAGATATTATACTGAATAATAATGACACTTACAGGACTTTTCGTTGTAACACTGTAGAATGGAATTTTGGATTACTGACAGTGAGCCACTGTATAGTGATGGAATGTTTTCTGCTCTCTCTTCTTGAGTTCAGGAAAAGCTGATAGACTCACTTAGTAAAAAGATCAATGAAGTATACAGAGTCTGCATCGGAGATGCTGAGGTTGGCAGCCTGAATGCAGTTCAAAAACTGGTCAAAGTAGAGTCTCGCCTGGTGGAACTCAGTGACCTCATTGAATCTATTCCCAAAGAAAATGTGGAAGCAATTGAAAGGATCAAACAGAAGGAGCGGCGGCAAAAGTAATGACAGTCTCCGCGGCCAGTGGCCACAGCACTGCTAACGATCTCTAGGTGGCAAACATTGTGGCGTGGGATGCAGTGAAGGGTCAACCGATGCCCGCCTTCCCTCCCAGAGGGTTCTTGGGAAATGAATGTGTTGTTACTACAGGTAACAAGCATTCTGAACCTAAGGAGCTGGGAAAACACAGCTCACCAGGGACAGGTGACCTAACTAGGATGGCTGTGGGGAGGGTGTCTCATACTAAGGACACTGCTCAAGGGCTGTCATGGGCAGGGACTGCGCCGTGGGGAAGGGCCTCTCATTAGAAGACCAAGGCAACTTGGTGTATGGAGGGAATGGTTCAGAGCTATTGGATGAGGGTTTCCCCTTGACAACGCTTAGCTGCTACTTGGCCCTTACATAGGACTGTCATCCCTGAAACCTCACCCTTTAACTTCTACAAGTTAAAGATGTTCAGGCATTTTGTTGGTAACTATTATCACTATAAACATTCACATGGGGAATGCTGATGAAGTCACAATATTCATGTTCTAGCAAAGGAAAACAAGGAGAGGCAGATGAGCACTGGCTCCAGGTGTGCCAGGTATGGGCACGGAGCCTGTCTCCTGCCCTTTAGCTACAACTACTGTGAGCTAAAGTCGGGAGCATCTGTCTAGTCTACTTCTTTTCTTTCTTTTTTTGAGGCGGAAGTTGTGATACTTACTTCCTAAGGTTGATGCATCAAATAACCAATGTAAAAACACTGAGCATGTTTGACACATACTAGCCATTAATATTGTTAATATTGTTGATGCAGAGGGATATCATTTCTCTCCATGAAAAAGTGAAGGTGACTCAGGTAGCTCTTTACAGAATATAAAGGCATTTAATCTAAGGGGAAGACGACTCCTGCCAGATGACCTCTTGAGAATTCAATTACAACTTATTGTCAATAGTAACATGCATGCAGTTGTAGTTTCCAAAAGAACTTTTTCTCTGTGGTTTAGATCAGTAGTTCTCAACCTTCCTTATTGTTATGAACCTTTAATATAGCTCACCTTATTTTCATTGCTACTTCGTAACTAATTTTGCTACATTTATGGATTGCAATGTAAATATCTGACATGCAGGTATCTGGCCTATGACCCCTGTGGAAGGGTTGCCTGGCTCCCAGGTTGAGAACCGCTGCACTAGTGCACATTTAAAGAAATTTTAAAGGCAGGCAGGCAGGCGGCTGGGAGCTAAAGGGGCTAAGGTGTAAAGTGCTTCGGTGAGACGGAGGGGGCAAGACACGGCCTTACTTCTGACCTAACTGGGAAGAAGTCCTCCAAAACGGTGAAATTAAACGTCTTAGCAGAGCCCAAATACATCCCAAAGCCTTCATTATAGGAATCCTACACTTTCCATTACCAAACAATACAAATGGGGGAGATGTTTTGCTTTTTATGAATTACAATTTCTAGTAAGATATTCCTCCTCCCCCACAACAGGCTGCGTGAAGAGAAGATGAAAGAGAAGCAAAGACACCAGGAGGAGCGGCTAAAAGCTGCCCTGGAAAGAGCAGTGGCACAGCCCAAGAAGAAGGTTTGTGTTCTGCCACAACAGGTCCCTGTTCAGTCTGAAAGGCCGTGTCCCTTCCGAGGCACATGGGATTCGGATCTATGATCAACAGAATATTGGTGGTCCCTCACCCATACCCCTAAGTTACAAAAATTCGCCTGTAATTGCAAAACAGAAGCAAAGGGAGAGCACCCTCCAGAGAAGTGTGATATATGAATCACAGGTTTCCTTAAACCCTCCTAAAGCAAACTTCCCAAGACCCAACGAGAACACCGATGTTTAAAATGGTTTTCTCAAAATTGGCTTAGCAAAGCAACCTCTTGCAGCCATGGAGGAAAGCCCAGGTACATCACTAACGATGACAACATTAGTGTCCAACAGGGTTTAGACATTAGCCAGCCTGCTCCTTCATGACTCTCTGTAAATCACTCCACTGACACAAAAAGCACTCGCTGTCTTCTGTTATTCCATGGGTGCTCAACTTGCCACGCATGCCGGCCATCTGTTAGGTTATATCTCCTGTAACTTTTACTATTTTGAACCCTTTTAATCATGTAACTATTCAAGTTAATACTGACATAATACATAGTACAATAGAAAAGTTATGCCAAACGAAATTCTTTTTCCTATTTCAGCTGGGAAGACGACTGATCTACCGTTCAAAACCTCCATCTGCTACCAAGCACGAGCTACTTTTAGTCAGTGATACAAGAACAAAATCACAGGAGGAAGAGTATTTTTTTAGTTGAACAGGAGCATGAAGACATTTAATTAGCAAATGTTTTATGTGAATGTTGGCATTCAATGATGTAATACGTTCTAACAAATTCCAGGAAGGCAGACCTTTACCCTGAGGCTTATAGGAGTAGGAATGGCAATTGTTTCTTCTGTTAAAACTATTACTCATTGGTATTATTCCATGAGCTAAGCAATACTGCATTTTAAGTTGTCACATCCAAAGTCAATATACTAACATAATTACATGAATCGTATTTTCTAAAGCAATAAGGAAGTTCATGGCTACAAGTATACATTTTAACAATGTGTACTGTTCTTAGAATAACTGGACAGGTTTATACAGACTATGGTCTTGAATGATGAAACTGGTTATTTCACAGTAAGTTCTCAAATACTTATAAAAAACTTATTAGTGAAAAAACCACACACCTTTAGCCTAAATGTCAGTTTGTATTATGCACTGTCTCCATAATTATTTCAGTTTTCATGTTTTGCCTTAGGTGCAATATGTACATTATTTAATCTTTATTGATATAGAAATAATTAATACTATATATATGTAAGTACTAAGAAAGTATTTAACTTTATGCATGTTACAAGTGGTTTGAAAACCTTAAACACAGCTGCTTTAAGTCTCAGTACAATTACAATGGCTGAAACTCACCTTCAGAAAAATTCTAAAGTATAAACTTATTTATCTTTTGTACAAAAAAACCAGCAGTGGGCTTATAAAAATGAAACTGGGTGGCTTCTAAAGCATTAGTTCTACGAATTATCCGTCAATTATTTCACCATTTGCGCTCTGCATATGAATCTGCATATAAATAGTTCACAAGTCAAGTTGAAAAAAACCCAAATCTTTATTGTATAGAAATACATATATATAAAAAAAAACCCAAAACCCCAAAGATGCTATTCTCTCATTTCCCCATCTTCTTCCTCTTCTTCCACACCTCTGATATAAAGGACATTATTACACCTGTAACAGAAAAATGGTCCGTTTTGATGTTTCACTCAAACCAGACATGATCGTTTAGACTAGATACTAAACTTACAGCTTGCCATCCTCCTGTTGGTGCTATACAGATGTGTTTAAAAGCACACAGCACGTGTTTTTATCATCGTCATCACAATTACACCTCTACAACTTATCAGAATATAGGTGGTTACTCATTAAACACAACAGAAATCCTTAGCAGCTAGACTCAACTAAAATTCAAATCCAAAGTCTGTAACCCAGGACACTGAAACAGGTTATGGCTAAGGACCAGGAAATGTAATCAACAGTAGGAAAACCTGGAGGATGGATGAATTAATCTCCCAACAAATTCGGTAATTTTGAAGGCTTCTAAAGTCTAGATGTAGAGTACTGTTAAGTCCTTTGCTTTTTTTCTTTAAAGTAATCCCCCAACTAAAGGACTAAGCAGATCACCAGTAACTCCTCACACACAAATGCACTTATTACCTTATTAGAACTTCACCCAGATGTCCAGACAATGCACCATCTATGTATTCTTCTGTATTTGCAAGCTTTAGATAAAGAGAAAGATGTTAGTATACCTACTCCCGGTGAGAGCACATTAACTGAGACCACTCTACAACAACTCAGACTGTATCTGTAATTAGTATGTAGAAGATTAGCTTTCTATTACTCTTGTGTATCTGGATCTTCTGTATTCATTAAGACATGCATGGTACAAAACTAATGTATAATAAAGCTTGTTCCAAAGCCGTTAAACCTCCTAGATATTATTTCTAGTGGACATCAAAGTGACTAAAAAAAGCTTCCAATTTGAGTTACAGCTTTTCAATTTTCTGAAAACTCAATCCCAAAGAATCAGACATTAACTTTCTCAGAGCAAAAACATGAATCACATTATTCAAATGTGTGTACAAAAGCTATCACTAAAATAAGATCATGTACTGGGGGAGGAGGTGTCAAGAATGACCTATAGAATTACTTCAGCAAACTTTTCTAATTTTAAATTAAAAATGTTTAGCTGTCACTCTTATAATTAAAAAAAAAAAAAAACACCACCAAAGCCAGAATAAGAGAAGGGCTCCTCCATTAGCAGGTGGTGGGCAAGGAAAGAAAAATAGATGTAGTATAAGGCATTTCAATCCTGCTAGGTGTTTCTTCTCTCTAGGAAACAAAACACCCAGAAAACATGTCACCAAAATCATTTGTGAGACTAGTCATTCTGTAAATAACTGCTACCAGAAGTAATCTATTAAGAGCCACTAATTAAAATTTTTTTTTCTGAGGCAGGGTTTCTTTTTAGTTTTGGGGGCTGTCCTGGAACTGGCTCTTGTAGACCAGGCTGGTCTTGAACTCACAGCGATCCGCCTGCCTCTGCCGTGTGAGTGCTGGGATTAAAGGTAAGCCACTAATTTTATATGTAATTATTTTTGACGCGTCCCGCAACGCTTAGCTGGCTTCTAAATTACAACAATGCCCCCAAGCCTTCACTGCTGCTGAAAAGGCTCTCAGTGCCTACCATTCCAAACCACCACCTCCTCTGGCCTTCTGTGCCCTGGACACACCACGCATGGCCCTGTGCATGAGGTTTGCATCCTCTGCCCATGTCCCCCACATGCTCATGGTCTCTTTAGGGAGGCCAGACCATCTTGTTTATCACTGCATACTCTAGCCCCTTATTTTATGTCCTAATTAACTGTGACATCATCTGCCACCCCTGAAACAAGCTCTAACACAAGGACTTTGATTTGCTCATTGCTATAGTCATAGGAACAAACAGTAAGTCTTAGCGACTGAAGCAACTCAGAGATACATCTTGTAACTCGGGGAAGCTACAAACTAGAAAATCAAGTATTAGGCAGTTTGCCTTTTTTTTTCCAAAAGGGTCTCATGTATTCTCAGACACAGCTTTTGTGAATGACTCAAGAATTACCCTAAACAAGAACTTCTGTATTCTTGTTACCTGGATTTCTGGTTAAGCAATCCACATAAGCAACTTTTAAAACCTGGCCAGAAACTACAACTAAACCAACACACACAAAAAAATAAAAAACAGGCAAAGGTAGCACATGCCTTTATTCTCAACACTTGGAAGGCAGAGCGGGCAAATCTCTGAGTACAAGACCAGCACAGTCTACACAGCAAGTTCCAGGCTAGTCAGGGTTACAAAAGGAAATTTTGTCTCAAAAACTACAAATAAGTAAATACAAAAGTAGGCTAAGGATGTGAATACACATTTCTCCAAAGATGGTAAGCACATGGCTATTAACTCAAGATCATTGGAGAAATGCAAACCAAAAGAATACACCACTTCTAATCCAAGAGAATAGTATTTTATACAAAAAGGGAGAAAAACCTCATAGAAAACAAGTGTCAGTGCACATGTGGGCAAACTTGAACCCTTGGGCAGGTGCTATGCAAAACAGTATGACAGCTACTCCAAAGACATTAAACATGGAAGGAACCAGTACTCCTACTCTTGTGTGTATCCTCAAGAGTTAAAAGCATACTTAAAAAATTACTTGTTTGGGGCTGGAGTTGGATCAGGGGTAAGAACATTTGCTTTTCTTCCAGAGGACCTGAGTTCAATTCCTAGCACCCACATCGTGGCCCATAGCATCTGTAGCCCTGTACCAGGGTGTCCAATGCCTCCTCTCTGTACATACATACATACATGCTGGCAAACATCCACACATAAAACGGAAATGAGTGAACAGGCTGAGAATGAATGAACTCAGTGGTGCACGGCTTGCACAGCACGTATAACCCCAGGTCTGACCACCAGTACTTACGGAACCAATGTGGTCTATGCATACAACGGCATGCTACTGAGTCCTAAGATGCTATAAACCCTGACATTCTATAACACCGGCAAATGCTGAATGAATAATCACACCAGACAAAAGAGCAAAACGCCTGTCTGGAGGCATTCACGGAGAGTTGGTTCCAGAGCCTCTCAGACAGCCAAGGATGTTTGAGCTCTTTATTCAAATAGCCAAACATCTCATATAACCTAATGTCCTAGATCAGGCATAACCCAGTTTGATGTATTACATAAATAGCTGTTATACTATACTGCTTATGGGGTTAACAAAATCTTTTGATCTGAAGTTAGCTGAATCTGTAATCCATCTACATGAGGTGCTGAGAACAGACAAATTCAGAGACAGACAATGCTTACGAGGGACTGGACTGGAGGAGGCAGGTAACGGTGATTTTCTAATGGGTCGAGTTTTCCACTTGTGAATAAAGAAAACATTCTGGAAATGAATAATGATGATAGCCACACAACAATGTGACTGACTGTACTAACTCCACTGAATTATAGCACTAAGTGCTGAAATAGACACATTTTAGGACGTCCTTTACTGCAAGAGAGACTGGCCGAATCATTTACAGGAACTAAGGCACGCTCAATTATCAGTTCCTTCGTTCCAACTGTCTGTCCCATGAAAAATGCTTTCAGTGAACTGCTTTCACACCGTGTCTCTAAAATTCATTAAAACAGCTTAAAAATTCCTCCTAAAACACTCTGTGAAGGAGGAAGTGCTGAGCAGGTTCCTTTCTGTAGTAAACTAGTTTTTCCTTTGGATTGGAAACCAAATGCCAACGCTCTCCTTCCTTTGGCTGCCATAGACGATGACAGGGCTCTGGTCTAATACCGGACTTAGTACCACGAAGTTCATCAGTTTCAGCATCCTCCTTGAAGTATGCGTCAACCCTGAATCCTGCTATGTTTGTCAATGTGATTGTGTGTGTCATCAGAGGAAAACTCTGGAGCCAGGGGAAAGAACAGAGACGGTCTTACCGCTCTTGTAACCACTCTGCACTACTCCCCAACTTACCTGCATGTTCATGTAGCCATCTACAGAGACCAGGTAGCCTTTATATTCCATCCCCCACTTGAGTTTCACCATCACTGGCTTTCCTGTCAGTCCATTGAGGAAAGGCTTGGGATTGAGGGGTAAACTCTGTATAAAAACACAAAACAAAAAAAAAAAACCAGCATTCAGTAATTTTTGCCTAGCTCAGCCTCTACCCTCCACCCTCTACCCAAACATCAATCAAGACTTGATGGCATCTTGATTTGCTGGCACTCTACAACTTGAAGAGTGTCTCCAGTACCCATTTAGTCAACCTCACACTCAACTCACTGAAACAAGATCTAAGTCATGAAATTAAACCCTGACCACCAGGGAGGGAGGGAGGGAGGGAGGGTGTGTCTCGAGTTTGGTCCCAAGCACTGCTGAAACAATAAGAACCCTGAATCACTACCCACTACTCTAAAGAAATAAAGGTCATGGCCTGAGATGATCTCTGCAGGCCCAAGAAATCAATTCGGTGAGCGTGCCAAACACAACGCTACAGAAAGATGCAGAGGGCAGACCACAGTTGGCAGACTTTCACTGTGGGAGGCAGGGCTGGGTCTCCATTTTTTTTTCTTTTTCTTTTTTTTGGTTTTACGAGACAGGGTTTCTCTGTTTGGGAGGCTGTCGGTCCAGCCTGGCCTCGAACTCACAGAGATCCGCCTGCCTCTGCCTCCCGAGTGCTGGGATTAAAGGCGTGCGCCACCAACGCCCGGCTCCATTTTTTTTCTTAATCATGAGTGCCTTTTAATGCAACCATACCAAGCTTTCTCTGCAAAAGCAACATTCCCTTGAAATTCAGGGGACAGGACCCCCCCCCACACACACACCAATCTACTCATCCATCACTCCAAAGAGAATAAGAAACTTGGCTACTAAACTCCAAGAAGGGGTGATCTTGGGGGACACTGTCTATAATTTATCATCCACACAGCAACTACTATTTTCAAGGCATCTATCAAGAAGCCATGTTAATAGCTTACAAATGCTCCAATGGTCTCCTGCTGCACTTGAGGTAGACAAACTTCCTAACGGGTGTTGAGAGACCTGGAAACCGAACCCGGGTGTTGTGCAAGCGCCAAGCGTGCTCCCCACCGCGGAGTCAACCCTCCAGCACGTGTGAGCGCGCGAAGGCGTCCCAGTCTTATTTCCGAACCACTATTCTGGCAATTCCACGCCCGTCCATTTCAACTAGCCAGGTTGCTTTCTAGTTAGGGCTCACGTGTGTAACCCTCGTTCGCCTGCTCTTTCTGTCACTTGGCTTTCCGGTTAAATGGCACCTTTTTGGAAAGGGGAGCTCCTCCACAGCGCCCTGAGAGAGGGGTGCTCCTCCACAGCGCCCTGCGAGGCACTCACCACTACTTTAATTGTTTGCTTCTGTTGTCATTTGCCCGCTGCCTGCCCGCCGCCCCTGAGAAAGCGCAAGTCTGCATCTGTCTCTGCACCCCCTACTCCCCGCGCCCGGGGAGGAAGCGAGCGCAAGGGGAGCCCGGGCCGTCTGTCCCGGAGGACAATGAGCTGGGGCTGTCCGCCTCAGGGAAGGACGGAAGCACTCCGTGGGGCGTGTTGAGCAGAGAGCGAACGCTCGCCTCAGCTCACCGCTTCCCAGGTAAGGCTGCAACAAGCTCAGGCTCCGAGCCGAGCGCGCGCTGCGGCGCCGCCCCACACAGCCCCCGTGCGCGGGAGAAGGAGCGGGCGAGCGAGCGAGCGGCCGGCGCTTCCTGCGGATGAATGGGAGGCGCTGCAGGCGGCTGGCCCCGCGCGGCCGCCCGTCCCCTCACCCCGCAGGGCTCGTCCTCCTTACCATCGCGAACACCGCGAGCGCCGCACCCCGCTAGCCGCCGACCTCGCCGCTGCAAGCCCCTCGTGACCCGAGCAGCCGCCGCCGAGCCGAGCCGCTCGACGCTAAGAGAAATGGCCGCCAAAACGGAAGCGTCACCTTTCACCTCCCGCCTCGTTCTCTCGGCTCCTGTGATTGGACCCAAAGACGCGCTTGCTGATTGGAGGAGATGGCGGGCGCTGTCTCCTGGCAACCAGCGTGCCCGGCCCCTCCGCCAGGTATGAAGTGGGGGCAGCTGAACCACCCGGGTTTCTCTGCTTCTCCCTCGAAAGCAGACGCGGTTTTGGGGTTGGTTTTTTGGTTTGTTTGTTTTTCTGTTTTTTATTTTTGTAATGCAGGTTTACTGTGTCCTTCAGCTGAATGACTTCGGGTTCTGGAGGTCCCTGGTCATGCTGCCCCAGATCCAGTCCGCGGAAAGCGCCCTGGCATGGTCCCCCTCGATGCCAGTGCACTCTAGTCTAGAATGCCCGCTCGCCGGCTTTTAGCGGAAGCCAGGGAAGGCACTGCGTGAGCGCCCAAGTGAAAAGCTCCGAAGTGGGTCAGTACAACACTGAGACCAGGTCAAGTCGGGTCTGGATACTGTGTGGGTGCCTCTGCCGCGCGACTGCTAAGCAGACCCAGAACCAGAGGCCAGGAGCGGTCCCTTTACGTGTGTTTGCCAGTAAGGGTGCAGGGAACTGACCCATCGCGGGTTCATCGCTATGACGGAAAGATACCGAATCCCGCTAGATGTTCCCATAACCTCAATGCTTCAGATATCGGTCCTCTTGTGATATGAAACCCGTGTAAAAAGAGCACTTTTTTTCGGGAAATCTAACCCTATATGAACCTGAAATTTGTTTTGCATGGATTTCCCAAGTAACTCAAGATTTCAGACTTGGCCTAGACCTAAAGACTGTCAGTTACATTTTTTAAATATGCTGACACATGCTGGAGTGTTGGCTCTGCGGTGGAGAGCGCTTCTCACTACTGTAGAAGACCTGGGTTCGATTCCCAGTACCCACATGGTGATTCACAACTGTCCAAAGTTTCAGTTCCAGGAGATTCATCTCCCTTTTTTGACTTCTGTGGGCACCAGACACACGTGTGGTGTGCATACATATATGCAAAATAAGATTTAAAGACAAATCTAAAAAATAAGAAAAAGTATGCTGATTGTCTTAGAGGGATACATTCTGAGCAGAGAGCAATCTTAGCCCTGACTTTTACGTGGTAATAGTTACTGGTCCTATTAATACACTCTAATTATTAAGTCTGAGTTGACAAATCCGTAAGTCTTAAACTCAGAACCCTGGAGATACTTAGTCTAACTTCTAATTTAATTCTGAAGGTGATGGAATACTGGGAATTAGACTCATAACAGATTCGTGTTAGTATTTTTCTCAGTCCATTAAGCTATCTGCTGTCATCTGCAAAGGACTTCGAGTGCCTGGTAAAACACAAGAAGTGGGGGCTGGAGAGATGGCTCAGAGGTTAAGAGCAGTGACTGCTCTTCCAGGGGTCCTGAGTTCAATTCCCAGCAACCACATGGTGGCTCACAACCATCTACAATTCCATCTGTTGTCCTCTTCTGGCATGTAGGCAGAACACTGTATATGTAATAAATAAATAAATCTTTAAAAAAAACACACACAAGAAGTAAGTAACGAAAGCAGTGGTTCTCACGCTGTGGGTCGTGCTCCCTGGGGGGTCGAGTGACCTTCTCACAGGGGTCACCTAAGGCCATTGGAGAACACAGGTATCTACATTATAATACATAGCAGTAGCAAAATTAGTTATAAAGTAACAATGAAAATAATCTTATGGTCTGGGGTCACCACAACATGAGGGGTCACAGCATTAGGAAGGTTGAGAACCACCGCTCTAAAGAAACATTTAAATGAGAAGAACACTTCACTGACAGGCAGATTCCCAGGGTGGTGAACGAGGCGGAAAGGCAGGAGGAGGAAGGAGACCCAAACGCTAGGGTTTATGCTCATAAGCCTGCCATTGCTTCTTCAATGAGACAAAACTGGTTGCTTAATCTTATGGGACCATATCTGTAGCGGCTTTGTGGAAATGTGAGTTGGAGAACATCAGAGAGGGAGGGAGGGAGAGGGAAAGAGAGACAGAGAGAGAGAGAGAGAGACAGTGAAACAGAGAGAGAGAGAGAGAGACAGAGAGAGACAGAGAGAGACAGAGAGAGAGATTGATTGGTGGGTTCTGCCTGTCAGTCAGCCCCCTCCTGTCTCCTAGCGCCCCATGGAGAGTTCCCACCTTCCTCACTGAGGTGAAGATGAGAAAATCGGCAGATCTGCGGTCTCACAGTTAACAGGAGTGTGGATGTGGCAGAGGGAACCTCCAGTGCCAGTTCCAGGGGAGGGAACTTGAGACCGCACTGTCACAGCAGAGGCGGCAGCTGTCCCCTGTAGCCAAGATCTTGGAGACAGATGAACCCGAGAAGATCTGAGTTGACACACAAGTGTGTTTATATGTGAAGGTTATAGAAAAAGGGATCAGAACAAGACTCTAGAATCGTGGCGATAAGCTACTTAATAGATGTGTGACTGCTGACATGGCCCTCCACCTGTGCTACCAAATACCTTTAAAACGCGGGAAAGGCTGCTTTTGGCTCATGACTTTCAGGGTCTCCGTCCACAGCTGGCTTGTTCCATCACTCCAGGCCTGTAGCAAGGCAGAACTTCATGGTGCCAAGAGTGCACAGTGAAAGACCCTGCTCACCCCATGCCAGCCATGAAACGGATAAAGACGGTGTTAGGAACAAAATAGACCCTTCAAAGGCATCTGTGTCCCCAAGGATATACTTCATGTGCCTGGGCCCTTGACCTGCATGATTACAAATGCCACCTCAAGTAGCAGCTTCCCACACGCGACTCAAGTGCTGGGATGCCACACTGGGCTGGGCTGCCTCCTGAGAGCCCATTCAGCTGTGAGCTCACCAGTGGCTGGTCTGTTGGTAAGGGGAGCACCCTTGTAATCCAATTACCTCTCCATAGCGCCACCAGCTGGTGTATGTGTGTTAGTACTGATTCGAGCCATTTACGAGTTTGAGGAGTAGCTCATGGTTTTGACTTTCATTTCCCCAATGACTAATGCCAATAAACATCTTTTCTCATGTTTGCTGGCCACTTAAAATTGTTGAAGAAATACCCACTCAAGTATTGCATACATCTTTGTATGTTGTATCTTTGGAACCCTTAAAGATATTGGTTAATAAACTAAAAATTAAGCCAGGTGGTGGTGGTACATGCCTTTAATCTCAGCACTCAGGAGGCAGAGGCAGGCTGATATCTGTGAGTTCGAGACCAGCCTGGTCTACAGAGTGAGTTCTAGGACAGCCAGGGCTATCCAGAGAAACCCTGTCTCAAAAGAATTTTTTAAAAAACTAAAAATTAAAAATGAGACCTCATGGTTGCATTTTCTTCACTTACACTGTGAAAGGTTTAGACTAGATCACAGTTCAATCTCATTGCTATTATTTTGAACCAGGTAATATTTATTGATTGATTGTGTATATGTGTGTGTTATGGGTGTAGGTACATATGTATATGGGTTCAGAGCACACGTGTGCAGACAGGAAGAGCTCATTTGGGAATTCTCTTTCGCTCTCCACCTATTCCTTTGAAACCGGGTTTCTCTCTGAGCCTGGAGCTAGACTAGGAGCCAGCAAGCTGCAGGGGCCTCCAGTCACCACAGCCCTGGGCTTCAGGCATGGGCAGTCATACCTGACTTTTCACATGGATGCTGGAGATTTGTGGTGAGGCATCCCAATCCCTCCCAGATGACTCTTACTGCCGCTATTGTTTTGCGCACTGTCTCTAGCAAACACCAGTAGCAATTTCTTTCCCTCTTGTAAAAAAACAAAAATGCCAGATGTTCCCTAGGAGATTCCATTGTCCCAATTTGCAAACCACTGGAGATTGCTCATAAATAAAGACCCTGGGCCCGAATCACTTTGCTGGTAGTATTGCAATTTTGAAACTATTTTCATTATTAGTCAAAAAGCTGGCATACTGCATGTTTATTTTAATAGAGATTGTGTACACCCAGAATGCATCTTTGCTTTTTATTAGAATAACATGGATTTGAAATAGAAGTACTGGTTGATTATCATAAGTCTGTTCAGAAGTTTTGGGTAGCATCTAGCTGATTTGTAAACATGGAAGAACAAATTATCAAATCATTTCTATTTTGTAAGTTACAGCTATGGTTTAGGAAGACTGTAGCTAATACACTTGGCCATAAGGAGATCTGGAACCACTTAGCTGAAATGCCAACTTTGAACTCAGTCGGGCTCTTTGCCTCATTTCCACAGGGTGGCAGTACTGAGTTTGGAGTAAAATGACTCTTGGATATTGGGAAGGTCAATCATCTAATTGAGACCTTGTCCTGCACTTAAAACAAAGCACAACTTAGCACAACACAACACCCCATATAAGTTTTCCCACAGTCCCCTGTACCACATAGTCTCCCTACCTCAAATGTCTCCAATGAATACAGTTTTTAAGAATAAACCATTTGATTCTATTTCTTCATCCATCACCCATTGCTATCCCCTGCCTCCCTGACTGCGAAACAAAATGAGTATCTGGACCTGTGTTGCGATGTTGATGCTTTGCATCCTCGACCGGCCACCCGTTGCCAGCAGCCTGAAATGAGTGTCCCATTCTGTCCCACAGACCACAATGTCTGTCCTTGCCCCCACGAGCCATCTTTTCACACATGACATTCTCTCTGTCAAAGATCCCTTTCTTGCTCTTTTTTCTCTGCCTGGAACATTCTTCCAATGCTGCCTCCATATTTCACTTAAACGAGTCTCCCCAGCTCTGGGATTACAAACATGAGTTCCCATACCTGGCATTTATGTGTGGGTTCTGGAGATCAAACTCAGGCCTTCATGTTTGTGAGGCGAGCACTTTAACTGAGCTCCCTACCTCACCCTGGACATTTTTCTACCTGAACTGGTAAGGATTCTCAGTCTTCAGCTCTGTTGTGCAGGCACTATACAATCACAATGTATCTTGTTTTAACACTACACTCCATTTCAGAGAAGAATTTGTTCATGAATGCATTTGCAGTGTTCCACAACACATAG